AATCTGGTCTACTATTCCAAAAAATCAAGTGTACTTTGTCTGGTTTTTAAAGTAAGAGGCAAATTTATTACAAAAACAAAACATCTGTAATAAAAAAATAATATATAACTAATACATACTCTTAAATATTCATAGATTTCTTGCTAAATGTAATAAGGAGAAATGTATAAAGTTATCCATTTTATGGTCTTAAATCTGCCCTGCATTTAAGCAGCGCACAATCCTCATTTTAATCCTTCGCCATTATGGCATATTTTCTATTTTTAATCGGATGGCGAATGGCAAAGGAAATAATCACCTCTGCACCTCCGACACATTCTTTCCATATCAATTATTTGGTCGAAAAGGGAAGAGCAAGGCGAAGGAGCCGAGTAAACGAGCATGTTTCAGTCTAATCTACATGCCGACAGCTTTATTTGCACAAAGCTTTTGCCTCGCGGTGGCCAGCGATGCGAAACTGTCACAGTAATCCCCCAGCCACGCCCACGGAATTCAACATCCCACCACCCACAAGCCACCCACCACCCACCACCTACTGAGACCCGACCAAATCAGCTTTTGCATTGACTAAGTATGCAACAAGGATTTTAGAGCTGCGGCAGCCTCTGCCGCTCAATCATCATTAAAAAGCAAGAAAGACCGGGTGCCGCAGTGGATTTGGGGTTGGGGGGAGGGGAGGGGGAGGGGTTGGGTTGGAGGAAGAAGACGAAGACGGATAGGGCTGCCAACAAGGACAACAAACGTCCAGCGGAATCCCTTCAACATTTCCCTTTGGAGGCGACTCACTCAAGCGCCGCAAAGTGCTTCCTCTCTGGCCGGGCCAAAACCAAGACCAATACCAAAACGAAGACCAATACCAAGACCAAGTCCGAGTCCGAGTCCAAGAAGTCCCTTGCCTCCGGCTCCTTGTGCCTGTTGCTCGAGGAGTGCACGCAAATAAAAATCATAGCAGGATATGATATCCTTCACGGCGCTCCACTAGTATCCTATTAAGTAAAAATAAAAAATGTGCCACAATAATTCAAATCATTAATAAGACAAAAGTGCCCCATTCGAGGTGTCCCAGAAATTCCAACAGACACAATATTGATTCGTTCAAAGGAGATGGAGCAATAAATTTAAATTTAATGACTTACGGGCAGAATATAAGAAAACGTTAAACTGGCTTTTTAAACTATTTATCACTGTACCAAAACTGTACCAACTGTATGAAATGCAATGACGATACTGCCGTAGCATGTTCCATGGATTAAAGAATTCAAATTTCGAATATAATACACTATTATTAACTTTATTAGGAGGCAATCTCTTTTAACAAAAGTGTAATAATTAAATCAACAAGAGGGTCAAATAAAAGTTGGTTTATTTTAAAGAAGTTTTGCTTAAAAAAATGTAAGAAGTTATATAAATGTAAGAATAATAGAAATACCAATGAGGTTTTACACATGTAAAGTTTATATATTTTCAGGGGTACAATTTTAGTATTCAAAATTTCACGATGTAAAATAAATATGAGCTAGAATTTTCCCATTTTTTTCCAGTGTCGATCCAAGTCCGCATTGCAATGTCGCCTGCTGCCCCTCGGCGTCGCCATCGTTTTCGTTTTCGTTTCCGGTAGGCAAATGGAAAGTGGGCAAAAGTGGGCGGGGGGCGGAAAGACGGGGGCGTGGCAGTGGCAGCGTGGCAGCGGGACATCGTGTGGCCATCCAGCTGTGAGCCAACTTTGTCGAGCAATTATTTTTAGCGCAGCTAGAGCGGCACTCACTTCATCTCGTCTCCGCTTTTGTTTGCCTTTCATATAAGCGAGTGCAAATACTTTTTTAAGTGCCTGTATAGGCTGTTGTCGTGCTTGTTGTTGCTGTTGACAGTTGTCGGCCTTTGAAGTGGCAAAATATTTGAGAAGAAAATGACTTTTCCGGGGCAGAGGGTGGCCGAAAAGAGGGGCCAATTGTCGGCGGGGGTATGTTAATGTTTTGGCCACAATTTGCTGGCCGGCAGAAGTTGATCCATTGTGGTCAGTGGCTGCCATTGCCGGTGACCTTAATTCGACGGAAGTCGACTTTGAGTCCTGCCATTTTGGGAAATACAAAAAAGGACGGTAGTCCTTTGTAAGCTAAGAGGAAATTGAGAACTTCGGAACGTTCCAAATTGCGTGCTTAACATTTCTTCATAATTTCCAAAATGCAATTAGCTAAATCCATTTAGCTATTTTTGCCGAAAACAAATTTTGACTAATTGGCATTCAACAATATTTCGATATAGACTAATTGATTATTAATAATTTTAGCCACACGTTTGAGGAGAAAAACATTAATAGCGCAAATTAGTACAAATTGGCTTTGAATATAATTTTTTAAATGCCTAAACACCACAGCTTTGATAAAACGCATACTAATAATTTGTTTAGACCGACAATAAAACACGTATTTGTGCATAATGTTTTTTTTTTAATTGGTTTTTTTTTGAACTGCCGAGTTAGATTACTTTAAGAGAGTTTATTTTAAATGGACGCGCAGAATTTTGTTCGTACTCGGATTCATTTTTTCTCCTTCCCTCTTGAACTTTTACGGGTAATTTGAATAAAATTCTTGACGTCAATCAGCCCTGCAATTCGTAAAATATTAAGTAGCCGACAAACATTTTTGCTTACAAAGGATAAGCTGAGCTCATCGCGGCTTTTAAAACCCTTTCCTTCCACTTTATGGGCTTTCTAATTTGGGTTGGAAGTTTGCTAGGCTTAGCTTTGAAATAAATTAAATTAAGAATATTTATTCAGGTAAAATATGTTGTTGTAGTTTTTGGCTTAGCTTTGAATTGGCGTGCAACATTTTTCAGGGACTTAAATTCTCACACATACAAAAAAACATATTTATTTTGTTAATCCAAGTCGAGCAGACATTCGTGTGCAAATATTGAAGCCCTATAGGGCTTATGAAAAAAGCTTACACTTTGTGTGTCTTATTAGCATGTAGTTTTACTTATGCAGATTGGGCTCCCAAAACATTGACGAATTTCAACCCAACGCAGGTATATATATATGTAGTAATGAATTAGATCCACTTACGTTTGAGTGCTGCATAAAAAGTTTATGGCACATAAAAACAAAACAGCTTAATTGTGAATTTTTAATGAAATTCAACTGACTGGAATGTGAACAACAGCGGTAAGCTGTTGATGTGAAATTAATAGTGGGAGTCCCAGTTAAATGCTGACAGGACGACAGTAATTCATTCTTTCCTGTTTTTGCTTAGGTCCATTAAAGCTCCATTAAACATTCGGTTTGATGTGTGACTTTAAATTGATTATAGCTTTTCAATTTATTTTAAATAAATTATTGTGTGGCCTCTTTTTTGATTTGTGTGCGATTTAAATCCGTAATCAGTTAATAAATTACAAATTCTGGCCCCTATCTGTGGTCGCTTGACTGCCTCGACCCCCTTCCCCCCCTCTTTTCCTATTATCCGTTCATCATCCGCGCGGTCAACGTTTCATTTTGTGATAAATCAGTGGGCTTTTTCCACAAATTTCGGCTTAGACCTCCTTCTCGGAACTCGCTAAAAATGAGGGCTATGCCTTCGCTCACCGCAAGCCAAGCATAACAATTGCTTTTTATTTTATGATCGCCAAGGACTCGTGCTTCTCCTGCTGCTCCTGCTGCTTCCTGGCCAGACAAATACCCCCGGAAAAGACCGCACATTGCTTGTCTTTAATTATGTTTTGGTCCTCGAGTTTTGTGCATTGCCTTGTTTATTTTTATTACTCGGCGCGGCGTCTGCGCCTGTTTATTTACATTAATTTTTTCAATTTACCTTTATTGCCCGGACGCAGAGGGTCCTTCGGTTTTGCCGGGACTTAATTAAGCTGTCAGCTGTTCCCCGCCATCCGGCTCCTCCAAATCACGGCCGGCGACTCCCCTTTAATAATAATTATTTTTATTTATGGCTTGGCTCCGGGGATTCTGGGTTTTTGTTTTTTGTTTCTTAGCGGTCTGAGTGCGACGTCAATTTCCATTTCCGCTGCATCCTGGCTAATTTGCCGTCAAATCATTGGGTCTATCCAGCATCTATAGCTGATATGGCGACATCAGCGCTTTTCCCTTTTCTGTACCGCCCCCGTTTGTTTAAGTGGCTCGGCTTTCCGGCCGGGGATAAACTCAAAAATGCCCCGAAATGCCAGGCACTTTTGAAATTTCCTACGCAATTTCCGTTGTCAACACCTTGACAGCTGTCAGACACACACACACACACTCACTCACACAGACACCCTCGAGTCACACACGCACAACCGCACAACCACACACTTGGCAGTTCGATTTTTGTTTTGCTTTCTTGCTCTTTTTTGCGCTCTATTGCCTAACGGAAGCGGAAATTGTTAGGCTTAATAGACAATTCGCATTTCCTGTCCCTTTGAAGTCCTGAATTCCCCCCTTTTCCACCTCCCCCCTCCCGTCACCAGTGCGCACAATTGCACAAATCAAGTTTCCCCGTCGCCATCGCTCCTTGTGGATCCCCATTGACTGAGCAGAATCACAATAATTACAATATTTAACATCCCAATGGCCAGGCAGGTCCTTTGCCACTCTAATGAGGCGTCGCCGAAGGACATGCATAATCAGTGAAACGACCAAACGGACGAATGAATCGGTGAACAAATGGGTGAACGGACGAGCGAGTCGCCGGCAGAAAATTGAAATTATGAGGATGGATAATTAATTAAGGAGATATTTATTGCTTATCAAATTCAGGCACACAAAGCTTTGAAGTCTGGCGGAAAATCGAATCATGTTCTTTGACGGTTGTAAGATGCTTTTGAAATAACAAAAAAAAAAACAATTTAATTTCATCGTAATTTTATAAATTACTCTGAAAATAGACAACTTTAATTAATTGCTGTTCAAGAAAAGTCGGGTAGATAGTAAATCTTTTTGAGTATAATCAGATTAACATAGAAACCTTTGCAAATTTAAACTTACTATATGTTTTTTTTCACTTTACTTTCAGATACTGTGTGGAATTCGAAGTAATCAAAGCTTCCAAGGCCTGCCACAAGTTACCGCCATACAATCTAATGCTGGAAGGTACGTACACTGTTCCGAAAATCCATCAACAAAAAATAAATTAAATATAATACACAAAGAAAACTAGCAAAAGTTTTAGGTGAAACAACTGGGTCGATTTTTTAAAAGCAAATTTTGTAACATTTAAAATTATTTGACATTATTATTATTATTATTTATTGTATCCTATAGTTTAAACTACACGCTAACAGGAATATTTAAATGGGAGCTCTCATACGATATTACAAAAACCTGGCCTAATACTTAATTTCTTTGCTTCTTTATAGTTTTGTTTGTCAACTTAAATAATAGTTGTATTTGCATATGTATATTGTGTTTTAACATGTTATTGGCTTGTTTTTTTCACCTAATTCACAATTTTCTATGTGTGTGAATAAAACTAAAAAAAACTAAAAACTAAGTTTTTTAATTTTTGCAACTATGGAAATACTATTTGGTTTTGTTTTTAAATAATTACCATGCTTGATCCTCTCCGCAGGCGATCGCATAACAGTGCGCTGTGACCTCGAGGCGTTGATCCAGGACTCCGCCGGCAGCTCCACCACCGCCAGGACACCCCAAGGCACCGCCCCGCCGCCCACCACCACCGCCTCCGGCCAGCGGGCGGATGACCTTGAGGAGGAGAGGCAGCAGCAGAGGGAGAACAGCAGCGGCAGCGACGAGGAGCCAGAGGCGGAGGAGGAGGAGGAGGAGCAGGAGCAGGAGGAGCAGGACGACCTGCAGAACGCCCTGGACACGGACAGCAACGAGAGCTCCGATTACCGCCACCAGCGACAGTCCCAGATGCAAACGTTCCACAGCCGCCGGACAGCGGGCAAGCGCAGCGCTGTCCCGGCCACGCCCCCGCCCACGCTGGCGCCCACCTACCACTGCCGGGGGGAGGGGCTGGCCGGGCGCACGACACGCTGGAGCGCGCTGCCGGCGCCGTCGTGCCGCGGCAAGTGGCTCCGCCTGACCGTCGGACCGCCGAAGAAGTGCGGCCACGCCCAGTTCATCTTTGTCTAAGGCGATGCATCCGGCGATCTTTTTTTTTCCGTGTAGGTTACGGTGTACGGCCACCCCCCCATCATATCATATCATATCGCCCACAACCCCGACCCCCGACCCCGCCCACTCAACCGAACGCCCCTTCACTTCCGGCCCGGACACAAGTACCCCATTGTATGTAAGCGTTTAAACATTAAGCCAGTGGATTAAGAAGATCATAGCATATGTGTGAGGTCAGTTTTTTTTTGTCTCGCTGGAGAGGCGATCCGGAAGATATAGTTGCACTGCCAGTGGAAAGCATATGGAATATGGAGGATTACCACACGTTGCACCAGGCAAAGTTGCATGTCCAGTTGCATGGTGGGAAATGCCACATGAAAATTTAAAAACATTTAAGACACCCTTAGTCGAGTTTCATATACTTCAGGATTTTTTAATCACTTTGATTAATTTATAAAATTCTGTAGATGTATCACAATTCCCAATAATAAATATTCAATGGATTCGCAAAAAAACAAGCATAGATTTAGGTTGCCTATGTCCGCCACGAAATATTTTCTTTACGAAATCGACAAATGGGTTCCGAAATATTTAAGTAACTTTAGGCAATATAAATACTATTTAACAACTTGTATGCAGATTTTGATCACCCTTTTCCGACACATTTATATAAAAGCATTTCAAAAGTTTTTTAAGCATCTCTGAAAAGATAATTCCCACTTCGTTTTAAAGCTAATAGTGTCGCTGAAATCGTAAAGATTATTGTGATGTTCAATTAATCGAGTTGGCATAAGGAAGATCCGAAAAAAGCTTTTAAACTCATTCAAAAATAATTAAATGTTTTAAATAATATTATAAAAATTATATGTTACACAAAACATCAAAATGTGAACGAATGCAAAACTAGTATGTGCAACTTTGTAGCGCATTTATCAACCATATGTCCATATTGAAAAATAGGCCCTGCAACCCAAAACCACGGCTGTTGTGGACTTTCTTCGGATAGCTTTTCTCTAAGTAGCTTAGGAAACCCCCTCGAGTAAACTCCAAATATGACGGGGGTCAATGAGGACGCTCATCTTGGATCGGATAATACTAGAAACTAGAGACTAAGTCATCAAATACCGCATAACATCGTCAGCGAACACGGAGTCGGGCTGCGTAGTGAAAGAACCTATATATATGGATGTGCATGAGTGTATCTGTCGAATCGTTAGTTCCCCGACTTGCATCATACCCACACTCAATGTCCAAGGCAAGTTGTGCGCCATGATTTCAGTTATCCAACTGTCGGACAACCTTCTGGAGTCGGAACTAGCGTTTGGATCTTAGCATTAATCTGGATTTTAGGTACACACGAATGTCGAAAGTAATTAATAAAATTATAATTAAACAAATAATGAGATCATTCAATAAAGAACGAGTATAATTTTAAAGTAACTCATTCGCTTTTATGTTCTGGAATCTACAATTTCCCAATCTACCGTTTCCATCAATCCTGGTTTTCCAACAACTAGTTTGGCAAGAGTGCGGCACAGTGGGTTGACACTACTAGAGAAGTTGGAGTTCCAAGTCTCTAGTGGAAGGCAACGTTTAAGGGGCAGTGAAGTTTTTTTAATGTCTTAGATATTTTTGAGTCTGCTTAAAAATTGGAAAATACTCACCAAAATGTATTAATGGTAAGTATGACAACTTAAGAAGTTTCTCAATTAAAACCGCAACATGAACTTAAAAATCCTAAAATCTGATTAATTTTTAATCTTTTACCCGTAGTACACGAATGTTTATCGCGTACATAAGATTAAGACCACTAAGGAATTTCTAAATAATTATCTAATTAATACAATTTAAAATCGAACATTGCATTAAAAAAGTGTTTTATGTTGTAATTGGGACAAAATATTTTTAACATTTATAAAACTATCTATTATTTTTTTCACGTACATATTTGGAATATGTTTCTCTGCACAACGAACACTTATTATTTGTTTTGTCTGAAGTTAGCATTCATACATTTGTCATCATCTTTTTTTTCAAGTCAAGGGAGGGTTAAGGTCTGCAAACAATGTTCTCGCACCCACTGTGCTTGGATAAGCTCTCAGCTGATTTGGATTTACCGGTTGACCCAATTACCAGTGGACAGGTGCCTTACGCTCTTTCTCTCTTTGCTCCCTTTGCTTGCGACGAGTTCACGGTGAAGGCCGGAAGAACGAAGACAGAGAAGCCGAGGAGCCGGGCTTCAGACTTGGATACTTGGAGAAAGAGCCGAGAACCGACCAGAGACGAATGCCTGATTAGTCCCAAAGCGATCGTCGAGCGAGACGGACCGTCGACGTCTTGAATTGAGTTGAGTGCTGTCCACCTGTCCACCTGAGAAGCTGCAGTCCAGCCAAACCGCCTACCGCCGCCAAGAGTAATTCCCCATTTGCATTCTTCTGGTCTCTTCTGGCCCGGTGATTCATCAAGTCCATCGAGTTCTTGGCCGTCCGAGTGGTTCCCGTTCTTTTGGCCGCGAAGAAAGTTGTCTTCGAACATGTTAATTGTGACGCGACTGTGCGAGGGGCCGTGGGCATTTGTAGCAGTCGATTTCTTTTAACGGTCTTAGCTTGGCCAAACGAAAGCACTTTTCGTTCGAGCCGATAATCCGATACGTCGAGATATTTGTCAAAGGCCCTCTTGTGTTTTTTGTTTTCGAGTACAGCCCATTAAGAACGTTTAAAGTGTTCCCGTAAAATAGCTTACTTCTTACGAAAGGTCGTCGGAATCAACTTAGACTTAGAGTAAACTTAAAGGTCAGAGAACTTCCACATAATACCAAGTGCTTCACTTGACCTATTCTAAGTCTAAAGCTCGTTTACTAAAACTGAATTTCAATTAAATAAAATAGGCAATAATTTTATTCTTAAAAGGGTTATACACTTAACATCTAAACAAATAAAGACGCTTCGGTCTTGAATATATTATTGCTATACATTATCAATTAAATGAAGATAAGTAACCCCATATTCTTGTGAAATGCATTTTAAACCTTAAAAAATTTAAAGTAATTTCTATCCCTAATATATTTTTCACAAAAATCAGGAAATTTATTTCACAAACAATACTTAATATATTTTTATTTTATTAGCAACACACTATAGTTTTAACTCACCATTATTCGCCCAATACTTTTTCGACTAAACTAAGGTTTGAAGATATTTCTAATTTTAGAGAAAAGGGCCGCAGATATGTTTCCAGATAAGCAGACGGCGCTCCTGCTGGTGACCGCGATCACCGCCCTCAAATTGGAGGAAGCCGATTCCTTCAGGCGCAACTTTGATGCGCGCCAAAGCAGCAATTCGAACATTCCACTCTGGAAACAGCGAGTAAGTACAAGTAACTCAATAAATATGAGCTTAATTCCAAGATTGTTTTAACCACCTCAGGCCTGCGAGAAGTCGCAGAAACAGAAGCAAAACGCACATTACGTGTGCGATGAGAAGGGCGACTTTAAGTGTCTTCCGGGATGGCAGGGTGATCTCTGCCAGGTGCCCATGTGCCGGAGGGGCTGCGACCCCATGAATGGTATGCCCCACCCCAAAAGGTGATCCACTCGCCACCAATGACACCACTCTGTGTCCATTCCACAGGTTACTGCCAGCGACCCGGAGAATGCAGGTGCCGCATCGGATACAGTGGCGAGATGTGCGACAAGTGCATCCCACTGCCCGGCTGCCAACACGGAGGATGCACCAAGCCCTTCGAGTGCATCTGCAAGCCCGGCTGGGCCGGACTCTTCTGCACGGAACGTAAGTAGAGGCCAAATGGAAAGGGTATTAAACTATTCAAGAAACCGTAAGAACAGCAGCTCTTCATTTGAAACAGCTTCATGTTGAGGAAAGCAATTTATGTCTTGGTTTGTGGGAAGCTTGAAATACCTTTTGCTTAATTAGTTAGGGAATATTAAAAAAAGTGTTATAATAAAAAGCAGTCGACTTACCAAGGTAGCTCTGATATATAGGGGTGTCACAGAAATCTTATCCAAGCTGTTACACCCCCGATGAAAGGACAATTTTCAGACAATCTTTCACAAATGCATTCTTCAAGTTACTTGAATCGAACGTAAAATCGGTTTGAAGCAATCTGATTGGCAATCCGATTACTTAATTGCCGGTTTCCTCTGCCCGCAGCCAGTTGCCGGAGCGGATGCCACAGCACCCGGGGATATTGCGAGGCACCCGGCGAGTGCCGCTGCCGGATTGGCTACGCCGGACGCACCTGCTCCGAGTGCGCCACGATGCCGGGCTGCCAGCACGGAACCTGCAACAAGCCGCTCGAGTGCCTCTGCCTGCCCGGCTACACAGGACTCCTCTGCCAGACGCGTAAGTCCTGCTGCGACTGCTGAAGGATCCCCGAACTAATCCCACCCCATTCCCCCCTCCCCACCGGCAGCACTGTGCGACCCCGACTGCAGCAAACAGCACGGATACTGCCGCAAACCTGGCGAGTGCCGGTAAGTAGGAAGCCCAATGCGGAATTCTAGTTGCGAGGGAAGGAAAGTGGGTCTAAGAAGTTTATACTTGTCGAAGGACTTGACTAACTAACGGCATGCCAAGAAATCTTTTTTAAATCACTTGCTTGCACTTGCTTGCTTTATAGGCTATGCCACTCTTGCAAAAACATAATTAAAACTTAGTTCAAGCATTGGATCAACTAGGTCCAAGATATTCCGATTTAAATTTGATTTAATTTTTTTAAACGGCAATCTTTTAAATATTATTATTGGCTACCAAGCATTTAAATAATTGTGGGTGGCAATAGGAAATACATACAAAGGCTATGTCTATATATCATTATATAATTATTATTATTATTTTAATATAAAACAGGAAATGAAGCAAATTCTATAGCTCTTACAAAAATTAAATATTCTATATTTCGATGCTTAAAAACAATGAGGCTATTTGGATTTTTCGATAAATTTATAAAAAAAAAATGAATTCTGATATCCTTAAAAATGGCTACATCTCTGAGTATATGGGTAAATGTTAGAAAACAACGAAGTTATAATTTTTTGTCCTTTTTTCCAATTGTTCAGAACAACAGAAAGAAGACTTTTTGCTAAGTTTCATCGAAATACCTTAAGAACTAGAAATGGACAGATCTTTATAGAATATGAAATGTGCCCTTCACTGCGTTGCAATCTTTTGGCTTAAATTATGGTACCCTCTGCAAGAGTATTAAGATTATTTAATTTATAAGTATCCATATTTTTGATAATATTATAATATTTGGGTGGCTGAATTTAAATGTATATTCTTAGTATATGCGCATACACAGGTTTTTGTTTAGCAAATAATTTCATGTTTATACTTCCATACGCTTTCCCTGAAAAGTTTAAAGCTATACCACTTGTTTTATTATTGCACATACATATGCGTATCTGAACCAAGCATTAGTCACTTGAACAACATCAATTAAGTCACCCATATCCGACAAACTTTTTCCACGCACACCCTCAATTTGCTCCTCCAGCTGCAAAGTGGGCTGGACGGGCAGCCAGTGCGACAAGTGTTTTCCGTACCCGGGATGTGCCAACGGGGATTGCGAGGCGCCGTGGGAGTGCAACTGCCATCCCGGCTGGGGCGGGATGCTGTGCGATGAGAGTGAGTATGCAGCCGTATGCGTGACCGCCTCCGGGAACTGACCACGTTGACCCACAGAACTCACCTACTGCGTGGAGCATCCGGACACGTGCGAGAACGAGGGCAAGTGCATGTCGCTGAGCCGCGAGGATGGCAGCTATCGCTGCCAGTGCCGGCAGGGATTTCTGGGCAAGAACTGCGAGATACGCGATGACTTTCTGCTGACCTCGGTGGCGCCACCGCGCATCACACCGCCAACGCCCTCTGATTTGGAGCTGGAACTGGACCAGGACCAGGACCAGGACCAGGAAACAGGTGGGCCCTCGCCTGATGTCAACACGATAAGCGGGGGTGGGGGCGGTGCCGGTGGACAGGTGGAAAAGTTGCCGGCGGGTAACGAGCCGGAGCGACGGACAAATGACACCGCAGGAGCCATGGCTCCACGACCCACTAACGACAACACCAACATCAACACCACCGCCACAAGGACGACAGTGGTGGCAACTGGAGCTGGCAGCCACAATGCGACTAATGAAGCGTTAAGCGCCGTAACAACGAGGCGTGCCACCCCAGTAACAACAACACCACCCCTACCAGCAACATCCGGGGAAAAAGCCGTAAAGGGCGATGCAACAAGTGTGGCGGCTGCGACAGGACCTCTGCCACGCCCCCCTCCCATCAGCCCCACACAGCTCACTAGCCAGCAGCAGGCAATGGCAACTTTGGGGCCAGCTGCAACAGCAACAGCTACAGTAGCAGCATCCGTGACCAGCCACAAGGACAAGCCAAATGCGGAGGACGAGGAGGAGGATGAAGATGACGAGGATGACGATGAGGACGAGGATGGCGAATACGACGAGGAGGAGGACGAAGACGAGGACGATGAGGAGGATGACAGCGATCAACTCATACCAAATATTATATAGTTAAGGAGCTGACAAATGGCTATTAATTCTATTACTTATATCCGGTGCTCATGTAAGGATTACATTAAAGATTCAGATCTGATTTTGGAATGAGCCACCAGGCTCCATTCTTCTAATCATTTAAACAAAAAGGGCAACCTAAGTTTTCATAAAAGGTATAGAAATATGGTGACAACATGTCTTTACACAGATTGAAGTAGGTCACAAATGCAATCCAATGAGTACCGAGTATCTCACAACTTACCTTACTTGTTTTTTTTTCATATTTTTTAATTGATGGGCCCCCCAATTAACAAGCCCAACTTTTGCGATAGATATACATATATAAATTGTATTTATTTATGATAATTTTAGGGATTAAACTAAGCAATTTTCGATTTAACAAATGTCAAAAAAAAATGATAATAATAAAGTTTGCTAATCTTAAGTGCTACACGAAATCGTTGAAACGAAATGAGGAGGGGACCAATAGGTTGGACTCAGAGCCGGGGGAGTTCAATTCCAGCACTCGGATTGCACTTGGTTCGCTTAAACTTAGGACAAGAGGGATTTCGAGCGGGTTGAAGAGGGATCTATATGGCCATCGTAGCGCCACCGAGTTGGGGGAGTGGTTCGGGGTTTGGGGCACAGAAACCAGCACAACATAAACATCTAAACATACATATGTATCTTGCATATGGGCGTTAATAAATATATGTATCTGGTAAGGGACTTACGAAACGACAAAAAAATGTTTGTGAAATTATTGGTAGAATAACTCAATACAATATCGATACGAATAATAATAATTATGGGTATGGGCAGCAAAGAGCCACCTTTCGGGCCCTAGTTGAGCTCCCGCTTGTCGCGCTGACTGATCTGGGCCATGGTGATGTACTGGCGCACCAGGCGCGAGATCTCGTGAGCCTGCTCCGTCTGGACGCGGATCACGCGCTGCTGCATCAGGTTGCCCACCTTCATGTCCAGGAAGAGGGCGCCGTCCTCCGAGCGAACCTGCACCAGGAAAATCCATATTAGACCAGAACGTTAAACAAAAGATTTCACAAATTGCTCACCTTGCGCGTGGAGATCACCTCCATGAAGCTCCAGTGCTGCAGGGTCTCGTGGGTGTTGGGATCCAGGAAGAGGACGCCGCGTCGGTTGAGCGCCAGGATGAGGTCGCGCCACATGGGACTGTGGTTGTCCTCCACATGCGGCCCTTCCTCCGCCCAGATGCGCTTCACGGCGAAGAAGCTGCTCCCGAAGAGCGGCCAGGTGGCCAGCACGTTGAGGAACTGCGCCTTCACCTGGCCGGGACTCAAGTTGGCCACCTGTGGCCACGCCGACTGGACGAGGCCCACCCACTGGGCGGGTCGGATCTCACGGATTCCCAGCGCCGGCTTGGGCAGCAGAAACTTGATCTCCTTCATCGCGGGCACGTGACTCAGATCGGCGGCACGGTGCAGCAGGGCGGCGATCCGTGCCATATCCCTGACCATCTCCGGCACGGGCACCCCGTTGCCGGGCAGTTCCAGCAGCAGACCCTCCAGATAGTCCGGAGCCACCTGGTTGAAGAGCACCTCCACGTACAGGGGCATCGGAGCTGGTTCCCGCTTCAAGGCGAAGTGCCACACGGAGCGGCAGAAGATCAGGTAGAAGGGCTGCCCGGACTTGAGCAGCTCCGTGGTCACGTCCAGGATGTACTCGTCGGCGGCCAGCGGCATGGTGAAGGCGTCGCCTTGGACGATGCAGTACAGGGAGAACTCCTGCTGCTCGGCCTCCGATTCCACGCCCAGCAGGGCGCACAGCTCGGCGATGACGTCGGCCACCACGGTGGAGCAGCGGGTGTTGACCACTCGCTCCGCTCCTCCGGGCAGGCGGTAGATCTGCCGGCGGGCCGAACGGCCGGCGGACACGGCGGTCACCTCCTCCACACTCGGCACATTCTTTCGGCCACCGCAGCGGGCCGTCTTGCGGAGATTGGTGAGGCAAACGGCCGCCGTGCCGTGACAGGACCGCCGCCGATCGGAGGCCGCCGAGGTCAGGTGCTCCATCAGGTAGGGACGCAGTGCGTCCGAGCAGCCGAAGTACGCCGCCAGAATGCTGAGGAGGCGCCAGGCGCGTTGTGAGCTATCCGGACACGGTGACCGGTTGGCCGTTGTCTGCTTCATCAGCTGGCAGTAGACCTCGTCGCGCAGCGCCAAGTATTTGTGACAATGCTGCAAGATCGGATAAGAACATATGTTATATAGCATAACGTTAAATGGATAACGAAAATCTGCATGAATTTCACGTTGATCTATTACCCAATTTCATGAGAATTAAAAGGCTGAGAATCCCAAATTTAAATATTCTACTATTAAAAAACTCGATTGCCAAACAACTAATAATTAATTTCAAAATGTATCTTATAAAGTTATGTGGTACTTAAATTGCTCATTCTTGTACAAATACACATACCAAAATATCTATTCTCATTATTGCATAATATTTTGAAGATAACTATAGCTTTATACAGCATAAGTTTGCAAAACAGGATTTAAGTTGTGGATGTTTGACTGCATGTCAAGTAGTTCATATCAGGAAACTGATTTTTCTTTTACAAAAGTTGGCTAGCAGCATTTGTTCATTGTAGACAAAAGTCAAAATACTTCCGATAGCTTATATAATACCTCTTCCGGTTGCCAAATCAAATCAAGTTTTGAAAAAGTGAACCACGTTTTTTGGGACTCGAATATATGTTGATCCGAAGGATTACTATACATTCATAATAAACAAAATGCATTTGTATATATTAAACATACATATGTGTGTAAAGAAATAACTTAAAGAGTGCCAGTATTTATTGTACCAAAACTAATTCACATTGGTAATCGTTCCTCAAATGGCTACAGTAAATTGCAAAACCGCGATATACACACTTGTAAACTGTTGTAATATTTAGAGGTTTCTGCGTTTTAAAAACATTTCCCAACTTCTGCTCTCTAATCAACTTTCGGCACATTAAAACCACAGACTTGCAAAACGATCTGCAGGCTTTTCTTTTCCAGCTAGTTTATGACTTCGAGGTGTTCACAATCCGTTTCCGGTTCGGGTGCGAAGCTCGAATTTCTAGGGCAGCAGAACAGGCAACGATTTAGTGGTCGCCCGAAACCTGTTGCAGTTATTTGCTGCGACCACCTCTAAAGTCCGGTGACTTAGACTTGGAACCGGTTTTGGTAACCCAGAACTCAGAATCCAGAACACAGAACACAGAACCCAAGAGCCCACTCACCATGAGTACGGTGTAGACGCACTTGACCTCGGTGAGGTCGGGATCCAGCGGGATGTCGCCGCAGTAGCGCAGGATGCAGTCGAAGCACTCGAGCGCCAGTGGCGCCAGGTCATTTGGGAGTCGGAGGAGCGGCAGGCGTATGGCGTGGCCCTGCCACTTGACCAGCTCCGCGTAAGAACGGTTCGCGGCGGACTGGTGCCGCTCATGGTGCCGGTCAGCGTCCCTTAGTTGGCTGCAATAGAGAATAACTATTAAAACTATGCCAAGAAAATGGGGTCAGTTCCACCTTTAATAACACCAACAGTTTTGTCCTTAATCTTTGTCGATAAAATGTATAAATGGTTAACAACTCTCAGAAAAAATAAAAATAGATAATGAACAAGAGAGAACGCTATAGTCGGGTGCCCAGACTATCAGATACCCGTTACTCAGGTAAAGGGAGTGCGAGGGAGATGGAGATAGAAACTTTGATCACGCATAACTTTTTAACGAATGGTCCGATTTGAAAAATTTCTTCTACATTTCGATAGGTATTGATAAACACAATAAAACTGCATTTTTACTTTTCCGAAATATTTAAATTTTTAAAATCGTATATAAACGATTGTGGGCGTTAAAGGGGGCGTGGCACCATTTTGAAACAAACTTGCGCTGCGTAGGAACTCCTAGAATCTGCTTGCAAAATGTTAATCTTCTAGCTTTTATAGTTTCCGAGATCTCAGCGTTCATACGGACAGACAGACGGACAGACGGACAGACGGACAGACGGACAGACAGACGGACAGACGGACATGGCTATATCGACTCGGCTAGTGACCCTGATCAAGAATATATATACTTTATAGGGTCGGAAACGCTTCCTTCTAGCTGTTACATACTTTTGCACGAATACAATATACCCTTTTACTCTACGAGTAACGGGTATAAAAATATACTGATATACTGATATCCCATTGATATTACACTTTTCTCTTTACAAGCAGAATAATTTGTTACATAAGAACTTTAATTCCCCCCAGCAAACTTGTTATTTAAGGAGCATGTCGGTTTCGCCCCACTACAATGAACTCAACTTACTCGTTGCGGAAGTGCTGCATGGCGAACTGGAGCAGCGAGTACTTGGTGACCGAGGGCGGAGTGCCGCCGTTGGCCTCCTCCTGCAGATAGTTGGCGTCCAGGTCGTGGTGCGGCAGGGACTGCGACTGCTGCTGCTGCTGCTGGAGGAGCTGCTCCTGCTGGTGCACCTGTCCGTTGGTCAGGGAGGAGGGCTGCTGGCCAGCGTTCGACTTGCGGGCGGAGTGCAGGTAGCTCTGCTGCTTGAGGAAGCGCTGCTGCTGACCCTGCTGCTGCTGCTGCTGCTGCTGGTGATCAACGGCCATCTGCTGCTCCTCCAGTGCATCCTCCAGCTGCTGCTGCTGCTGGTGGAGCTGCAGGTGGTGGTGCAGATCGGCCTGCTGCACCTGCTGCTGCAGTGACTCGATCTGGCGCGATCCGCCCTCCACGCCGTGCTCGTTGCGCTGGGCGTGCGCCTGGCGGGACTCCAGGCGCTCCAGCGGCACATTCAGGGTCTGGGCGGCGGCTCGGGCGCCCGACGACAGCGTGGAGCCCTTCGATTGTGACTGCAAGAGGGAGGAAGGGAAGAGCTGTTATTGTTACTATTATTTAATTCTTATACATACTATAATACGAGATACTATAAAATATTGTTTTACATTTAAAACTACTACTACTTAAATATAATTTTTCGTACCTCTACATTTGTTTATAAGCCTGTTTGTTTGGTTTTAAATAGGTTTTTTGTTTTTTCGTTGCAATTAATCTCTTAAGTTTTTACCATTAGATCATCACTATTTCATAAGCCGGGATAACTAATTAATTAACGTAATCGCCGTGGCTTTGCAAAAAAGATAGCCAAAAAAGTATTATAGAGAAATTACTTTCAAACTTAATTGCAAGGCTGCGTTTAAAACGACTTACTATTATACTGATAAAAAAATATTTAAATAATGCTTTCCTATTACAAAATATGTATTATATTAGAAACTGGAGTCTAATTAGGAATAATACAAAATTTCCCTTATAAAGCTTTCAATTGAAGTAAGATTCTGTCTTGAATTGCGTATATTTTAGACAATTTTTCATGGTTTATTTTATTTGGTTATTTTCTTATGCCTAAAATTAACATAATATATTTCTTCAAAATGAATTGATAAATTATTAGTATTATTAAATATTAATTATCTAATTTTAAATGAGATTGTGCTAATATTTTTAAATAGAAACTAATTAAACTTGCATTGGTCAGTAATTCATACAGGTTGAATGTCATAATGCCATGAAATGAAGACCAGGTTAACAAAGATTTTATAGAAAGGATCGAACATTGATTTCGAAAGTCGATTTCTGACTGGCGATAACAATTATTTTTTACCGTGCACTGCAGGAGAGTGCAGCTGAGAGGGGCTGCAATTTGTTAATTGACTTGCAGGCGCAACTCGCATATTTTGCTGGCCATGTCAATGGCATGTGAAAGTTGCTGGGCGCCTTTTTGGCCAGCTCGTAGCAACCAGTTGCCGTTAGCTGTTTGCTGTTTGCCATTGCCGCCCATCCAGCGGGACCGGTTGCCGTTGTGCGGGGGGCGTGGCAGATGATTTATGCTCCCATATTGACCGGTGACAGCTGGCGGGGATTGGCGGAGGGAGGGACACTGCGTTTTTGGCAACGAAAGTGTTTGGCATTGGCGATTTTTCACTTTTATTGCTTGCATTCAATTATTTGGTGCAATTTGTTGCAATTGCTTTCTTTTCTTCTTTTCTTCTCTTCTGCTCGTTTTTAACTCTTGCACGCCCCCACAGGCACGCAGCCATATATTTGGCTATAAAGATAGACATACACTTAGCCACTTCCTCCCCAACGCCACAACGCCCCCTTTGGCCCGCCATGCATTTTGCACGCTCATGCGAGAAGAGATTAGTAAAAGTTGTTGTTTATGAAAGCGGAAATCTTTCACCAATCAATCAACTTGCCATATGTGAAAAATTATGCGCATTGTTCAAATTTTGGCCAACAACGTGAAAAACCGCTGCAGGAAAATAGCAAACAAAAACAAACTCATTACACCCAACTGGTTGTAAATGAAGATTGATATTGGTATTGCAACTGTTTTCCTAAATTAAACAAAAAATGCAGCAGAGAGAGGAAGAGTGGATCGATAGTTTTAAAGGTGATTTGTATTGAACTACATATCAAAGCTTCAAAAATAAATTTAGCGACTCAATGACAAGCTCTATTCCTTTGTTTATGTCTACGTATCTCATTGTGACGGCTTAACTGAAGTTTCTATCAATATTTTACGCAAGACCAACGGGAATGAAATATAACAGAGGTTTTCGGTTTATAAATTATTCATGATTTTCGGCTATTTTCATTTTTAAGATTTCTCAAGTGCGGTGAGGAAAACCACAAAAAGCTTGTTAATTTGCTTAAATGACTGCCTAACGTATTTCAAAATGTTCCATGCCACTCTGCATTTTCCATGTGGTTATTTACTGTGCAATGTTTGAAAGAATGTTTGTAAAATCATGTCAATGAGCACAAAACCTCGAAAAATATTGCCAATCGGACTACATGAGCAATTAGCAAGAATCTTACTAGAAATGGCTGTCTTGCAGTTCTGCCATTCCTTTTTGATTTCTATACATTAAATAAGATATTGAAAAGTAAAATAAAAATAATGAAGAAAAATAAGAAAATATTGAGAATAAAAAACTACTTTCAAAAATATTATAAAAGCGCTTATCAATTTTAAAAACAAGAAATAAATTCATTGAATAGAAGTCCTGGTGAGTTGTAAAATATAAATTTTCAAATTCTATCTGGAGTAAGGAAAAGTTTCCCAGTGTATGGCATTCGCTTCACCTTAAGACTCCATAAATGGCGTGGGTGCAACAACAGGCTCAGCTGCAATCACCGTATAATCAAAGACATCGAGATCGCCTTGGGACGAGGATCACCCAGATCCGAGTGCCTAATCCCAGCCAGAGGCGTTCGGGACTTGTCCGGCTGTCTGGATGGATGCTATCGAGAAGTCTCGGCCTGTTCGGCTGTCAGCCGAAAACGGGGCCAAATGTCGTGTTTGCGGCGCATATGGGTATGGGACTGGACTGGACTGGAACCTGGCTCCCAACTGGGTCAGATGGCCTGAATCGGACTCTAGATGCTCCAGTTTCCGCCACTCGACTTGCACCGAGAATTCTCGTAAAGTCACACACACTCGCACACTCACATAGAGCAAAAACAAGAGTTAAATTTGGAGTGTAATTTCTAAGTGACCGCTAAAACTTTCTTTTCGGCTGGCTTTGTGTTATTTCATATGTGCCTCTTTCTTTGTTTTGCCATCTCCAGTTAATTAAATTCGAAATTAATGCGCACCAGTCCGCTTGTCCGCTCGTCCGTCCGTTCGGATGGATTTACGGCGGACCAAACTGCAGCGGATGAGCGCTGTTCGAAAGAAATTAAAGTAATTTGCCATTGGGGAAGCGGCGGCTGGCGCAATAAAGACGCACAATCCAAGACACACGAAAAGTGTAATTAAATTATTGAAATCAAATTACAGTTAAATTACAATGTTTTTTAGCGCTCGGGGAAAACGGCGCTCGAGTATAATAACCCATATTGTGGTATCGCCGCCTGCATCTTTGTGGGTCACCAACCCATCCCATTCCATTCAGCAGTTCTTATTGTCTTTCATCTTAAGTTTTTATGGATCGCACACACCACACTCACTCGCTCCGAGTCACTCTGGTCATCGAACCCGAACTAGGAACGTGATGGCATCTTCTTTGATCCAACACGCTCATCATTTTCCGGGGCCAAGAAAGTTCGCCAGGGAATTTAGAACGTGCAATACCCATCCTATCCCCCTGGTCAACTCAATTCAACCTCTTGCAGCTGGACAAGATCGATTAAACACAATCTACGGATTCATTAAAACCACTGGTCAGCAAAACGGAGCCGAAGAAATATTCCCCATTTTGTATTTTAATCACTGAGCCCAGGACGTGCTTCAATCTCTAATAATAATATTTGATAATATTTTGATAATTTGATTTTAGCATTGCATATTTGAATTATTTTCTTTGATTTTTAAATTGATCTCTATAAATTTTATAAAGCTTTTTTTTTGAATATTTTAATTCGACACTAACTCTCTTTGAACAATAATAGTAGAAGGCCTAGCTAGTACTATGTCTTAATTTGCTAACGAAACTATCATTTATAGTAAGTAATTAATTAGTAATATATATATAAATATATATAAAGCCCAATATTTTTTACAAATAGCATCTAAATATCATAAGAGACATGACTTAACTACTAATACAAATTGTATCATGTACATTTTCTGGTTTAATTTAATTTTTTTAATAAAGCATCACAGCTGAAAAACAAAGAGTTTTTGTTTGTACTGAGTAAATATTGAAGAAATATAAAAGAAATTCTTTTTGTGTTGTTAAGACAAACTATAACGTATAAATAACAAACAAAAACAAAATTCAATAAGACTCTTTCTAACCCTTTTTTTGTATATCCAAATTGACCCCTATCGGATGAACAATAACAAATGAAAAAAAAAACAATGATCTTGCTGGAGTTCCGTGGAGAAACTTGGTTAATCTCTTCTTGGTATCCCAAAAATATGCGGTTCAGAGTTCGTCATCAAACTCTGATGCCGACATGGAGGCTGGCCGAGATGCTGTCATGATGCGGGGACCTCGGCTAATGTATCACTCGCTGTTATATAAGCGACACCGAACCAGAGATCGCCAGTTTAACCGCTAATTAGCCCACCAACCAGGCGGCCCAGCAATGAGGTTTGTGATGTAAGAGGGGACTGACTGCTCAGTGGGTTGGTGGGTTGGTGGGCTGGTGGGTTGGCCACTCGCCTTTGTGGCCACGCTAATAATGCGATTATGTGTCGACTTAATAACACCGTTAGGCCCCAGCACTACGAGCATTCATCTCTCCCCCGGAATCACCCCGCTCCCCGCTCCCCGCCCTCAACATACGAGCCTATGATTTGTGGCCTTTTCGGTGGACCGCTGAAAAGCACTCGTATTTGATTAACTCCTCGTTTGTTTTTACCTCCAAAATTTGTGGCAAGATTGCATTGGCGGAAAAGCATAAAAGGGGAAAGGTTGAAAATAACCTTAACAGTTTTAATGGTCTACACTTTAAACTCGTCCAGTTTATGGAAATATGTGTTGACATAATAGATTTATCGCTTTTTTTTTTACTTTTTAAATAATTTAAAAGACAATTTTTAAATTTCTACCAGTACGATTCAACTTGAGGAGTGCCTGAAGTTTTGTTTAACATTTTAGAGCTTTTGTTTAAAGGTATATATTTTTAAAAACAAATTCTTCAGTTTGTTTTCAATTCAAGTCTTTGGGTTGAAAAAGATTCTGATACACCAGCAGTTATTACATCTCAACTCATCCGAAAATGGGTTTTTTTCTGTTTACCTCATTGGAGTTCATGGTCTCAAACCGCGCCAGGATCTCCTTGACAGAGATCTTTGACTCCGTGGGCTCCTCGAGGATCGTCTCCATGCGGCTGACGGATCCACTGCTGGCGTTGCTCACCCGCCGCGTCTTGCTGCTGCCCACGATGAGCATTGCCGGGGATGCCAAGGGGTTACTCCCTGGGAAGGCGGTCAGATTGGGGGCGGAAACGGGAGCCGGCGAGCAGCCGGAACTGGAGGCGGAATTCCCTTCGACTGGGGGCAACTCCAAGGCGGCCTGCTCCTCGTTATTGTTGTCGTCTCTTTGGCTGAGCTGCATCTTGAAGCTGAGCTGCTCCTCCAGGCAGCACTGCTCGCAAAGACTGCCGGCGGAGGAGGTGGATCTGAGGGTGGCCGTGGCGCAGCACTTGTACACGATGTCCTCCTCGACGCTCCAGGCATTGTCGTTCGCCAGTCCGAGATCCCCGTCCGCCCCCGAAGGATGCCCCCCCTGGTGGATGGTCATCGAGGCACAGCACTGTTCGTTGAGCTCCCGAATACTCTCGTTGGTCAGCTGGTCGAGATCGCTGCGCCGCATCTGCTGGTGGAGCGACTGCATCTGGGCGTGGTGCACCTGGGCCGCGGTGGTGCCCGTAATGTGGGCTATTTCCGCGTCGTCCGAGTCCGTGTAGAGCATCTCGTGCTCCTCGTCCGTCAGATTGTTCAGCGAGTCCAGGGAGGCGCATTTGCACTCCTGTTCGCCATCGCCTTCGCCTTCCTGATCCTGATCCTGAGCCTGCTGCTCATCCTGCTGACGACCCTGCTGCTGCAGCAGCTTAAAGTTGTTGACCTTGTCGTGGTGCATCTTGCTAATCAGCGACTCCACCTTGTTCACAATGCTGCTGAACTTGTGGGGCACACTGCCGCCGCCGGAGGTCAGCTGCACCGCCTGGCAGGACTTGCTGGCCCGCACGCTCTGCGACATCCTGGCTGGGAATCTGTGGCCTTGGGTTCGGGTTCGGGTTCAGGATCGGGATGCTGGCCCAGTCACGACCATTGCCATAAGACCACAGACTATCGGTCTCACCGTCGCAGTGAAAGTTAGTGCATTGTGATGGACGGCCTGCAGGCTCTATTCCACCATGGTGAATGCTCAAATATTGTTTGCACAGCGGTTCGAGGTTCGGGGAAAAACGTGCAGGCACATAAACAACAAAAACAAGGAAAATTCGTCGGGCGAAAATGAAAAACGAACCGCAGCGGACAGCGTTTCCCGCACAATGAGTGGAATGGATTCGATGGTCGGACACACACATCAAGCCATACGTATACGCGATTTTTCTTGCCTCGCTTTTGTTGTTGCTATTGGTTGTAATTTTTTGTATTTTGATGTGTGGAAATTGGCAATGCAGTTAAATGCGTGCCGTATTTGTTTCTTTTCTCGCTCGGAGTTATTTATTTATTTTTTCTTGTTATTTTTACGCTTTTCTGCCTCAATTTATTTTAATTTGCCATTTGCAGTTTGTCTTTCCACTTGATGGACTGGCGAAAATCCCCCGATCGTCGCCTCAGTTTTTATCTCTGCGAGAGCACTTCGAAAATATGGCCATATAATTGGAATCAATGTTGAGTTGCGCGTTACCGCCACCACGGATGGTTGGCCAAATTGTTTGCCAATCTACGATACCGCGATTGGAATGAAGTAACTTTAATAATGAAGCATGGGATGGACATTGCGAGTGCAATTCGATCCAGTCATCCAATATGTTGGTATTACACTAACTAGATACGAATTTGTAGGACCAGTTCACAAATACAGCAAACTATGTACTTATATTTCATTTAATTCAATAAGCAAATTGAAAAAGTATTTTACTATATCCAAATTTGTATCTGCTAATATTTAACTGATTAGTGGATGTTTGAAAAAAGCATATGTAAGTGAAAGATACTTTAAATAATTTTTAAAGTTGAGTTAAATGTTTTTTCATTCAAATCCCTAAGCTAAGTCCAGCTATAGATTTTTGACAATAACATTATTAAATATGTTGGATTAAAAATATGTCAAATATAATTTATATAAAGAAAAGTCAGATAAAAAGCGAACATTTTTTTAGTCTAACCACGAGTGATTTAACGAACAATATAAACAATGCCTGTTTTTTGTGAAAATTGAGTCAGTCATGAAATATCAACAATAACTAAACTGTTATTGTGGATGATGGGTGAAAAGTACTCCCGTTTATTGGAATCTCCCGATTTCACTAAACTTTTAGCAATTGAACGCTAACTGTCCTAAACGTTTTGGAACGTGAATAACTTTGCAATGGAAAGTGTTTTCCCAGATGGGCTTGTGCTATCTTTTGACAAGATTCGAACTGCTCCCACAAAAGTCGATGGTTTATCTCGACTTCATTCGATCGAATTCCCTCGATTTGTCATACATTTGTTTACGATTATTTTGTGGGTCAGCCGGGTTGGGCTTGTGCTCAGCTTTGTTTTGTACAGGCACTCAAGAAAAACATTTTAGCACGACAGAGCACATTAAAAAAACAGAAGCTAAAGTTGGTCAAATCGAAGAGGCACGATGGCAGCAAAAAGGCCAAAAGAATTCGACGCGAGAGCGCGCTGCGTGATGCCGTTACCGCACATTCGTAACAACTAACGACTGAAAACTAAAAGCTAAAAACTGAAAACTGGCCGAAACGGACTGGCCAACCTGGTCAAGACGGTAAAGAGCCATCCGACTGGCCATTTCACTCGCAGCAGAGCAGAACAGAGAGGCCCAGAGCACCAGAGCGGCTTTAAGCCAAGTTAAGACCAACTGAGCTGAGTGAAAACGCGGCTCTTGGCTCTTGGCTCTCGTCTCTTGGCCAAGCCGAGCGGAAAGCCCCAGAGAAAGAGCGGGAAAGTCTTTCTCCCCACCTCCACCTCCATTCACATCCCCATCTACATTCCCATTGCCCGCTGAGATAACTGTTTCGAATGCTATTTGGCTCCCGACTCCACACATCTGCCACTCAGATTGGTCAGATGGGTCAGTCAGACTGGCCAGCTTTGGCGTTTAACGAGTTTTTACGCATAAAATGAATTGAATTAAAAATCAACTTCGAAAAGAGGGGAAAATGGAAAACATTTTGTTGATCAGAAACATTCCGAAGCGGAAATACCCTACAGAAGAATCATTAATGAAAGTTAATTTTCAAAAAAAACCTTATATTAAATAGTTTGCCAGAAAGCTTGGTTTGATAGTTCACATACGCTTATAAAATGAATACATTTACTACTTCTCCTTTTACGCATAACTAAAACACTACTTACTTACTATTTCTGAATATAAAGGGAGCAAAGCTCAATCAATATAGCAATCCTAGTTTATAAGTTATATAAGACTTAACCCAAATTTATATAAATGTTTACTATTAAACAATTTCCATTCAATTTGACTAAAATGATTTATATTTACAAATCAGTAAATATAATAATTCTATAAAAATAACAACTCTACTAACAAGTATTTTATAAATTTTAAAGTCGAAACAACACTTTTAAAGCAAACATTTTAAGATTTGATTAAAGCTTTCATTGACTTGTTGAATTAATAGAAACTCATTTGTCAAATATTTAAGAAGAAAATGAAACAATCTTTACCAACATCTCCTTCAACTTTGATTGGCGAAAAGTGCATACCCGTTTGGAGTGTCAAATAAAAAGAGAAAACAAAAGTAAACACTAGACTGGAGCTCCATTCGAGTGATGGACGTGCGCCAACTATGAATATCAACCAAGCGCGGATGATGCTTATATGGCGCTGGAAACTGGCTGGAGCCACTGAGACCCACTGAGCTTCAAGGCGTGCAAAAAGAAAACCAAACCAGATGGCTAGACTACCATCAACGGAGCCGAGCCAGACTTCCAACACTCATTCTTCTAAGCAAAACATAATCTGCCAATACAAAAAGAAATACATACAACCTTTAATTGCTGGAAGGTCCTGCTTGGGTAACATCTTAATGCATTGATTTTTGGCCTAATCAAAAAATAAAAACTATAATTTCATGCGACACTGATCAGCAAAGTCAATCGTTACCGCTTTTGTCTGCTCGATATAAAAATTACACTTCAAAATTGCCCAGCTGCCATATTATTATCTTGAGGCCGTAAAAAATATTAGCAGTTTCATTAAGGCCACATTATTATGACCAATGTCTGCAATTATTCACGCAATTAATGCAATTATTTTTGTATTTACCTGTAGTAATTTGGTATGAGAAATAATTGGTATAAAAATAATTGTTACGCCAAAAATTTTCAATTGGAGCAAGATGATCGTTTTGTGATGAATAAATCAATGTCATTTTCGATATGTTTCTAAAAGAGAATTTGCCCCTACGAGTGTTACCGACAAGTAGATAAACTTCTAAAAATATACCTTAGTATTTATTTTTTGTTTTTAGTTTGCAGAAGGCTCATAATTTACACACATATTAACCAACCAAAGTGGTGGTAACTATTATTTATCCTATCTGAATATATCAATTCAACTTATTACGATTAAAATTTATAAGTTTGACTTGCGAGCTTTGATCGCTGAAGACTATTACATATTTCTTGCATACTTTTGGTCATATTAAATATTTTTTTCCTTTGAGATTATAGTAAATAGAGAAAGTGTTATAATATTATCAATTTAGATATTCCAAATTGCATATATGTATAAACTATCTGTTGAAGGACAAACATATAAATAAAGTACTATCGAGCACTCACCTTGCGGAACTCCAGGACAAAGCTGGTGACCATCGACTGGATGGCGGCGGCGCGGGCGGCATGGAGAGCCAGGTGCTTCCCGTTCCGGAGATTGAGCTGCAGGGCCGCCGGACGCGGCAGGGTGACGGCGCTCTGGATCTCGCCGAAGGAGATGGCCTGCACCACGATCAGGTAGTCGGCGTCGCGGCGGGCCAGGTACAGCCCATTGTGGGAGACGCCCATGATGCTGACGTCGGGATAGAGCGGTGCTCCCTGGACGGCGAAGAGTCGGGCGAAGTACAGCGGCCAGTCGCGAGCCATGTCCACCAGGTGTCGCTTGACCAGTGCCCGGACCTGCCCCCCAGTTCCACCTCCCCCGGTGCCGGATCCATTGCGATTGGAGAGCGTGTCCACGCTCACGCCATGGCCGTGCAGCATGTTCAGGGCCGAGCTCTTCTCCTGCGGCGTGATCCGCAGGCAGGGAGTCACCCCGAAGACGTCGCCCAGCACCTGGGCGAAGAGCAGGTCCAGGGCCACCGGCGGGCCAATGGGCTCGTGCGGCTGGAAGACCTCCTTGCGCACGCGCAGCTTCCACGGCACCCGGTTGTAGGTCAAGCAGGCACTGCTGGCACTGGCACTGGCACCCGCTCCCGATCCCATCAGCACCCCGGAGGAGACCACACCCAGTCCGGGACTGGACTGGGACGAGGGCGGCGGCACCGGAGCCGGAACAATAACGGGCGGCGGCGTGGTCATGTGCATCGAGTCCAGCTCCTCGCGCATCCCGGAGCTGGCCGAGCTCTTGCGCTTGCGCTCGTGCTCGTACTTCTGGGCCATGTGGGTGCGGAAGGTGGCCAGGCCGCCGCTGCGGTCCTCCCGGCGGTGGCCGCCGGTGGTGTCCAGGCTGGCCTGGATCACGCGCGGCGGTGCCGGCTGGTACACCTTGTGGCTCTCCCGCTCCCGCTCCACCTGGCGGATCTCGTAGAGACGCTCGCGTTCACGCTCCCGCTTCTCGCGCTCCTTCTCGCTGCCGCTGCCGGAGGCGGGTCCCTCCACTTCCGCCCGATCCCACACCGACTCGGAGTAGTCCTCGCGGTCGCGGCTCCTGCTCCGGCTGCGGGACCGCTCGCGCTCCGCCTGGTCCCAGGCAGCGGCCGCCGGGGAGGAGGAGGCCGAGTGGTCCTCCAGGTGCAGGTGGTGGCTGCTGATCATCTGCTGCTGACGCACTGCACCGAAGGTGTCGCGCTCCTGGCGCTGAATGAAGGCGGGCACATGCTCCTTGACCACCTGGCTGCTCGAGGTGCGGTAGTCCGGCTCCGGTTCGGGGCTCCTGGGCGTGGGCGGGCTCTGGGGAGCCGGGGGCGGCGCGGGTGGCGCCATGCTGGGTGGTCGGATGGGCGGTGGCGGTGCCGGAACACTGGGCGCCGGGGGCAGGAGCACTCCCGGCCAGCCGCCCGAGGGAGGAGCCGGCGGTGGCGACAGCTTGCCCTCCATCCGCTCAATCTGTGTGCGCACGGTGGCATGGGAATCGGTTCCACCACCGCCGCCTGGGCCAGCATTACCACCAGTCACGCTGGCGAAGAGTCCGCCCAGCTGCTGCTGCAGCATAAGCTTGCGCGTGTCCTCCAGCTTGGCCGGAGCTCGCTGCTCCGACTTGGTGGAAACGGTGGACCTCACCGAATGGCCAGCAGTGACCTGTTCCAGGCGCTGGCGCATCTCGGAGCTGAGCTTGAGCTTGCCCACACTTCCTGGCGGCGGACGATCTGCTCCGATCTCGAAGCTCTTCTTGGCCAGCTTGGTGGTGACCACACTCTGCATCGGCTGTCCCGCCTCCTGGGCATCCCTGCTGTCCCTGCTCTCCCTGACCGCCGACGTGGTTGTCGTGGTGGTGGTCTCCAGCCGGATGCTGCTCCGCATCATCTGGCCGCTCATGGGCGGCGGTGTGGGACTGTCGATCTCGAACTCCTCCCACTCGATGGCCGTGGCCGAGGAGCCGCGTGCCAATGGGCCCGGCTCCAGGCCATTGCTGGCCAGCTGGTGGTGCTGGGCCTGCGGCGTGGTCTTGCGCTGGTGCTGGCGCATCTTGAAGGCGAAGAAGTCCTCCTCGCTCTGGAACTGGGGCTCGTCCTGCGGCGGTGGCCAGCGCCACTTGCCAATCCGCACGGTCTTGGCCCTGCCGTAGGGATCCAGGAAGTGGCGCGTCTCCGAGGGATCCTTGCACTCCAGCGGCGGCGGCATGGGCGGCGGTGGAGGTGGTGGCGGTGGCTGCAGCGCCTCCATCACCACCAGGCTGCTACGCGTGGTCTTCATCCGCAGTGGGGATTGTGGTGGCGGTGGCGAGATGGACAGGCTGCCCAAAACGGGAGGAGCCGGTGGCGGTGAGGCGGAGCTGTTGGCCGCCGCCGCCTGCTGGCTGAGAAGGGTCTGGAGGGCCTGGTTTTGGGCCAGCAGTTGCTGCTGGATCTGCAGGTTCTGGGCCATTGCGGATTGCAGGAAGGCGCGCTGCACCTGCTGCTGATACAGAGCGGGACCGGACTCCGGCTCCCCCGGCAGCTGCATCAGCTGATGGAGCAGCGGGTCGGCTCCGTTGCTGTCCGTGCTGCCGCCTCCGCGAATGCTTGCGGCTAGCTGATCCTTGCTGGTCAGTTTGTCCAGGCTTTCGGGCACTGGTATGGGCTGGAAGAGCTCGTTGATAAAATCATCTAGGTCCTCGATTTCCGATTCCTCCTCCCTCTCCTCGTGGGTACTTGGTTTCCCGCCTCCCTTGATGATGGCCGCCAACTGATCCTTGCTGGCCAGCCTATCCAGGTCCTCGACTAAGGGTATTGGCTGGAATATATCATTGATATAGTCATCCAAGTCGTCGATCTCAGATTCCATTTCGTTCTCATTCTCCAGTTGATAGCAGCCACCTCGGATGCTGGCAGCCAAGGATCTGGCATCGGACAGCTCGTCCAGGGAGCCGTCTAGCACTGGACTAAACAGATCGTCCAGGAACTGGTCCACGTCCGAGGCCTGCGAGGGAACCCTCACACGCCGCACATGGGAGGCCAGAGACGGAGCCTCACTCGTGTCCGACATGGCCGATGATCTGGTGGCGTACTCCGCCTTATCCGCATACTTGCTCGAGTGTGAGCCATGGGAAGCGGCGTGCGATCGGCGACCAGCGTGCTGGGACTTCTGGTAACGCGGAGCGGTCTCCTTGCCCATGGGAGCAAGACGCTCCGCCGAGTGGTAGCGGTCGTTCAGGCGACTCTCCGAGAGTCCCAGTGTGTGCAGGGGCTCCTGGGAATCGCAGTCCGGGGGCACGGGAACAATATCACCGGCCAGCAGATCGTCCAGTGACTTGGAGCGCGACTTGGCCTGGCTCGGACTCGATCCCTGGCCGGGTCCCGGACTTGGCTCACGTTCGAAGTAGCGCTCGTTGAGCGCCGAGCTCCGGGAGAGCAGCTCCCGGCTGCTCCTCCGCTCCCGCGGCACCTCCTCCTTGGCACTCGATGTGGGCGGAGCGGGCGGCGGAACTGCCGGACGTTTGACTGCTTCCGGCAGAGTGGTCCTAGCAAACTTGGCGCCCGAACGCAACAGATCGCTCCGGGGAGCGGGAAAAGCGGGACACAGTTCCTTCTCCGCAATCAAATCCATCACGTAGTCCAAGCCGCAGCTGTCTGTGAGCTGCTGGCCATCGTCCAGCACCAAGGTCCATCCCCGACTGGCCACGCCCAGCGAAGAGACGGCCAGGGCAGCGGCCTCCTCGCAACTGGTCCACGAATCCACGGCCACCGTCTGGCTGGCCTCGTCCGGAAGGGTCAAGGGCAGGGCCATGTCGCAGCCCCTGGTCCAGGCACGCCACTCCAGCCAAGCGGGCACGAAGCTGCGGCTGGCACCGCCGCCACCCACTGCGGCACCCGACGAGCCACCGCCCTGCTGGCGGAGCAACTGCCTCAGGAGGAGGGGTCGCAGGGATGCCGGAGCCTCGTCGTCCACGAATCGCATCAGATACTTGCTGAAGGCGGCGCTGGGCTGGAAGCAACAGAGGCACTGGCCCAGAAGCTGCCACAGTCGCGTGGCCTCCACGGAAGTGGGCGGTAGGCCGTGCACCTGGTTGCACAGCTGCACCAGGATCTCATCCCTCAAGCCCCTGGAGCTGAGTGCCTTGTGCACAATGTAGTCGGCCAACAGCTTCTCCTTGGCGCCCTCCAGAGCCTTGTCGTTGCTCCAGCGGAGGATCAACTTAAACACGGCCAGGGCGTCCTGGAAGTCCTGATCCCTGGAGGCAGCTCTGGTGAGCAGGGGAGCTGTGATGGGTTCCCGCCTCGGCTGCAGTCTCAGGCCATTGCAGTAGACACTGCTGAACTTACCGAAGGAGAACTGACCCAGATCCTCGGGTAGCTGGACGGCCGAGGACGGGGGACCAGGAACCGTGCCGAGCACCTTCACCAGGTGGCGGTCCCCGTGCGGAGGGGACCAGCCCTGCAGCTTGGAGTAGATGAAGGCCAGTTCGGCGGGTATGTCCAGGTAGCTCAGTTGGCTTCTCTCTAGGACAGCCTGCTTGGCCTCCCGGGCCTCGCGAGCTCGCTGAGCGGCCTCCCTCGCCTCTTGTCTTCGTCGGTGGTCCGAGCGCAGTTGGTGCACCCTCCTCCTGGCCTGGCGTCCCCGCCAGAGTCTCTGCGCGGTAAGGGCTCCCTTGCGGAGGCGATCGAAGCGTTGCTGTGCCCTTTGACCCCGCCAACGGGCCTGGAGTCGGGTGGCGGCCGCCTGGCGACGAGCCAACTGGCGGCGGACCAGCATTCCCCGCACATGCCGCTGCACACTGACCGCCGCCCGACGCAGTCGCTCTGTCCGTCCGCTCTCCAGCGCCCGATGCAGAGCCTCGCGCAGGAAGACACGCGTGGCCCCCAGCTGGTAGTCCGGGCCCTCCACTCCGGTCCGCGGCATGGCCTCCAAGAGGGCTCGACAGAGTTCCCGATAGGGTGTGCCCCTGGCCAGGGGCGAGGCCAGCAGATGCCTGTACCGTTCCACGAAGTGCTGGAAGCGCAGGCGCACCGGATAGCCACGCTGCCGGATCTGAATGGTGTCCAGCATGCCCAGGTAGCGCAGCTGTTGCAGCACACACGGCATGTCCATCCGCAGGGCGTGCTTCTCCTGGTTCGGTTTGATGCAGCGCACGAACCACGGATGACACCTGCCCATCGACTGGAGCAACTGCTGCAGTGAGTCGGCGAATCTGGCCGCCACCGTGGGTGTGCGTGGCTTCATTGTGACGAATCGCCCGTTGCTGCCCTTCGGCAGGGTCTTGCCGGCGTCTCTCTGGGCACGAAGCTGCTTGGTCAATTCGCCTACCAAGGGTAGCCGACTGGAGGCCAATAACTCCAGGACATCGCCTCGCAGCGCATCCCGATTCTTGTCCAGGAAGCCATCCACACAGTACCACACCTGACCCGCATAGTGCGTTACCCCGAACTCCTGGGCACCGATCCGCGGACGAGCATATAGCTCGCTCAGCGCATGATTGTAGTGGCACTTCTCCAGGAAACTCAGATCGGTGGCACGCGGGAAATTGGACTCGTCGTCCAGGAGATGGCATATGCCCACCGGCTTCTTGGCCAGCAGATGGATCACCGGCAGGTTGTCGTCCCAGGCCAGGGGAGTCCACTCCAGGCGCTCGCGGGCGTACTCCGCTTGCTCCAGCTTGAAGACGTGCTTGTTGAAGTACAACTGCAGGTTCTCGTTCGCATAGTTGATGCACAGCTGCTCGAAGCTGTTCTCGGCCAGGTCCTCGAACCCGAAGATGTCCAGGATGCTGATGCGGTGGGCATCGTGGGTGCCGCCCTTCTGCACAATGGAGTTGATCCGCGAGACGAGCCAATTGAAGAGGCCGGCGTACAGAGCCTTGGCGAAGGCATCTCGGGCATCCAGGGCCTGGTCGATGCCGAGCGGAGTGTGCAGCCGCTCCGCTCGTGCTTCCGTGGTGCGACTGGTCAGTGCCCGGTGCAGTCCCTCGGCGCTGATGTGCAGCAGGTGGGCGGCCCACTTGATCTCCGCATCGGAGCCCACCTCCACGCCCTCCTGGCCATGTCGCAGCTGCCTGCGGTGGAAGTAGACGTTGCCCAGGTGCAGCACTGCAGCCAGGACACGCACGATGCCCTCTCGCTCGCCCTCGGAGACTCCGAGGACCTGCATGGCGCCCTGCAGCGACGCCCAGTCCACGCGACCGCTGGCACAGTCCGTGGCGCCCTGGTTCAGGTAGAAGTACTTGTCCGCCTCCAGCAGTCCGTACTTGGATCGCTCCGCTTCGGACAGTCCGCCCAGCAGCTCGTAGAACACGTGGTAGTTCCTCTCCCCAGGCGCCTGCGTCACGATGCGCGACTTCTCCAGCAGGTACTGCGTGATCTTGGCGCCCACGATGGCGCCACTCTTGAAGTACACCTCCAGATACTTGCCGAACCGGGAGCTATTGTCGTTCCGGGCGGTGCGCGCATTGCCAAAGGCCTCCAGCAGCGGTGCCGCCTCCAGTATCTGCTCGGTTATGACCGCCGAGGCGGATCCTCCGCCGGGCACCACGGCTGCCAGGTACTGCATCACCAGCTTGGTGGACTCCGTCTTCCCTGAGCCACTCTCCCCGGATATGACCACCACTTGGGGCGAGGGCAGGGCCGCATGCGCCGCAGCTCCAATGGCAAACAGGTGGGGCGGCAGGGAGCCCAGTGGGCGGCCGGCATACTGCTTGGCCACCTCCAGACCGTAGGCGTCTGGGAACATCTTGTAGGGATTCACCGCGATCAGGATGCTGCCGGCGAACGTGTAGATCAGACCCTTGTCGTAGCGCAGGCGCAGATTCCACAGCAACGACGCCTCGTGCAGGTCGTCCAGTAGGGTCATGTCCTCCACACCGCTGCTACCCAGATCCTGGCGAGCCCGGAGGCTGCCCTCACCCGGTTGCAGGGCGAACGTCTGTGGCTGCAAAGGGGGAGATCAAATTAGAAGGGTTCCAAGTACAAAACAAATAAAGAAAATCTATAGTAATAGTACCCATAAATCAGAAAATACTGCCTGTAAATAAAGTTAGCTGATCTTAAGACACAATATTAGTTTTACACCACCTTGTTAATTTAAATTCTCAACAAACATTTTTATTACAGATTTAATTAAATATAATTAAATTTATGAGCATTGAACACATCTAATGTTGGAGTTTTTAATGCTCCTAAATATCTAGTTTCAACCAATGACCACAGTAAATCGTAAGCAATAAATCTAATTCGATTAAGTAACATATTTGACTGAAGCTAACTCAGTAATAACAAACAAATGGTACGAATATTCACTGAAATTGCAGAGTATATGGAAAACGGATTTGCAAGTGTCGGTGGCACTTAAAGGAAACTCAATAGAAAAGATCTCTCACATGGCGCGCTATCGTATCGCTGCAGAGGGTGGACAGTCGCTTGACCACCTGCGGATATCGGCACTTGAGGCGTCGCAGGCGACTGGAGGGCAAGGCCGGATGTTTGGCCGAGAGATGCGGCAGATCCTCCAGATCCTCGAGACTGGCGGGACGCTGACGGCGCAGGACGTGCGGCGAGAGGAGCGCCAGCGAGGGCGACTGGGCGGGACTGGGCGTCACCGATCCCCCGCCGCCCCGCTGCCACGGCTCCAGGTGGAACCGAACGATGCGCATCTAATGGAGCACCTCGTCTATTGCTGTGAACCCGAACCGAATCCAGGCGATCTCGATTCCGGGCCGAAAAAGCCAGCCCAAACTCGAACCGAACCCGAAACCACAACGAGATCAAGAACTAGTATCACAAAAGACGTTTGTGGTCGAGGTCTCGAATGCAACTGAAAGGAATCGGAATCTGGCGGCGGCGGCATTGCCACAATTTCCCCAAACGTTTCTAAAACGGTTTTCGCTGCATCCAAACACGTTCTATCAAAACGGCAAGAGATGGGGGTATGGCAGACCGGATCACTTCGAACCCGGCCAGACCAGATGACACTCCTGTTAGCCACTTGCCTGCTACCAACTACTTAGTGTGGGCCACCAGAACGCACTCTACGCGGCCACAAAAATAAAAAGGAAAACAACATGGAGAGAAGAGAAGAGAAAGAAAGAAAGACGACACCCGATCGCATTGATGCAGTTTTCGATCGCCATTCAATTAGGCGGCCAGTGTGTGGGACTTTCTCCGACAGGCCCAACCAGTTCAAGTTCGATGGCTGATGACTTGATGGCTTGGTGCGTTCTTGGGCCCGTACTCAGTTTTCAGTTTTCAGTTTGTAGTCATCGGTCCTCAGCTGCTTCGTGTGGGGCTGGGGATTGTCATCTGATAGCCGGCCCAAACAAAGGCGTGAAATATCTTCTTTGTGCCGCTGAGAATGCATTCGCTTCGGCAACTTCCCCATTGATATCGGTCGGTATTCGTATCAATGACCGTGCCAAATGATGTGAGTCAATTTATCGAGGGCTTGCCCCGGAATTACCAATGATTCGAGGAAGTCCAAAAAGTTATATACCTAATATATCTAAAACTATGCTTTAAGTAAAAGATCATCGTCTTTCTATCCGACCTGTGTGCTAAAAATACAACGCTGCATACTTTCAGACAGTATTATAAATTCCATTGACTCTCTGAAGATGCAACCATAAGTAGCATTTAAGTTTATGTAGTCTAAGCGAATTGTATACTTGCTATATATACATTGCAGAACAAATTAATTAAGAAATTATTTTTGGGGCGATACACCATAATATTTTTTAAAATTTAAAATCAAGAGTATGATGTCACACAAATTTCAACTTTAAGTAAGGAAATTATAAATTACAATCAGAACTAGTTGTTAAAATTAACGATTCTAACATTACTAAAAGCATGAAAAGACCGCCAATATTAAATGCCTGTGCTGAAGAAATAAATAAACTATTTATTTATTTTAGTTTAATGGCAACCAATCAACAAAAACTTGAGAGACCCAAGAACACCAGCAAGAATCTCAATTAAATTGGATCTAGGGATGGTATACCATTTGTCTGCAACGCTGCATTAGCCGATAATTGATCTTGTTGAACGATTACGCCTGCGAAGCGACTTCCCATGTTTCGAGTAGCCGATCCGATCCGATCCGATCCCCAGGCAACACATGTGCTGCCAACAGGTTCTTGCTCACTGGCGATGCAAACAGGATACGAATCACATGTGGCCGGTTTTCTGATTCTGGTACCGCTACATATAGATATTACAGCTACTGCTGATTCAACGGTTCACAGCGCGAAAAAATTGATATTTGGGAAAACAAAAGCCGAGACACGAAGATCATTTGGGATAGTCGAGGATTATATGCCCCTAAAATTCAAAAAATGCAAAGTACTCATTTAAAAAATTGTTCATAAACCAGCAAAATAAAAAATATAAGAATTGTAAGAGGGTTGAAAACCACTAAGACTGTGATTACACATTCTATTCGTATTATAACATCGATAAAATCACCTGTTGTAAACAAAAATCTTACATCTTTTCCATTTCAAAAACCTGTGCCTACTTGTTTTCTTTTTGTCAACAGTTGTTAGTTATGCTTTTTGCAACAATAACATAATTAAGGATGTTTTTATTCCAATAAAATCTGTCATATACCAAATGTTTATTTACCAATAAAGCTTGCATATAAAGGTAGCTCATAAAGTTTTTGGTTTTCACTTTTAACATGAAGACATTAAAGTCGAGAGCGTCACACGCAGTCCTTAGTTCGCTATTTCTGCATGGGATTTTATCATATTAACTAACTAGCTATTTATACATACAGTAGTCGAACTTCTATAACTTGAAACCGTATTATATTTATTCAATAAAACTAGTTCGACTCGTAGAGATTCGATTATATATTTTAATTTTTTTGTGAAATTGTCAGAATTGCAGCTGAGCGAGAATTTATGATTGTGTTGATATGACAAGTTTTGGGATGCAAGTCATTGCATTGTGAATCTGATTTTCAAGATAAATCTGATCTTCAGCCATGGTAAACTACCGTGTAATTCTGTTTTTTTTTCTGTGCTAAAAGCTAATGTTGGCGATGTCAGTCGACGACTTGCGAGTGATTGCCGTGAGTTCTCAATCTTGATATCTGCAGCTCCACAGCTCGGCACTCATAATTGCAGCGAGTGGCAGAAAGGAAAAAGGAAACGCTGGCCGCTGGCAGCTGCAATTAGATGCACTGCACAGGTGGTACAGTCCGGTACACGGGCTGAACTCCACTGTATCGTACAGTAAAAATGCGTGACGATGGCCAAAAAAAGAAATCTGTCTGTTTAAAGGCTTCCGCTGCGAATGCCTGACTTCATTGTTGGCCAACGCTTTGCCTCTGTGGTTGCACAGCAAATCGGCACATAAATCCAAGCGAGCACATTCCATAAATTCCGAGACCCCTTAACCTGCTAAACACTGCAGGGCAGCAGCTCATAAAAACCGAAATAAATATAAACAGTCGAGCAAACAGTTCATGTCGGGTGAAAATAGTGAAAAGCATTCATGGGCCACGGCGAAACCGAAAACAAATTGAAAATTCAAACAGTGAGCTACGAAAGCAAACCAAACGAGGCGATGGTGCGAACTCGCACCTTTTACAGGGGGTGCGAAAGTGCACTTGGAGAAAAGGTTCTAAGGTTGCAGAGAGAGGTTTAAAAAATTTCCTTCAGAACATCACCAATGAAATGATTAAAAGTCAAAATATTTCTTTTATATTTAACCACAAGTTTTCACGTATATCCGATCATAAAACGATATACAATTCTAATATTGATAACTAAGTAAAAATCGATATTTCCAAAAAAAAATTAAAATATTAAGAACTTACGAAAACAGTTACAAATATTACAAGTAAAGTGTACCCACCTTTCCTTTGATGAGCGCCTGGACGACGATCACCTGAGCAGCGCGGTGCACCTCCTGGATCTCCCCGGGAATGGGATGTCCCATGCCTGGGTCGAACCAGACCAGATCCCCTTCGGCCCAGTCCATGGCTCCGATGTGTTTGTTTTCGCGGCTCTCGGATCACTATCCTCCGGTCAGGTCGGGTCAGGTCTAAAGGGTGTGGAACTATACGTTTCCGATCTCCTTCGCCTTGGGTTCCGCTATTGTGATGACGATCTCTGGATCTCGGATTTGGCGGGCTGTTGGAAGTGGATGTGGTCTTTAAACCGGTTGATTCATTGCTGCAAGAAACATAAAAAAATGGGATTTGGTAAGCACATTATTGGTTTTCTCAAGGCAAATAAAATTAAAAAGCACAGAATTAAGGCATTCGGGGAAAAATTCGCGTAATTATGGCGCCTTTCTATAAAATACCTCGGTCTTTTGCATTATAAAATTGTTGCTCAGGCCACGCGGCTTATCAGGCCAATCCCCACTCCTCTGTGGGATTTTGATGGGGATCGTGAGCGATTCACAGTGACGGTGACGGTTCGGAGTCAATAACGCGAAGGCCGCTCTATGAATGAAAGTACAGATTTTTCGTTTCTGCGCATATCCATACTTGTATATTTCATTTATTTGTTGTCTCTGTGGAAATGTTTGCCAACCGAGACCGGGGTGCAATGAAATGCAACGGCAAAGCAAACAAAAAACCATCTAAGTCGTGGAGCGGCAACAATGACAGTAGCAATCGTTCGCATCGTTGCAGAAGATCCGAGGGAATCAAACTGATTAAATAAGACACGTCAGAGACTCACGACTACTTTTGGAGAATCTAATATGCCAAAGGCTGCCGTGAAGGGACACCCCATCATCTGGATTCAACCGCATTTAACAAAAAATAAAAAATAAATATCAGAAAAAAATATATCAGAAGTAAGTGCATAACGATGTGATTAATAATAACAAACAAAAAGAATGTTAATATGACCTAATTTGTTTATTTAGATATTGATAATTTAATATCATATTTTTCAACAAATTTGTAAAACAAGATTTTGGAATCTTTCTTCTTTAAATTCTAAAAAAACACGACATATATTTAATGTTCCAAGATATATTATGCTTATTCTCGTAAACTTTGTGAAAATGATTGATGTATTTTAAAGCTCGCAATAACTAAAAGCATTAATATCTTATATAAACCTGACAACAAAACCTATGGTTTAGATCTTAGACACAATCAGATCACTATTAATTAGAAGCAAAAAAAAACAATAATTTCTAGCCTTCGAAACTGGGCAATCAAAAAAAGTCGTCACCAATGAAAGCCAATTAATATGCCGGGAATGCGTTAAAATTTATGATCGGCCCAAAAATGAAACGACAAAGAAAGAATCCAAACCTCCAAGTTCATTAAGAAATTTCCAAAAAGAAATATTGTAAATTTTAAATGCGAACGCCCAAGAATATTTAGGTTGGCCAGAAGATGCGGCAAGACCGAAAAAAAAGTGAAGACCAAACACGCTTCAGCTTATGCCGCTGATGTTGCTGCGTTGTTGTTTTGTCTTTGCCTTTTCTCAGGCAAAACTTTCACCTGTTTTGCGGCAAATGCCTTTTGCACAAATACATAAATATTTATGCCCAAAACAACAGAAACATTAAGTGAAATAAAACAACGGCGAGAAAGAGAGAGAAGTTGTCGCGATTTAAATTGATTGATTCATGCAGTTTTGGCTTAAGTGAGTCAATCGGATTTGGATTTGTTCGGTTGGTAATGGATTTGGAGTTGGATTCGGAGTTGGGCCTGGCCCAGTAACGAATCTGTATGATGCCAACTGGCCTGACAAGTGCTCACGAATTAACAGAGTCAATAGAGGAACATGTTTTCGAGTTGGCTGGAGGGAGGCTGACACTTCGTCAGACAATTTCATTCAGTTCGCCGCTTCATCAGGCCAACACGTACGCACTAGCCCTCTCTTTCCGTCGATCTTTTGGGGCTACATACCAAACACTGAGGGAAAATATTATCAACATTTGAAATTGTACTAATTTGGTCTCGAATTGTAAGTCTTGGAACAAGATTTTTCTATGCTCAAAATAAAAGTATTTTAGCTTACAAGATCTATATTAGATACAAACTTTGGTTTTTTGTATAACGTTTTTTTATAAATAACAAACAAATTATGGTTTACTCCTTATTGATCCTAATGTATGCTTTTTATTCCAATTAAGACTAAGTTAACCTTGATTAAAAGAAATAATTTGTATTTATTTCAATGCAATATTATTGATTTTTTTCCCTGTGTTATTAAAACAAAAACAATGGCTGAGGTAGCGAACAAAAATCTTGGCTAGCTACGGGTTCGACCGCATTCCAATGCTAAGACGTTGCTGCCTGCAGTCCATGTTTAATGCTAAGGTAGCAACAAATCGGCAGCAACGAAAATAGCAGCAACAACAACCTCGACACTAACATCATGATTATGCGACAGTGTGTGTGTTCGTAATCAATGAGCAAATATCCAACGATGTGGAATAACAATCATAAGAATTTCATTTGCAGCTAACTGTTTGATTACTCATAGCAGCTTCGTAAGCAAACGGAAATTACACAATCGAAGACTCCTTAGATTCGTGTTCTTATATTTAATATTTAACAATATTTAATTTTCAATACTTGAAATTAGCAAACAAACTAAAAGGAATTAACTCTTTTAATATGTAAAAGGTCTTATCTTTTTAAATGTTTTTTTTTTTTAACTCATACTTTTAAGTCTTAATCTTATCAAATGAATATTAGAATAAACTAAATTTATTCATTTATTCTTATATTTTTTGGTTGGAGGCATTTCAGCATTTCAAGTAAAAAACTTTAAGAAATGAACTAAGTTCGTTTCCTAAGTCTTTCGTTTTTTGGTACCAAGTTTTCAATTTATAGCAAAATAAAAATTCATACGTGTATATTATACATAGAAATTAAAAACAATACATCAAAGTTCGTTGCCTAAGTCTTTCGATATGTGGTGACAATTATCATAAAATGTAATTAAATTTCTTCGGTCTATAGCTTTAAACGATGCTGGGTAACAGACTCTTCTCTCATTTCTATATCGATTTGGGAATGTTTTTATGGCAGCCCTGTTCCCATGACCGCATGAGACAAAATCGAATTCTATATGAGATGTTTTTGTTGGATTTCTAAAAATGATTTGTTATCAACTACTACTACTACACACACACACACACACACGGGTAATAGACCGCACCTGTTTAAATGCTTAAATGTTAAGTTATGCATAAACCGGAGTCAGGTGTTAGTGTGTATGTGTGTGGCTTGAAAAATGTGTTTCTTGTTGCTCGGCAGCTAGTTTTGAGTGTATTGATACATTCTTGGCATAACTGAAAAGACTGAATGGCCCTAGAAAAATGACTGAAACAAGGAGCGGGGAAAGGAGGTGCGGCTTTGGACGCCACGAAGTGAAACTCGATAGCAGTGTTTTTTTTATCTCAACAACACCTCACCATCTCGCACACGCACAGCCAAATACGATCTTTAATTATGTTGGTTTGGTTGTTGAGTTTAACGTTTTCGTTTACGATTTCGATTTTGTTTTAATTGAGTCAGTTTGACGAACTGCAATTTGCAATTCGAGCATCAATTAATTTCAGTTTACTTCGGTTTACTTTCAAGTTGCGTTTTTGTTACCCACTTAACACATTCGCTCTTTGTTCGCCGTAATTATGCATTATTTATTGTTTACTTTTTGTATTATTTTAAGTTTATTGCTTTCCGATATGCAAGTTGGCTTTCGTTTTGGGTGCGTGTATATTACAAAGATTTAACGATAATGATAAACAATCCATACGTACAGTTAATTTAAAATGATTTTTTTTTAAAGAAAATTATTTTCTTTTTAGACATTTATATTTAACTGTGTTGACCAGTTTTATTTCAACTTTTGACAAATAACTGATAGGAATATCTAACTATCTGCCTTTAAGATCCTAGGACAAACTTACATATCTTACTTCTAGTGAGATGAACCTGCAAGCAAAATCTGGAACTATTCAGTAAATTTGAAAACATTAATTTTTAAGTTTTAAAAAACTTAAGTTAAGCTCCAAAATACAATGATATTTCAAAATGACAAATCTGTAAAGAAAATGCATTGTTCCATCTGAATCTGGCTGAAACTGAAGAGAGGAATATAGCCGCCAAGATCCGCGATAATCTGCAACTCGTTGCCCTGTGGCTCCGAGAAATTCCAGGTTAATTCAATTTGGACTGCAGTCCAGGTCCAAAGAAACCCCTTTCCTCGGGCCGTGCCATTTCAATTAAACCCAACGGCGACGTCAACAATGTCTGGCTGCGACTGCCTGACTGACAGTTTGACTTATTGGCTAAAAGCTTTGGCCAAAAACAGTCAACAACACGCACTCACCGCTCTTGGCTTGGCTTGTCTAGGGAGTGACTAGTCATATATTATTCTGTGTTGTTGCAGTAAGCGGCTTAATTGCCCTGCTGCTGCTCTTGGCCTGGCATTTTTTCGTTTTTTTTTTTCTTTTTCGGGTTGGACAAATAGAAAATTTCATGTAGAAAGAAGAAATATTTAGCAAGAAGTTGAAGTCGGCGCACGATTTCACTAGCACCAGGGCCAAAACCAAAACCAGAGCCAAGCCAAATGGAATAAGCCAAGTTCCAGCTAAAATGGCGACACACACACTTACGCGTGCAGAGAGTAAGCCAAAAGGCCAATAAACCTTTGGAAAAAAATAAAAAGCGCGCCATGTTGCCATCTTGCTCATCGATCACAAACACAGAGACAGACAAGCCCACAATACAACTCGAATTCAAGCAGCGGATAACTTTATGCATGCAGAAACAAAAAGGGAAATTTTCAAAAGTCTCTGCCGGAGACAATTGAAAGTGGTGGTATTCTAACAATATAAACTGAAATCCGTTGATGTTGGCCGTAGGAGTGCCGCTTGATTTGCTTTTTGCAATCGTTTTGCGTCTATGCGTTGCTGCCGCACCCGCAACATTGGCTCCACCAACAAGGGCTGCCTTCTACAACACCACAGAGGCGAATTGGAAGTGGAAATGGGCGCCCACGAGCTGGGAAACAGCTGCGTCTTTGGGGGCGTTGCGGAATGTGGGGCAAGCTAGTTCGGAGGCCAAAACGTATTGCAATATTCCAGCCACAAATCTTGCGGAGGTGCCGCCGTTAAAGATGGGGCTCCGTTTCCATGACCAACATGTAGTGTTGAAGAGAAATCGATTCAGTACCCTATCAAAACTTCTGACAATATTTTATTGTTATAAAAACAACTTCATTAATTCTTTCCATTATGTATTATATTAATGAAAAAGAGAGAATATAAAAGCGAAGAACAATTATAATTTTCTTGATGTGTTTGGCCATGTGTTTGTTATTTAGATGCAAAATATATTTTTTTAATAAGTTTATCAGAGAAGACCACTTTACCTTTATATAAGTTCGCTTACCCAGTGGTAAACTAGTAGAACAAATCCAAAATATCAATTGAATGCCGATGGAAAGTTATTATTGGTTAAGGACTTATTGAATAATCTACTGCAAACATTTTATCTGTATTCTAAAATACATGGAAGAAGTTTTTAAGAAGTTTTATCTTTATCAGGTGTAAGGAAAAATTTGCTTTAATCCTATACAAAATATTTTACACAATCGTACGTTTAGCTTCCTTTACGCGGCTTTCTCAAAACGATTTTAAAATGTAGACCACAAACTTAACTCTGCTTTATCGATTTTATTAAATCAAACCTTAGCCAGCCAAAGTTCCCAAGCAAAATTGATGTTTGATGCCAATTATCGTATCATCGAAATCGATTAAAACTTAATAACAGTGTTTAGGGTTTCGGTCAAAAAACGAAATCAATGACGACAACAGAAGAAGTATTTGTCAAAAGATAATGACGTCAAAGTTGCCGAGATTCGCCGCAAAAACCACACGAAAATAATTTAATGAAAAACGTAAATTAAAAATTTCACTCAATGGAGATCGGTTCGTTGTTGTTTGTGCTCGCTGTGACTATTTTGTTTAAATAAAGTAAAAGTCAATTAACATCTTTGTCGCATTAGCATGAGTGTGAGTGATTGTGTGAGCTGGCATCGGTTGTGGTGTTTGCTTTGGCTTTTGTTATGCATTTTTAGCATTTGTGGCTCGTTTCTTTGCCATCGTCGCCAGCATAAAATGAGCACGAAAGCGAAAAGCAAAAAAAAAATTATCGATAGCACGATGGGAAAACTAACTGTGGGAATACCAGATACCCTTGTTAACTAATTGATTTTGCTTTTTAATTTTAATTTTGTAATTATAATTTTGTGATCTAATTAATGTGATCGTAAATAATTTACTTGCTTTTACATTCAATTAAATAAACTTTTTCTTATGCTTACTTCTCAACAAAAGCGCATAAAAATCGTTCTCCCATAAAGTTCCCAAAGTATGGTTTTTGTATTAAAAGAGAGCTTGATATTATTCTTAACGCTGACCCCTGTGCGATGCAACAGTCGAGCCCCACTGAATTCACCCTCTGCCAGGGTATAAAACTATAGCAGCGATAAGAAAACACGGCAAAGAGCAGGGAAAACAAAAGACTCAGGCAACGAACGCGAACTCAGGAGAGAGGCCAACCAAGGAGGGGGAGGGGGTGGGGGGTCAGGGCGTTGTTGTACGGAAGTGGCACGCATACACTGACACACACACACACACACTAACGCTCAAACATACAGAGACATTCGGACCTGGCCAAGTGGCCGCTACGGCATTCTTCGATGGCCGGAACCAGTTTTCTTTTGCGCCACCACCAATTTTTTGTTTTATAGCTTTTGCGTCGATTTTTTTTTCTGGCTTTTTGCACGCCTAACTGTTTGCCATCGTATACCGTTGGCAGCGCAGCGTTCTTGCCTTCTTTTGGCTTTGGCTTGGCATGATTTGCCAAAACGTCGCTGATCGAAAACGAAACGAACCGAACCGAGGCGAGCCAAATCGAGGCATCCGATTGGGACGATCGTAGGGATCGTAAAAGAAACCGAAATATGGCATCTAGAACCACTCGAGAACCGTTAGGACGAGCTTATGCAACTGCAGCGGAGCGGGAAACGGAGGATGAGGATGGGGGCCCAGGTGCCGTTACACAAATTGAAATCGATCGCATTCGGAGAACAGAACAGGTCTTGGCATCACCATCTCTGCAATGTAAGCATCTAGGCCTTTGACGGGACCAAAGAAACCAAAAGGTTCGAACCGAACACGTGCAAATGGGAAGAAATCGATTGCATCCACGATGAGCTCACCGCAATTCCAAATCGTTATTACCTCTAAAATTAGCTATGATGGGGGTGGCTTAGAGAGCTGATTGCTGGTACTGGCAATGGCATTGGGCAGCCTGATTAATTGATTGAATGATTGGTTGTGCATATTTTTGGGGAATAAATCTTGATGACTTCATTGGGGAGTGGTGTATATAATTTCAAACCCAGTATATCCTTTATAAAAGTTTTTTTTTAACAGTTTTTAGACATGTTTAAATACCCCTAAACTCTTCTTATCTAAATAGTTTAAATAGTTTTGTAAGGCGGCAATAATAAATTATTTTCTTTAAAAAAGTTCACTAAGCCTGTAGCTACTTTTCAAAAATACCCGAAGCTTATTAAAAACTCTTATACTTTTAAAATGTTCTTAGGATGGACATATACATAAAACATACAAAATACATTTTAAGTCACAAATCATAACAAACATAATAAGACCAATGCTCAAATTATAATTTTGAATGGCTTTTTGCTTTTTTTTAATAATGATAATTTGCCTCTCTTCTATGAATGAAAAGTAATTTATAACCTTAACAATTTTTAACAAAAAAATGTCATAATTTCTCTTCGATTACATACGTTGAAAAAACCAGACAATATCAATAATAATTTCTATTGGAAAATTTGGTTTTCCACTAACGTGACAATCTTCGAAAGCCATCCAAATCATTGCCCACTCCTCCTATTAGACAATCAAACTTGTTCAATAAAAAGTTTGCTTTAATGGCGCCTGGCAATCCTGGTTCTATTGGCACCCCACTCGTGTGGTTGTTGTAGATTCTGATTTGAATTCCAAGAGAGCGAGCGAAAGGTTACTGATATTCTCCTTCTCGCTCCCTCTCGGCGCATAACTTACTTGCTTTGTTGTTGCCTTGCGTTTCAGTGAACAGTGAACCGTTCTGCCAGCGTGTGAGTTTGTGTTTTATGTTTTTTGAGCTCTTTCTTCTGCCGTCTTTCTCCTTATTCTCCGTCTTCTCTACTCTCTTCTCTCGATTTCTTTTGGCGTCACTTCGTCACCGCACATAAAACATTAGAAGAAGAAGAATTCTGCTACATTTCATCCGCAGTGTCTTCTGCCGCTCTCTTCTCCTCTCCCCTCTTTCTCACTGGTTCGTTGTTTGTGATTCTTTTTCTTTTTAACGCTGATTTGGTTGTTGCGTCTGGTGGTTTGTCAAAAAGCGTCGACGCTTTTAAATTACGGTTAACAAAATTAGAACAAATAATTGCACGGCACTTGCGAGTTGGGTAACGAAAAAAAACAAAACTGAATTTGACCGCTGAGTGTGTGTTTTTGTAGTTGTGGTTGTGGTTGTAATCCGTGGCACGCCGCGCACCAAAAAAAAATGCACAACAAACTCGTCCGGCAGTCAAACAGCAACTGAAATGGCCGAAACCATGGAAAACCCACTGAAACAACGGTCACGCAGATCACTTGTTGACGAGAGAAAGAGCAAGAGAGCGCGAGCGCAGGGTTGTCGAGAGCATTAAAATATCAGAGAACAGATAGATCGTTATATTACCCTAAAATGTTAAATTCACTTTTTGATCTTTTACATTTGGTCAAACGTTTTAAATAGTGATCAATCGTTTGAACTAAGAAACTTAAACAAATGTTTTCAAAAGTTTCTTCTAAAAATCGCTATGTAAAATTAGTGCCAGGTGAACAAATTTATTTAATTAAAAATTAACAGGGCTGCTTAGAAATTATTGTATGTCCTAGGATGTAATCTTGAGTAAACGATACATTTTAAGGAATCTTGCTACTCCATACATTAAGACCTAATAATCATACATGATGAAACCAACATTTTAACATTTCCTATATCCAAATAACATTGGGTTAAAACCCCTTCTTAATAAGATCCAGATTTCATTTTTCCAATTCTTAATTATAAATTAAAGGTTAGATGTCATTGGATTGATATATTTAAGTTATTTGACAGCCCTAAGCGAGAGAGAGCTCAAAGCCTGGCCCCAAGAGCCGCGTTTTGGGGCAGAAACTGGTTTCTCATCTCACGCGCGTTCATTTTGTAATTGCCGGGCAGTGTGACCACTTGGAGTGTTATACGAAAAATCCTTAAATCTTAAAGCTAATATTCCGAAGTTGTTTGCCACTTAATAATTTTGTCAGTAATTGGCAGTATGAACTTAACAACAATTTATTTTTTCACCAATACTTAATATTTAAGAACTTGGTTTTTTTTGTAAGAATTTGTTTATCGTTATTCCATTAAGGACATTTATAAAAAACTATGTTTCATTAACAAAAAAATAAAACAAATCCAGCGAAACTCCAACTTTCAATTAAATTCAATTCAATATCAATTAAATTAGTTCAATATCAAGGGTTTTAAAAAATAATTTTCTTTTTGACTCTTATAAGAATATCTATTAAAAACGTTTGGACTTCTTTTCCAGTTCAATCTGAATTCTCTGTAATTCAAATTCGATGGCGATATCGATAACTCGATATCTTGGTAAGCAGTGCAGTTAACTGCTTAGCCAAAACCGCGCATAATTCGAAATGTCTCCACAAATCGAAATATTATTATTTTGTAGAATTGCATTTTTATAATTGTATATTTGTATTAAAAGGCGAACTTAAATTTTCACACATTTACTTTATTTATTAAAGCGACAGAAAAAAAAATGCTACGATGACTACGCCGGGGAGCTATCGCTGCCCGCTGCCTCAGATCTCCGGATAGGCGCTGCCAATCAGGCTCTTTCCCCGGTAGCGCCACGAATAGGTGACGATGCCGAACTTGCTGTTGCCCAGGGACACCGGACAGGTGCGATCCGGCCGGAGCTGGAAGCAGACCGTGTACAGAGCGAGCTCCAGTTCCGGCGAGGTGCCCACGAAGACCGTGTTCACTGGCTTGTTGAGTCCCTGGTGCGAAAAGCGGATCTTCACGACCTTGCCCTTCTGCAAAGGGAGAAATAGTCACTAAGTTAAAGATTTCGGAACAAAAAGATTGGACAGATTTTATGGAGGAATTTAACAGGATTTCATATTGCTTGCAGCATGTTTGACTTTTTCTTTGTACGATTCGCTTGAAGAACCCACTCACCGTGCCAATGTCCTGCTCCTTCATGTAGCCCTTGTAGTCGAAGCGACCTTCCTTCTCCTCCTCGCCGATGAATACCCAGTTGTGGAAGCCGATGATCGTGCCCTCCTTCACCTCGTACACGAAGACGTGCTCGAAGCCGGAGCTGCCGATCTTGCCCTGGCCGCGGGAGTACTGGGTGAACCAGAGCTCCTTGACCAGGTCGCGGTGGGTCTTCGGGTCGGGACTGACCAGACCCTTCTGCTGCAGGAACTGCATGGCCTGGCGCATCACCGGCGTGGCCATCACCGCGTCCAGGAAGTCGTTCTCCTCCTTGCGCTCGTTGGGGGTCACGTGCTCGTTGACCAGCGTGTCGTGCTCGTAGTTGTTGAACAGCAGCCGCAGCTTGGCGATGGTCGGCGATTCCAGGGCCTTGGCGTCCACATTCAGCAGTCTTTGGGGGAGATGTTCATTTTATATCTCTGAATTAAGCAAGTCAAAACATATTTGAAGATAAACCTAATCATCTGTAGCAGAAAACTAATTTCTGGGGAACTAAAAAGTACATTTTAGATTCGATTCTTCAAAGCATTCACGTTCTTGTGGTGACGATTTTTAAAATTCCTCCCATTTGAAGTTCGATTTTAAATACATGTCGAAAATATGATATTTATTATTTGAACTAGCAATACAAATAACTATACAAAAACAAACTCTACGTTTGATTTTATGATACACACACGTCTTAAAAATATTTATACTGTTTGAACTAACAGGTCAAAAACTAAGAAAACAATAAATAAATTTAATCTAAAATACTATCAAGAGAATAACTATGTGCTCATTTCACTACATTTGTACTTCTATGTACTCATGTACATTTACTAATTATAAATCGCGAGAATTAAAAACAACTAGTTTAAATAAAAGTTTTGATGTTCAAACCAAATCTGGGTGGCATGAAAATAAATTCTTCTTTTTTTTGGAATAATTCTACGTTGAAGGACAACCAAACGGAGTGTTCTAAGTATCGAAACTCACATATATATTTATATGGTGCAGCGGATTACTTACGGATTAGGTGCCTCATCAGCGCTGTCGATGGATCGCGTGCGTCCCTGCAGGTTCACCTGGATGTTTCCGATCTGGTTGTTGGTCTCCTTGGAGTACAGCTGCTCCGTCAGCTGGCGGATCTCGTCGTCGGTGGCCACGGAGTTGCCCGACGACTGGAATCCGGGTCGCACCGTGGTTGTGGTGAAGCCTCCACCGCCGACCTTGTGTGGTCCAAAGGACACACCGTGGGCGGGTGTGGGTGTGGGCGTGAGCGTGTGTGAGGAGGGCGTGGGCGTTGGAGTGACCTTGGTGGGTGGATGCACTGGATGCTGGGGCGTTGGCAGCGGCGATTGCCAGGCCGAAGGAGATCCCGGTGTGGGCGTGGGTGAGCCAGGTGGAGTTTTGGCCGCAGGCAAGGCCGGAAAGTCCTCCTTTTGCGATGGCCTCCGTGGTCCTGGCAGCGCCGGGAAATCCTCCTTCTGCTGCGGCGTCTTACCTGTGGTGGTCGAGGTGGGCCTCTGGGTGGTCGTCGTGGTTGAGGCGGTGCTGGTAGCCACTCCAAAGCCAGGTCGTCCGGCTGCCGGTGCTGGACCACCGCCGTAGCTCAGATCGTAGCTGTTCGGCTGGGGTTTCTGTGGGCGGTAGGGGGCAAAGCCAGGTGGCAGACTGGGTGCTGCAGTGCCTCCCTGCTGCGGACGTCCCTGGACGGGCAGCTGTGGCGACTGGGGTGGGGTCGGTCTGGCGCTGCTCGATGGCCACTGAGGACCACTTGCCGGCGGCGGGGAGGCTCCGAAGGGAGAGGATGCCGGTGTATCTGGTCGCGGACCCAACGGCATCAATGGAGCATTCGAGATGACCAATGGCGGTGGCTTCTTGGCCGCCGTGGACGTGGTTACCGCCGCCTTCGCACTGGTGGCAGCCGGGGGAGCAATGGTAGTGGTGGTGGTGGTGGTGGTGGCATCACTGCCAAAGAACTTCTTGAAGCCGCCGAACCAACTCGACTTCTTGGTGGTGGCCTCCACAGCGTCCAGGGGATCCGGAGTGATCTGCACCTCGCTCTTGTAGGCAGCTGGTGAGTCGGGATTAGAGAGTACAGCGTGTGACTACCTGTGGCCCAAATGGGCTTCACCCTTTTGCCTACCTGTCAAATGAAAGTGCCCGGCCACAGCCAGGCACAAAAAGAGCGCACTCAATGCCAGGCAGCGCATTTTGCTCGATTTATTAGCACTTTGCCTTGGCTTGGTACAAATTTCTTGGCTTTGGTTTGTGCGATTGTATTTTCGATTCGGAGATAGCTCGACCAACTGAACGGAGACTCAGCAAGCGACTGACGAGAGACTTCAGCTCGACATCCGTCTGATCTTGGCGATCGCAGCTGATGTTGCTGCTGTCGCCGTTGTTGCTGTTGCCGTCGTCGCTGTTGCTGCGTAGATGTTGCTGCTGCTGTCGTCCGCGAACGGCGGTTGTTGTTGGTTTTATTAATGAGCTTACGCCGCTATCGTCGTCGGCGTGGGTTTTGCCTCCGCTCAGGTACGCTACATCTATCGTAGCCGGCTATTTTAGTATTGGCAATGTTTAATTTTGGGTCAGCATTCAAACTAAGAAAACCTTTTACGAAACAAAAATATTTGAATGGAGTTCTATCCGTTGGAAGTCATCTTAACTTAAATCTAGGCATTAATATGAAAAGTCACGGATAAAGAAAATATTGTGTGATTATTTTATGAATTATATTTTGCATTTCCCTTTAAATAAATATTATTTTATCTTTGTATTTTTCCTAGTACTATTGGGTTTGACTTCGAATATGGCTTTAAGTCTTTTGTACTGTCAATTGCTTACGCTATTAAAGCAAATTACTCATTTATATATACTATTACAAAATATTCGAAGGAAGTTAAAACATTAACTTACTTTAATCGATCAGAAAATGGTGTGATCTTGAATATTGAGGATCATAATTTTTGTAAATATTCGAATAAGTCGTTAGAATCGGGCTACTGAAATAACGCCGAACTTGCCATTGGATTCTGGAGGGACCTGTTTGAAGGGTTGATCGAGGGTTACGGTCCATAATTACCTGGGCAGAGCTTTAATTGTCAAACAAAAAACCTGACCAAGCCGTGCAAAAATAGCCCCAGTCATCCAGTCCGAAATTGTATTTGCCTTCGGAAGTGGCTCACGTAAGCGATTAAAGCGAATTAAGCTTGCATAATGCCCTGGCACTCGGCACTCGGCACTCGACTCTCTGATTTCAGCCTTTTGTTCTCATCTGATCCGTTTCCTCCCTTCGCAAGACGACTCGATCCCAGTTCCGCTCCCCTACTCCCCTACTCCCCTACTGCCCATTTAACACTAATTAATTGCACTCGGCCGCGGAGGAGGGGGGCGGTCTAATTCGGCATCCCATTCTAATAAATAATAATGAAACTGAAATCTCAGTGCTCGAATCTGGGGCTTATCGCTCGGCGAAAGGCCACTGGCAAAGGTTATGTTTTTGTGTGCTCCATTTGAGCAAACAGCGATTGTTCAGAAGTCTCAATTGCTAAACTTGAACACTGAGAAGATAACCAGCAGTTGCACGATCTATTGAAAACTCTAGTCATCATTTTATATTTTAAAATTATATTTATTGGGACTACAAGATTAAACAACTCAAGTGAATAAAGTAAAAAATCTTAATAGACGCTTTATGCGTCTGAATGGAGAGTCAAACAATTTTAAACAATTAAAACGACAATTTAATTAAATTGTTACTGTTTTCCACCCACAAGATTTCTGTATTAGTGCTCTTTTTATTGTTAAGTGGTCCTCTCTGACTTATCTTAATTGAATTACAGTTACATTACCATTGCTGCTACTATATAAACATTCATAAAATGTATTTTGGATAAGGATCCTATAATTATATCTGTTATATTGAAACTCGTAGATTTATGCCCATTTACTATGGTTCAGTTTACTTAGTTTAACAGCTACGAAGATCATGTTTAAAAATTATAAATAGCCCATGTAGTACATTCATTTTAAGTAGTTTTATAGTAATTCAGCACCATTATTTTTGTTGGAGGATTACACTTGCTTATTGTAGAAGTTAACTTTCTATCTCGTTTTTAAATGTAAGGAAGGGAGAGATAGATATTTTTTTACTCTCTTGCAACTTGAAGTAAATACACTTTTTGTTTTGCTTTGTTACCTGCAGGCTACGAAAGTAGTTTTCTGATTCAATTTCTTTCTTGGTCGATCATTCAAAAAAGAGGGAGAAGGAAAATGAAGGATACCCTGAAATTTATGGCATACTTTCAGGCTGGTAAAAAGGTCACAATTCGACACTGAAAATAGAACCTTTGGCATAAATGTAAAATTTGATCGTGTTCTTGCTATCTTAAAAAAGGTAACCGATTAAAATCGGATTTTTCACCCGATATTGATAATGTTGATTTGGACATGCGTTTTAGCACTGGTACTTAATTTAAGTATGAAGTCATCCAGGAAAATAAACAACATATGCAATAACAAAGACTAAACAAGTTGTTTTATTACACAAAAAATGAAACAGTTGGTAGGGTTAGTAAGTCATAGCCAAAACACAGCTTGATAGGGATCTCCGCGGATTGTCAGACACTCTTGTTGATCAGTTTCTTGCGAATGGTCTCATCCAGCGGAGGAATCGCCTCGCGGGGAATCAGGAAAGTGGACAGGTTGAACAGGTCCAGGAACACCTTGTAGCGATCACTAAAGCCCAAAAAAAGACAGAGGTCAGGGGTTAGAGGTCACTGGACAGATGGGCAATGATCACCTGAGAGTGGAGCGCAGATATTGATATCCGGACGATCCACCAGTGCCGAGCTGCTGGGATCCAATCATGCGTTGCACCATGATTACGTGATTATCTGTGGCGGTGGTAGAAAGTAGTTGGTTAGGCAAGAAGACAAGACTAGATTTAAACGCATATCATACAACTTCACTTAACTTAATTGCAAGCTATCTTTTCCATTGAAAATTAAGTCTTTGAAATTAGCCTACAGTATTGCATACAATTGTAAAATTGTAATTCCAAAGATTCCAACTTCCTATGTCCACTAAATGCTTAACTTTTTTGTTCCAAACATAATAATAATAATCACAAATAAATGTAGATCATAGTTTATATTACATACGAAGCTCTACTACATTTTACAATTTTAAAACAACATATTTAATGAACCGCCGAAGTAAAACCTCTAAATTTTAATTTTACAATTAAAATAGATTAAAAATATTAATTTTGAATTTTAAGTAGAAAATAAACCTATTGAGTTAAAGTTCTAAACGATTATTTAAAAGTAAAACTGGACACTTGAATCCACTTTCATTGGTTAATTTATAATTCTTTACCCAAAGTACAACATTTTGATCGGTTATCTATATTAATCTTTTCTCAAGTCGTATTATTTAGTCGATGGTTATATTTGGGACACCACTGAATGTAGTTTTTGCATGGAAAATCGATAAAAAACGTATAGTACTGGGAGCAAATGCAATAAATTGATGGATAATTAAAAGTGTATCACTCACATCGCCACTTGGTGATCAGCGAGTCGATGTCCATCAGCAGGGTGAGCAGTTGGTGGGGCTGGCTGAAGCGGGGCTCATCCCGGTAGAAGGTGATCATGATGGCGCCCTGGAGGGCTCGGTGGCTGAACCGCCGATCGCCGCGCCGCACCAAAGCATCGTGCACCGCCGGATCGAAGATGGAGCGGTACACCTCGCGCCGCTTCTCGATGTCCATCAGGCGGTAGTTCTTGGCCTTCTCCACCGGCTCCAGCATGGCGCTCTGCACCTGCGCCTCCAGGAACTGGTCCACGCTCTCCTGGAACTTGGCCCAGAAGTTGAAGCCGCTCTCCTCGAGCCCCGGCGTCCGCTCTAGCCACCGCTGCACCAGCTCCAGGAGCGAGGGTTCCTTCTCCGAGCTTTGGATCGCATTCCGCGCCCCATCGTCGCTGAAGACGTCCGAGTACTTCTGGTTGTACCGCACCCGCTGCTCCGTCAGCACGCCCAGCTTGTTCTCGATCAGCCGGAACTGCAGGGACTGGAATCCGGAGGCGGGGGCCAGGTACTTGCGGAAGTCCATAAAGTCCAGCGGCGTCATCGTCTCCAAAATGGGCACCTGGTCCACCAGAAGCTATCGGAGGTGTGTTCAATCGGAGACAGAAAATAATAAGTCTGATATTCAAAAACGCTATAATTAAAGAAGAGTTGTATCTGGGCTTTAAGGTGATTGAACTGCTTGAAACAACTCTTTTGTAAAAAGTTGTATTCCTATTTATCTCCATAACCTTATTTTCTGGATTGGCTTATTGAATTAAATTGGGTATATTCTATTACCGTGTTATACCCTTCAAATAGAGGGCTTTATTTATTTATATGTATTATAGCTATGTTAAAAAGCATCAAAAAAGAGTTAAAGCACTTCTAATCCTTGCAAGGGCATCAAGGCCTTGATGCGTTTTTAGTTTTGGTAAGAAATGACAGTAGATCAAAGGAAATCACAGATCTTCGGCTGATTGTCTTCTATCTTACAAGAAGTATTCTATTTATTTCGGGTCTGAGGAGAACTCACCTTTAGAATGAGAACCACTCGGTTCAGTCGCTTGACAATCTCCAGGGTCTTGGTCTCGTCGATGACCTCTGCATCCAACATGTCCCGAATGGAGTCGAATTCGAAGATGATCTGCTTGAACCACAGCTCGTAGGCTTTGGGGAAAGGGAATTAGAATGCGGTCTATACCAAATACCTATTCCAATACCAAACCAACTCACCCTGGTGCGTGATGATGAACAGATGCTCATCGTGGACAGGTCGCTTGTCCTCCTCGGAGAGCATGCACTGGGCGTCCAGAAGTTTGTCCAGCATCAGGTACTCCCCGTAGATTTTTCCCACCTCGGTGGTGAGCGGTACAGCGTTATCATCGTGCTCGTTTCTGGCGGGGAGTGGGAGGGAGGGGGACGACTTGGAGTGGCGACTCTTTATTTCTGGACAGCACGTGCTGCTGCTCACCCGTTTCCAGCGAAGGGACAGCTCATGGTGGCACAATTCGTGGCTCGTCGAGCGGCGGACGCTGGCAAACTGAAGCGGACGCGGACCGAAGATGAGACCCCAGCGAAGCGATAACGCGGAGGAGAGAGCTCCAGTTCCGGCTGATTGCACAGTCGGCGATCTGGGCGATCTGGTCGATCTGGTCGATCTGGTCGATCTGGCGATGGGCACTGCCAGATAGGCTGGGAATTATCAAGAGCTGGAGGTGAAAGTGCGGCGGCGGACACAAATATTTTGCAGCATGGGAGCGAGCCTAAAGTACAATTCACTGAGAAATACCTAAATTAATTCGTCAATATCGGATACTTTTTACGATAACCTCTCCAAACACATGCTTAGTTCCAAGTACTAAACTGTGTTATAATATTTTTACGAAACCTTGTTTGTTTTTGTATTATTTAGGTCTATTGGTATATGATATACACCTGTCTAGACCATTAAACTCAGTCAATTATTAAATAAAGTATAAGATTAATATACCATTCGTTACGGAAAAATTTCTTATTATTTTTATTAATTGTTTTCTGAGTGTATGTGAAATTAAAAAATTCGGCAATCCATAATCTGCTCATTAAAACTAGGTCAAGGTCATACAAAAAAAGCTTTAAAAGTTGAACTAAATTTGTTTACTTGAAAATTGTTTGATAAGATCGCACCATACAAGAATTGAAGGCAATATATTTAAACAATTGTTTAATATTTTGAACTTTCTCACCCCGAAGCCCATTAAAAAAGTGTCCATTTGCTTATCATTTTTATATTTCTCATATATTTCTGGTTTTTCTTTTTGTTTAAAATGTATTTTTGAGTCATTGGCTCAGTCATATACTTGTTGAAATTTGTTATATACTTGTGCCGTTCGCATCAATTCTCACTTCGAACCATCGCCTAGATCATCTTGGTTGTTGTTATGTCTTTTATCTGGATTTGTTGCTGTTGCCTCACATACATATAGCGCAATGTCGGGACGTTAATACCCCACCTTATTTATACTATTTCATACACATCTTCTGTTGTTTGTTTAATACTTTCTGCATGTCCAAAATCTCAACTCAAGATATCAAAGAATTCATTCGAATAGGATACCGTCGATGTAGGTCTAAATATATGTATATCGTTTTTCATTATTTAATTTTCAACTACTTTTGCATAGAAAAATTTGAGTTACATCTGGAGTAAAACACAAAGAAGTACGGGGGAATTTCATGCGACCTCGAATTTTGGGTTTTTGCAATGTGCTTGGAATTCGTTCAATGCCATTTATGTATTACATAAACATCTAGTATATATCCATGTATATATGTATGCCTGTATGTATATATATACATATATTTATTTATAATTTATCGCTTTACTCTCGCTCGCTATCTGGCTCTAAATGTATTTATATAATATGCAAATCGCGCTGCGTTTTCTAGTCAATTCTAGTGTCGAAATCTCTCAGTGGAACCGCGATAAAGATACTAAAACCGAAGAACAAAAAATAGAATATCGAAGACCTAAGACCACGTTATCGTTTATAGTTAATTGTTAATCGCTCTGTAAATGTGTGTGTTTAAATCTATGACTAAATTGTTTCGTTATGCACGCTATCTCTGTCATTCATTCGTACATCGGCTCTCGCCATCTCTGTCTACCTGGCCGACTCGCTAACTATCTATCTCGCTTGCGCGCTCTCACTGATTTGCGTTGTCCTTTTCTTTTTGCTGCTTCCGTTTCCGGTCAGCGGTAATTCTCTTTAACAATATTGCACTCTTAATTCGTGTTTGCTTTCAATAGTTTCAATATGTTCGTTATAGACATTAACACAATATCTGAATCGAAATACAATATTCATATTTTATATATGTATGTATGTCTGTATATCTTAATGCTTGAATGCGGGGTGTATGCATAAATGCACTTACATCTACGCGTATGTTTCTGTGTGTGTTAATTTATATTTTGAAGATATTCGATCTTACCTCCAGATCAACATGACTTCGTGTATCTTCTAACATTTTGCTTATGATTGAACGATTTAAATGGTATTTTCTATCAACTAGATGAAGTGACTGGGAGGTTTGGGATGATTGAGGGAGGTCTGGGATGCAAACTTTTGGCACTGATGCTCTCACTTCAGGAGAAAGGCGATCCGAGGTGTTTTGAAAACTCTGGAGATTCCGAAACAATGCATTTACTGCCTAAAAGTATGCAATGAAGAAGGTCATCCCTTTTTTTAGGCACCTTTGCTTTTGTCTTAAAATCTCTGAGGCTTTCAAGAACAACTCGTAAGGTCTGGAATGTGGAAGATGTGAAATGCGATGCAGGCTGATCGATCTACAAATGAAACCCAAACAAACTGTAGCATACAAAACATAGATTGCACCTATGCATTTTGTTACAACATGGCGATACATTTCTTAAGCGTAGAAAACAAAACATTTATGAAAATTTTAAATTTATTATACATACAGAACAAAAAAATAATTAAAATTAAATTTCATTAAAAATAAAGCCTATGTCTAAAAATATTCCTATAATTTTGATACTCATAAAATATATATATTTTTGTTTAAATATATTACTCTTTAATAAGAGAGCTTTTGGAGTTAGCAACAAATTGCACTACATTGGAAATACTTTATAATATCAATTCAATTCAATATAATTTAATTATGTATAATTTAGTTTAGCATTCGCATATATAGATATAATAATTATGTATGTGTTTATATAGATGCGTTTAAAATCAAATGCACTTTCCATTGAGCAAAACTCGTTTTCCTTGGCTAACAGCAAAAAAAAAGGAATTAAAAAAAATATTATTACATATCTCTGCTTTAGGTTTAACTTTGTTAAATATAATTTGCATAGCTTAATTAACTTTTTATTGGTTTTGTTGTGTTTGTTGTTGTTGTTGCATTACTAGCACCCAGCATGTATATGCTCGAAATAAATTCATGTGATTTGGTTGTATTTTGGTTTAGATTTTCATCTCTCCTCCACTACACTCGGCTAAATATAAATAACTATGAAATAAAATCCTCGAAGGCAAGGCTCAACTAAAAGTGTACTTTCTGGAGTAATGCGTAACATTGAGTGATACACGTGGCATTGTTAGTAAGGCTGGTTGTAAACGGTGCAGCGGCAATCTGAGTGCCCATGTTGCACACGTGTAATATCAAAAGCATTAAGAATGAGATAATGCTGCCCCTGCACCGTTTACAACCAGCTTAAGCTATAATTATATTCGATTTCATTATAATCGGGGATGCCACAAAAGTCTCTAGTGCTCGAAACCACTTAAAAGGGCGTCTGAAAGTATAGTATGTGTTAAAACATAAAACGCCGTGCTTGGCATTTATCCATTGGTATTTCTATATTACTTTAACTCTCCAAGTGATTTAAAACCTTTAAAGATTTCCATAACACCCCCGATTGCGAGTATTTGTGGCACACCGACACAAGGATACAGACAACACGGATACGGATACGGATACGGATAAAGATAATGGTAATGATACTGGTACTGATACTGATACTGATGCGGAAAAGGATACGGATACGGTTACAAATACACTTGCTAAACGGAAGATCGAACTGATTCTAAAACGCTCGCTAGGGTCAACTGAGGGGCAACTCAAATCAGCGGATGGGACTCATGGGAACTCGAGGAATCTCGCGGGGCGGGCGCTCATCTGCCGCCCATGCCGCCGCTCCCCAAATGCACTGAAGTCGCTGACATTTCGACTAGTTGACACTGGCGGCGCTCGACAATGACCGCCGCTGGCAGCGACTATTCGAGCGCGGGTCATACGTTCATCGCATAATAAACGGATCCCTGTGCCTGGGCGCCCACGCCCACTCCTACGCCCATGCCTACTCCCCCGGCGGCCTGTTGCTGCTGCTGTTGCTGTTGCTGCTGCTGCTGCTGCTGTACTGCCGCTGCTGCTGCTGCCGCCGATGTCGGCGATACCATGGCATTGCAATCGCTGTGCGAGACTGCGGCCGCTCCCTCGGGCACTCCGCGCTCACTGAATCCGGGCATCCCGCCCTCTGGTCCAAATTGATAGTGCCCCTGCATGAGGCGCTGCTGCTGCTGTTGTTGCTGCTGTTGCTGCTGTTGCTGTTGCTGCTGCTGCTGCTGGTGTTGCTGCTGGTGCTGGGCGTAGTGGGCGGCGTGGCCACGCCCACTGACCACGTGCAACTGCATGCCGGGCAGGGCGTAGCCAATGGGCACTCGAATCGTCTGTTGGGTAACCTAAAAAGGGAATTGCGTTAACAGGCGTGTTCGTACTTTAATCTTATACATATCGCTACTTTAATCTTATACATATCGCTTTAAAGTAAATCATTAACTGTTTTACTGTTTGACTTGTAATAAACAAGAAGAAGGGAAGACTATAATCCAGAAATATGTTGCCCAAAAGAGGAGAATGTGCAAACGTAGCAACAACCAACTAGATTAAGCCCAAAAATTAATCATTTGCAGAGTTTTCAACAATATTCTTCATTCGCTAGACATATAAACATTGGACATCCTATGTTATTCAGAAATGTACTGTATAATTAAATTTTAAAGGCATGCATTCATTGGGTATTCGATTTTTTTCCTAGTTTCAGACTACTGTGGGTAACTCTGATTTTCCTTAACAACTTGGAACTAACGAAAGGTATATACATATCTCCGGGTGACTACATATCGTAAGCTGTCAATTTTTCACATTTAATGGACTACTCCCACAAATCCTTGTAAAAATATCCTTAAAATGAACAAGCTGAAACCGTGAATTCTTGAGTATACCGAGCACAATTTTGGATTAACAAAAGGTATGGAAGTGCCGGATGGAAGCCCCACTCACCTGCTGGTACTCGAGGATGTTCTGGCGCTGGATGTGCGCCAGCTTGGGATCCCCGCTGCTGCTGGTGGCGAACTGGGAGTAGGTCTCCGCGTTGTACGGGATGAGGACCATGGTCTGGTGGTAGTTGCGCAGCGGGGGCGGCGACTCGGGCCGCCGGGTGGGGCTGCGTGCGAAGTGGCTGCTGTAGCTGCTGTGCTTGCTCTGCTCGATGGCCGTGGCGGTGGCGGTGGCGGTGGCGGTCGCCGTGGCGGTGACACTCTGACAGTTCTGGGCGGCGGCAGCGGCGGCATACAGGAGCGAGGCATCGTCGCCACCGCCGGCAGCGGAGGCGCCCTGCTGGATCATCGTCTGGCGGAACATGGTGCCGGCGGGCAGGGTCTGGTAGTAGGTCTGCTGGATGGCAGCCGCGTCCATGGGGAAGCGCTGCTGTTCCCCGGTCTCGCTGTAGAAGCTCCACGTCCGCTGCTCGGTTTTCTGCAGGGCAGCGGCCATCTGTTGCTGCAACTGCTGCTGATGTTGCTGGTGTTGCTGCTGTGCCTGCTGCTGCTGTTGCTGCTGTTGCTGCTGCTGCTGTTGCTGCTGTTGCTGCTGCTGTTGCTGCTGCTGTTGCACATTCTGCGGCACGTTCTGCGGCGAGGGGTTCTGCTTGAGCGTATTGGGCATGGCGTATCCCTTGACCGCATGCTGCACCGGCTGACTATTGACCACCGTGGGTATCGCCGCACTCAGCTGCTCCTGCATCTGGGCCAGGATCTCGTTGGTCGAGCTGAACTTGGGCTTGATGCCGCGCACCGAGGGCCGCTTGTTGAACCCGTAGTCGTTCTGCTCGTCGTCGTCGCTGCTGGCCTGCGATTGGCTGGGCTCGGCGCCCGCTCCCGTGTACCGCTTCTTGAGCTGCTCGGTCCGCTTGGCGTCCGCCTGGGCGAAGGCGGCCAGTTCGTCCTGCTCCTGCCGCCCGGCGACCTCCTGTCCCGGTGTTCCGGCAATTACGTCCGGCGCCACCTTGCGTGCGTCCTCGCCACCGACTCCCATTCCCCCTCCCCCTCCCCCACCTCCGCCGGCTGCGGCCAGTCCCTGGGCCAATCCCTGGGCCGCCATGGCGGCGGCATGCTGGGCAGCCGGATCTCCAGAGGCGGCGGCCGCCGCTGCCGCTCCCAGTAGCTGACCCATATTGAAATCAGCAGCAGCAGCGGCGGCTGCATAGTGGGCGGCATGCGCGTGCGTGTGGGCGTGGCCATGGGCGTGCGGATGGGCGGCGGCGGCAGCGGCCAGGGTGTAGTACGAGGAGAGGTCGTCCTTGTTCCCGGCCACACAGGCGGTGAGAGGGGCCAGGGTGGAGGAGAGGAACTGCCGCTTCGGCTCCGTCTGGCGGGGCGGAGTGCGGTGGATCTGCGTGTGCACCACCGGCACCTGGATGCCCATGCCCAAGTCGGGGGCTGCCGGACAACGGCACTCCTGCAGAGAAACCAGACTTTTGTAAGCAAGAAGTTTTGGACTTTCAAGGATACCCACTAACTTTAAGGGTTTTCTCGTCTCCATGGTTAGTTATATGTAAAATGTTTAACGTTTTCTGAGCTAAAAACCTACCTATTGCTTACCACAAAGGCGAGAAAACGGGCCTTAGGGAAAATTCACTTAAAATCAGTTTATTGAACAAGATTTTATTTGGGTGAGACAAAAACCAAGCATCTTTATAATTCTGAAGGAACATAAGATTTAAGACAATCGAAAAAAAAACTTTTTTTCGGTCGCAGGAAACATAAACAATTTAAATGTTATTTGCTTTTTATATTACGAACACTAAAAGTTAAAAGCCTTGAACATTTTTTTTATTTACAAGATTAAAAACCAATGTAAATCGTGAATATATCAAACCGTGAGTTCACGGAGTACCCTCCAATTTAAAGAAAACTCACCTGGGGAATAATGACAATGGGGTTTTCCTCCATCTCCATGATCTTCTCCTGCTTCTTATCGCGGTTGAAAATATCGGCGATTTTCTTATAGGCCGACGAGCCGCTCGAGGAGCTCGATACCGAGCTGCTCGGAGAGAAGCTCTTTTCGCCGTTGACAAACTTGTGGGGTGGACCGGAGCCGGGCACCGGATTGGGATTCTCCTCGCCGGCGGGACTGTTGCGCTGAGCCAGCTCATCGGCACGTTCGGCGGCAGCTTCGGCGTCCTCGTCCACAGCCCGCTGCAGTTCCTCGGCCAGATCCTCGTCGATGTCGCAGGTCAGCTGCTTGATGCGTTCCTCCAGCGAGATGTCCGACTTTACAGCCTTTTTCCTGAAGAGCAGAAAACATGTTTAATGTGGGTGCGCCATAATAAATGTTTATAGCCAAATTAAAAATAACTAATAGCCCGAAAAATTATTTGAATACAAAATGTGTATCTATCGCATCTGATTCAAAGAAGTACGTATCAATTAAGCTGTATATCAACAAATACATAACATCAAATCTAGTTTCTTCTAGTGCAAATCATGTGTGAGTCCACCCGGGGGCGCCAAAAACAATGCTCCATAGTTTTTGTAAGCCAACTATAGAAATTTTTACTTATTTGAAAGCTTACTTAATCAGCGACCGGCGCAGGATGTTGCGCTCCATGCTGCGGCGCAGGGTGTCCGAGTCGCCGCAGCTCCCCGGCAGGTGGGTGACCAGGCAGCCGGCCCGCTTCGACTCGTCGAAGGCCCGGAGCGCCTCCGAGGTGAGGACGGGCGCCTGGTGGGCCGAGACGCTCGGGAAGAGCTGGCGCACCGCCGAGTTGGGGCGCAGGGCGTTGTTGAAGAGCGTCGAGTGCTTCTTGATGGGGATCAGCTCGTTGATCTGGTTCTCGCTGTCGTCCAAGTCGCCGGCCAAGGACTGGGCGTCGCTGTCGGTGCCGGCGTTCGCCTGATCCTCGGTGACGAACCGCACCGAACGCTTCGTGGCACCGCTCTCGTCCTCCGAAGTGGTGTTGTTCTGGTCATCCGACTGCTGCTCAAATCGGAAATGGGAATCGATTTTGTGATCTTATTTGGCATTCAATTGAAGTTGACTCACCTGAGAGATGGAGTCCTGCTTCCATAGCTTGCCGCCCTTGAGAATTCCACTGATCTGCGTGGGCGAGGTCTCCTTGGGCGGTATGGGTGGCGGTTTCTGTGCCTCGAACTGCTGCTGTTCCGATCCGGGGACCGCTGCTGCTGCTCCTGCTGCTGCTGCTGTTGCGGCTGCTGCTGCTGCTGCGGCTGCTGCTGTGGCGCTGGCCTTGGCCGGCAAGGCGGGCGGCAGCATATCCGTTCCGCTCGCAGCGGCCACTGCTCCAACAGGGGGTGGGGCGGTACCAGGTGCGGGGGGCGGGACCGGCGGTTGCCACGTCCTCGTGCGCCTCCCGGATGATGCGGCGCTCGGTCACTGTGGTCATAGTGGTAATGGTTTCAACAACAAATCGTTTATTTTTCGAGGAGCTACTGATGGCCGTAGCCGGGACCTGGACCGGGACCGGGGCGGAACTGGAGCCGGAGCTCGAGACATTTCCGGAAATGGCCTTGCCACTGCCCAACTCCTTCCTAGCCTTGACCACTGCACGTACAAGCGAACAGTCACACGCAAAAAGCCATCGGCGGCCGGCATTTGTTGGCAAAATAGAGCATTTATTGGGCATTCAAAGGATTCGGAATTGAAATCGATCAATGTCGACATGGAGATCGTGATTAACGGATGCTTAATATGTACAGTGCACATGCGGATGCACACGATAGTCCAATAATTAGACAAGCGATTGATGAGGCGATTGGTTGGTATTGAATTATTATATGTACTTGAGTAACTTTTGGGGCAAAGCTTAGAATGTATTTGAAATGGGAATTTAAAAATGATTAATACTTGAAATGTTATTATGGAGCAGCCAATACTGAGATACTGCTAAGTTAGCACTTAATTGTTCACAGGATCAAGAAATCAAGACCCTGGGAACGTTATGGAAATTTTGTTTTCGCCTCTCTAGCCTCTGCGATATATAAGGTAATTATTCCTAAGAGCCATAAATTAAAATGGCATAACAGTATTCGCGAGTAAATACTTTTATCGTAAGCACTTTAACCATTGCAACACTAATCATGAATATATGTATCGGTTATATCCACATTGTTTTGCATGGTAAAGGAAACCTCAATGTCCAATGCTCAATGGCCAAAGCTCAGATGGGAAATTTCAATAGGAGCGATAAATGGGACGACCTTGATTGGATTACATCGAATCTTTGGAGGTCGGATGTGAAATGTGCAATATGGCCATGGTAGCGAATGGTTGCGCTTGGTTGCTGTGCACAAATGCGTGATAAAGCTTATGACCAAAGTGGGTTTTGTGGTTTGACTTGGTCATGGATTTGGATTTGGATTTGGATGTGGATTGGGATGGGCTGTGGGCTGGTGGGCTGGTGGGTTAACATTTGGGCAACTAGCCGACTTCGTACCTGCTGTGGGTGATGGCTTGTACTGCGACTGCAGCACGTACTTGGGCCGCTCCTCGCCAGCGATGATCTCCTTCTGGGTGATGCGGCGCTCCGGGGAACTGGTGTGCAGTGGCAGAATGGCCACAGCGGGAACCCCGAGCGGAGTCATCTCCTCCGGACACTGCGGGGAGCTGCATTCTGTGGGGCGGCAAAGGCAAAACGAGTTAGATGCATTAATGGCAAAGGTAAATTGGGGAATTAAAACATCATGGCTTCTGTAGCACAACAAGTGGTGTACTTATTAAAAGCCTTATTCTAATTTCATTATGAAAAAGGTTCTAAGAATAAGTTCTTGCTTGAACGAAGTAAAGACGTATAATCTAAATTAAAAGTATCAAAGGTTTTATTTGAGTTTAAATGTTGACTCAAAACTATACATTTTCTTTAAATTATAAACTTAATATGTGTAAATATAACCATACACATCTTGAAGTATAACTTTTTAAAAAAATATAATAGACTGGCGACTGTGTTAGATGCATAAGATTGAATAATTGGGGTTAATGAATATGCTTAGATTCAGAACCTGAGAAGTTCTTAGAAAGTTAATGATCAGTACCACCTGTAAGGGACTTTTCTTTTAATAAAATAAATGTTTCTATTAAATCTACAAATAATGTAAGTTTGAACAATCAAATTTGAGCAGGAGTTTGAAAATGTACTAAAACGAGGAAAGGGAAGGCTTTCTAGTGACAAATGTGTACCGAAAGGGTTGTATGAGATAGAAACGTATTGGAAATTGTTTATGGCCAGGTAGGGAAAAGCCACCCAAATTATGGACCCATGCATGGCTACCTTGATACAAGCCTGCCCATCAAAATCCGATGATAAACCGGCGGCAAAGTTGGGGGACTTCCGCCTGTTGCTCGCGGAGCGGAAGTGCGCTTGAAGGATCGGTATGGGCATAGGTTTTTGCTTTTTGCTTTTCGGTTTTCAGTTTTCTGTTTTCAGTTTTCTGTTTTCAGTTTTCTGTTTTCAGTTTTTAGTTTTTGGTGGCCATATGCACATAGTTTTGGGCATAGGCAGACATCTCGCGGACCTGGGCTTGTCTTGTTTGCTGGGGGCTTGTCACATTCGCGGTTCGTTAGGCGCAACAATTAATGAAGAGCACCCCTCACTCCGCGGGAATCCCCGGAAAGTGCCCTGCCCTCTTCGCCCCACACTGTCCCCTATTTGAGCATTTTCCGTTTTCGGTGTTCGCTTTGGCAGCCAATAAAGCGTGACCACCGACATTAATGCAAATGCAGCCCGTTTCCATTTGAAATATCCTTTTAGGGGTTAGGGACTCGATTCGATTCGATTCCATTCGATTCGGGGCGGTTCGGTTCGGTTCGGTTCGATTGGAAGCGAAGTCAAGTTGCCGTAAATCAATCAATAGACCCGGCTCGATGAGCGCTTTCTGTGGGAATGCGGGCGACTTGTGTAAAAAACAAACAACGAAAAACGAGGAATTATTTATGGCCTGAACCTGGCCGATAGCTGAAACTCCAGCGATTTCCTTTCGCTGTCGCTGTCACCATGGAGTTATTCCAATAGTCATGCCACCTTCAACGGATTTCAGTTGAGTGGAGTGCTCGAATAATGGCCAAATGGCGGTTGCTAAGTTTTGATTTGCCAATAGTTATGGTAAAAAAAGGTGCCATATCACAGTAGGTCGGCCTCTTTATTTGCTTTGTTATTTACCAATAAATAGGAATAGTATTTAAGTGCCAAAGTAGGCCTATATTCAAGGAAATCATATTGTTAACTAGCATATAATTCAATATATTTCCAATGGTATCTGATATCATCAAATTCAAGAAAATAATATTATTAATGAACTTATAATTCAGTATATGTATTTCCCATTGAAGTGTTGTGGGTATTTTGCAAGTATTTAGCATAGCCTGATATCATCAAATTCAAGAAAATAATATTATTAATGAACATATAATTCAGTATATGTATTTCCCATTGAAGTGTTGTAGGTATTTTGCAAGTATTTAGCTTAGCCTGATATCATCAAATTCCAGCCCGGAAAGTGTGTATCTGTTGTGTTCATTTATTGACACTGCTGTCCGGCAGTCTGAACGTCTGTGAACCCTGTCTGCCACCCCGTCAGCCCTACTTTCCGAATTAAATTAACTAGAAAATTACAAGAGCAAGTGCAGCGAACTAGCTGCGAAACAGGAAGCATTCAAAATGGGGTCCAATTTAAAGGAACCTGAGGCCGAGGCTCGCAGGCCGGGCAGAATGTCAACGGGCGAGCGAATGTTTGCATAAATAATTCATAATTAGATTATACAAAGGCAAACGAAAGCGTTTGTGAATGAAAAGAACGCGCTCGCCCCCGCGGGATCCCGCTAATTGCATTGCGGCATGGAGTTCAACTGAGCTGAGCTGAGATGATGTGGATGTGGATGGGGGCAGGGCCACGCCCCCCCCGATTTATGCACAGTGAATAAAAACCCAGGGCATGCAGCACCACTTCATCCTGATCTCTGTCATCCCCCTTTTCTCAAACCCCCACACATCCGCACAATTAACAGCAGCCAACAGCTGTCACATAACAAATTGAAGCTATAGAACTTATGGTTTAAAAATGCAATTAAAAACGAAAAGATTCCCATAAATTAAAACAATCAAAAGGGATATACAAAATAGAAAATAAAATAAAGAAGAAAAACAAAACATTTTGGTATTTTGGTACTGCAGTCCTAATTTTAAAAAAACTGTTAGCAATATATATACAAATTTGTACATATATTTTTTGGGGTATTGACTTGGAATATTTGCTGAATACATTTCTTTAATAATTCCCAGACGCTTTAGCAAATTTGTTTTCTTTCTTTTATTTGTTTTTTCTGAAATTTAATGAGCACGAAGAGCATTTTTAAAATGGCAATATTGATATGATGCAGAATAAGCCTCCTTTCCTAACTAAAGACTAAATAAATGTCGAGCATTCTTTTTTGTTTCTGATTAAAATTAAATAACTGCTAGGCTGATGAAAATAGATGTTAGCTACAAATAAAATTACCAAACTTCTCCTAAAAAAATTAATTTCGTAATTTCATTGCTAACTAAATCTCTTAATAAATTATTTCGCTTCATGCCTAAATATCTTTTGAGCGGTAAACAAAAGTTGATATATGCATATATGATATGTTATGCATCGAATTAATATATACATTGCCTTCAATGATATTATATATAAACATTATACCGCACAAGTTGCCTTTAAATGAACCTGAATACGTATTAAACCCTTTTGGCCACGAATGAGGTGGTATTTTCTCCCTGTGTAGCTTCTCACCTGCTTCCTGGAGCTGCTTGGCCGCACATTCGGCGCACTCGGCACACTCGGTGCAGACGCCCTGCAGGTCCTCCTCCGATTGCTGCTGCTGCAGTGCTTCATGATGAGGTTGCTGGTGTGGCTGTGGCTGCTGTTGCTGCTGTTGTTGCTGTTGTTGTTGCTGTTGCTGCTGCTGCTGCTGTTGCTGTTGTTGTTGCTGCTGCTGCTGGGCACTGCCGACGGGCGGGGGCGGGGGCGGTATCTGACCGCTGGTGGTGTTGCGGGCGGCCAGCATCGCGGCGCGCTGTTGTTGCAGGCGCTGAATGACCTGCAGCTGCTGCAGGTGCTGCGCCCCGAAGATGTGGCCGCTCAAGGCGCCGCCGAGCGTGTTCTTCAGGCCGCTGTCCTTGTAGCCATCGGGCGGACTGAGTGCCGCATCGTCCACGAACTCAATGGGCGGCTGGTATTTGGGACTCTGGCATAAACAAAAATGAAACAGAGCAGAAAAGTTAGGTGAGTATGCCATGTGAATAATGCTCGTAAGCCGTTGCATCACCGCAAATTAAGCTAATTGAGTTGCATGCCCCGTGAGGCGGCATCACCATGTCCTTAGATACATATAGTGGCTATGCAGGCCACGGATGACGAACTGGACGCCATAAATCAGCGTTAAGCCCGTCCTTTCTGGGCTTTCCACTGTGAAATATATCCTCCCCTAATGGCATAGTTAGCTATCTGATGGATGTATTTCAACTGCTGATTTGCGAGTGCCTTAAATGCAACTATGTACAATGCTGACTGTTTCCAAACATTTTACTATAGATGTGAGCAAATCAACATTAACATAACTTATTCTCCCTGCGATAACCCTTTATTATCTTTTTTTATTCGCTATCCGTGGAGTTTTCTGAATATGCACTAATATATTATATATATATATATTTGCCGAATTGATTTCAATTAGTCTGAATAAATTTAATTTTTCCACTAACAAGCTTTAGGCATTATCAACCCAACTATTAATTCCTTTTTTTTTATTTAAGAAGAGATATAGAATATAATTTTACAAAAAAGCGAATAAAAGAACAAACAAAAAGGTGTTTTCTATGGAGTCATACAGATCCTTGTTCTAATAAAAAATGCAATGTTTGCAGTGTTAAATTGCTACCCAAAAATCCTCTAGACGATGCGGTATGCCACATGCTTTGCCCCCACATCATATTTCAACTTTGGTGACACCACAACGGAAAGCACATACTTCCCGGTGAACTGTACACTTTTTCATATGAAGAGCCAGGAAATGTGGCACAGGGCGAAAACTTAATTCAGCCAAGCATCCAGACAAGTGAAAAGTGCATAGGAGTTATATTGCACTTGTGTGTAAAAGTTGCACCCGAAAACATGGGTTCGAACTCCATTCTGCCGGAATTCCCCCGGGAACTGCCAAAAATCAGGTTTATTTGTAGCTGCAGCAGGCTGCAACGTCTAGACAAGGATCTCGGCCTCTGAATTTCCCTGTCGGTTTCCCAACCAGTTTCTTCTTCCTATTTTTCCATTCGGTATGCCGTGTCCTGACCCCGAAGTCCTGCCATAGCTCTGGCCCTGGGATGCGAAAACTTTTGCATAAATATGGCGTATTCTTTCTCCGGCTAGCTGTCTGTGTGTTATGCAACGTGCTCGGTAAACTTGTTACACACACTAAATGCATATTAAACTCTTCAGAGAGCCAACACCCAGACTGGCAGGACGAGACATTGAGGAGGGGACATGCTCGAGCAGCACCAAGTCAAGTGCATTGCTGCCTGCACTGAGCGAAATACACCGACTAAATGGGGAATTACAAGAGCTAACCTTTGTAAGCACATGGGGAGATGTCACAATGTAGCCCTTAAATTTCTTAAAGATCAGACCTCAGGAACATTTAATAAAAACCTTTTAAAAATAGTCTTCAAATGAGCCTATAATTGCGATTATCAGTATAGGAGAAAAGTTCAGAATTGCAATGAATAATTTGAATAGGATCGATGTGAAAGTCAACCTATTTGAATTAGTGACTTCCAGGGAATTATTTTTTCATACTTTACTTAAAATTAAAGTTAAGTAAGTATGGTCTTTTCCGACTCTGATAAGGTTGTGTTTAACTTTCTATTATTTGCCAACTTTTAGTCACAATTCTTTTTATATACAATCTGTTTTTAAATACTTTTTCAGCTTTCAGCTTATAAATTCTTCGAGAGCTTAGCTTTTCTTGGCTTAAAATAAGTAAAGCTTTATTTATAATCGTTCGCATTCCAGGAATGACCTGACATATTCTTGACTCAAATATAATTTTTTCCAAATGCACTCGATGCTGGGCTCTCAGACAGGACCCTGCCAGGACATCAGAGGAGAACACCGAGCAGATAAGCAAAAAGCGGCGCACTCAAGTGTCGCTTATGTGGCAGCAAATTGAAATTTAAGCGCAGCTCGAGGGCCGCTCAGGATCGATACGAGTGTGGAGGTGGTGCATGGATGTGGTGTATGGTGTGTGGTGTGTGGCATGTGGGTGTTGGGATGGCAAGGCGATGATTATGATGCTGCAGGGACGACAAACTGGCCGGATGGAATCAAGGAAGGAAGGAAGGAATGTCCAAATACTGGCGGCAACTTTCCTGAATGTCCTTAACACATATAACGCGCTGTTCATCACGATATCACGCACACACACACACACACACACACACACACATCACGGGCGCAATTCATAAAACAATCTATCACAGGCAAAAACACAGAGGCGTCGACAACAACTCGCTGCTGCAGTTTCGAATTACTGGTTACTGGTTACTGGTTACTGGCACAAGAAAAGCATTTTGTATAAAAGTTCTTAAGTGATTTATACACACTTGCCAATAGAGAATGCGAGGACGAACTTGCAGCCATTATGTGCTGCATACGTACATTCCACACAATGGCTGGCGGAGGCTGTATCTGTGTTCGAGTGGGAGGGCGTCCTGCGTCCTGCGGCTTGACTCCCACTTGACTGCCACTTGGGCGGGAGAAACGAGGACACTGTGGCTGCTGTGCTTTTGTTTCCCCAATTGTACACACACTGATAACAAAACTTGGACAGCGTTTGCCGTAATTAACATGAAAAGCGGCAACGCAGCGATGGGCCCCCATTTTCACCATGTCACACGGCTGGCAACGAGATAACGAACGAATCGGCAAATTGAAAAGGAAACTGAGCTTCGCGCTCCTAATTGTGAATATTGTGTGGCAAGGAATTCGTCTCCGAGTTGGGCAAGTCACTCAAGAGATAAACCGGCTTCAGTTCAGGGTATGTTATTCCGAGTTTCCAAGGAAATTTCAGTTCTTAGGATTTTGATAATGGTGATAAGCTAGTAAGGAAAAATGGGAACAGAAACCTTAAGCACTAATTGACATAACTTTGAGATCACATAAGCCTAATCAATCTAAAGGTGGAAAGTAAATTAATAAACTTTAATTAAAACGAGATTACTAGGATATTATGTTAATTTTTTGCTTGTGAAATTTCAATACATCAAGTTTTCTTTTATGAATATTTATAATTGAAAAGTAAAACGAACAATTTTTTGATATATGACAGTTTCAATAGTACGTAACAAATCACACGAGCTAAAGAAGTTGAGCACAATTTGGTATGAATGTAAGAATTATGCAAAATGTTGTATTTTAATGTACCTATTTGCCGTTTCCAATACGATACTCCTATTTAATGAGACTGCACCACCTCCAACGAGCTGTGTTGCAAGGGGAATACTAAGCAAGTATACAAATCAGCAAGGTTTTTAAGTAAAAATTGACAAAAGCACGTCATCAGCGAGGAAAAGCCATTCAAGCTCACTGCACGAAGCGAAGTCAGTAATAAACCAATTTAAATTGCGACCCCGGTGAAACGGGATAGTTAAAATACCGAGGTGCGTTTCAGGTTGCCCCCTTCAGCCAAGGCAAAACGGTGTCCACATCCCAACCAGAACCAGACCCAGAACCAGACCCAGACCCAGACCCAAACCCAATCCCAAACTAACCCTGCTAAGCAACTCGAGAGACGGAGACAGCTAATCAGCTTATACTCGGAATCGGACTGGCTGCCCGGAAAGGAAATGCAATCGGGTTCTTTAAGGTACGGCGGCAAAAATGCTACAGTTTTCGTATTGAAAAATTATTAAAGTGTATATCAGAGTTTTTTTATCTTGTGTGGGTAAAGGAGAAAAATCCTTGAGCAATATACAAATAAAAATTGTAGCAAGGCAGCTTCATTTTACAAAAAAGGATGCACCTTGGCTTTCGATTTCTTGAGAATAATTTATTGGCACGGGAAATTTAATTTTTTTGCCATCTAGACCGGCATACACTGTCTTAGCGAATGTAATATATGGTTTAACCCAATAATCGGACTGCTGAAACCATGAGTACTTGGCATCATATTGTTGCACACTTATTAAAAAAAAAAAACTAATGGCACACTCTACATTCCTTTTCTTTTGTTTAAAAAAAACCAATCGCTTAAAATTGTTATAAGCAATTATTTTCGTATTAATTTAGGTGTTTTGGTGGCTTCAATAATGTTCCAAAAATATTCCATTATTAATTTCACAATCACCAAAATATTGTGGCATATAGAGATCCTTTCGATTGGCTATTAGCTTGATTGATTCAGAGTGTGTAAATTATATTTATACTCTGATGTATTGAGTTGAAAGTGAAAAATGTAGAATTTAGAGTTGTGAACCCTTAATCTTATGAAAGCTGTATATCAAGTATTTCGCATCGCATATCGGAAATTGATCTTAGGTCCTGCGAATTGCAATGTAAAATTAGGTGTTTGCCAGGCTTAAAGTATCGCTCTTTCACATCAGAGACTGGGCACTGCGCAGATCCTTGGAGGGAGGACTTGGCATGCCCAGGTCCTGCGGCACTCACCTGTGGCGTCCGGCCCTCGCCCGCCTCGGCGGGATTGACGGCGTAGTTGCACTGGCATCCCTCCTCGCAGCAGAGCCGCACCAGCTCGTGCTCGCCGCAGGTGCACGGCTCCTCGTCCTCCTCGTCGTAGGCGCAGTCCTCGCGGATCAGGATGATGTAGTCGGCCTCGAAGAACTCGTTCCGCGTCTCGTCGAAGACGACGCGGTTCTTGCGGGCCGGCGGCGGTCGGTTTGGCTTCTTGAGCAGACCGCGCAGCTGACCGTTGACCTCGCGCATCTTGTGGCCGTTAGTCAGGTGGGTTGGATGGGCTAGATGGGCTGGATGTGGTGGATGTGCTGGTTGCGGAACTGGACTCGGGTTGGCTGTATCTGCTGTATCGAAAGTGGACGTGGTCTGCTGCTCCTGACTGGCTAGGCACTCATGGCACTGACAGGCACTGTCGCTATCGTTATCACTCTCCTGGCTATCGCCTTCAATCGCTGGCCCGTAGTCCTGTTGCTCGCTGACAAACTCGGCCAGCAGCTCGTCGTAGCACTGGTACTGCTGTTTCCGGCTCCGCTGGCTATCCGGATGGCTGTGGCGCCACTGCAGTTGGCGGGCGGCCTTCAGATACTCGCCGAACCGCTGGACATCGAACTCGCTGAGCGATGCCGCAAAATCGCCGGCCTCCGCCGCCCTCAAGCCGCTGGACAATTGGGCTGGCACAAAGGCGCTCTTCGGCTCCTCGCAGTCCGCACAGTCCTCGCAATCCTCGCAATCCGTTTCGATTTCTATTACCACTTGGTCGCTGCTGCTGCCTCTCTCCGGCTCCTCGATCCTGCGCACTGGCAACTCCCGACGCGTATTCAGCAAATGTTGCTCCTGGCGATTTTCAGCTGTTTGTCTGGTCGCTGGGGCTGTTGTTTCGCTTTCATTTGGTAATTGCTCGACTCGAATGCCATCCACGTTTAATTGAACTGCACTTGAGTCCGCTGTTACTGCCGCAATCGTCTTACTATCTTTACTCTGCGTGGAGTGGGTTTGGCTGGGGACTTGGGGTTGGGACTGAGGTTGAGGTTGAGGTTGGCTGCCTTCTTCTGGGGGTAGTTTCTTTGTTATGCTTATTGTTTGTTGCTGCTCCTGCTCGGGCTGTTGTTGTGGTCTCAAGGATGCCTTTACACAATCAATGTTACTACTAATGGCCACGCGTCCCTGAAAATTGTATTGGAGTCGCTTCAAGCGCTGGCTGGCCACAAAATCCTCGCCCAAATCGTGCTCAAAATCGATGAGATCCTGCTCGCTGCAGCTTGTTGCTACTGCAGTTGGTGTTGCTGCTGCTGCTGCTGCTGCTGGTGTGTCTGGTGCTGCTGATGGTGGATTGCCCACCAAGGATTCACAATCGATGAGCTTCTCCTCGGATGTTGCATTTAAGTCGCTGGGCTGTGACTGGTTGCCGTTGTCATTGCATGTTGCTGCTGTTCGCTGGTCGTGTTGCACTTGCTCTGCAATGCTCTTCACGTAATCCACGTAACCGCCAGCAACAACAAAAGGCCAACTTTGTGGTGGGCGGACAGCAGCAATGCCAGCGACATTATCAACACCACAGCCAGCCAAGGATGAGTTGCTGGGGGGTTCGAAGGGGTACGGGTATGGATATGGGTATGGGTATGGGTATGGGTACGGGTACTGCTGGTAATATGGCAATGACAATGGCGCCTGCCCCGCCTCCTCCTCTTCCTCCTGCTGCTCCTTTTTCGAGCTTAAGGTTGCTACTGCTGCTGCTGCTGCTGTTGCTGTTGCTATTGCTGGGGTTTCTAATGTTGCTGCTGCTGCTGCCGTAGCACTTTGCACATTTTCATTTGGGTAAAAAAAATTATCTGACCCGCGAGCAGACAACGCGCTTTGCCTGACTTTTTGCACAATTTTTTCTGTACGTCGCGCGTCGTCGTTTTCGTCGTGGTTGCTGATGTCGTCGCCAGCTTCAGTTTTGACTTCGATTTGCGCAGTTTTCGTAATTGGCTCGCTACTTTCTGACTGCTTTCGTGCTGCACGAGGACTGGGGCAATTGATTTCCACTGATTTTTCACTGGAATCTATCAATTTGCACAATTTTTGACCAGAATCCGTTGACTGATTGCTGCTGGTTGAATGTTGTAGCTGCTGCCTCTGCTGCTCAGCTGCGACGACTGCTGCTGCTGCTGCTGCCACAAGGTTGGCTTTGAAAAGCTCACTGCCAATTGTAGGTATTGAGCAGGCGCTGCTCCCCTTGTCGTTATTGTTGTTGTTGTTGCTGTTGTTGCTGTTGCTCCCGTTACTGGTGCTGTTGTTGCTACTGCTGCTGACTGTCACATTGGGTGGTTGCAGGTATGCGCCTGCGCTCACGCTCTGCCTCTCACGCTCGAGTTGCGCGTACTCACATTTCGTGGCCACTTCCGTTGCTGTGTTGTCGCCAGAGTTGCTAATGTTGCTGCTAGTATTGCTGGTGTTGTTGCTGTTGTTGTGGCTGCTGTTGTTGCTTCTATTGTCCCTAGTGTTGCTGTTGCTGTTGCTGCTGCTGCTGCTATTGTTGCTGCTGCTGGTGGTGCTGCCCTTGTTGTTGCCAGTGTATTCAGCACGCGCAGGCGCCTCCACTCCGTCTATCGCTGAGTGGCATTGCTGACGCACCTCGCACTGCACGGCAGCAACATTGTCGCGTGAGTCGCGTGCCTCGCATGCCAAGTGGCCAGAAAGTGGCCCACAGTTTTGGCCTAGTCCACCGCTGGTCGCATTGGCCAGCACCACCACTGCTCCTGTCTGATTATCCTCATTGAGGCCATTGCTGCTGGTGCTGCTGCCGCAGCCACTCTTGCCACTTGATCTCATTCTGCCGCCGCATATCGGCTCATTTGCCAATGCCAGCGTCAACATGTCCACAATCAGCATGATCGCGGGTAGTGGGCCATGATCGGAAAGCGGGCCAACGATAATGCTAACGCTAATGGCAGTTTACGACTGGGAGCCTTTCCTATCGCCAGTTCCCACCAATGGGCTTTCCCTTCACAGAAAACACCAGTTGAGTTTTCCGCCTTCGTTCTCCGTTCGCTTTGCATAAATTACACGAAAATTTCACACAGCCGGGAAATATTATTGTCCGTGGCACTTGTCGTTGGCGAACAGGTGCGCAGGGGCACTCGAGCGCATCCTGTGTCCCAGGACCAGATATTTAGTTCCCGGTTTTCGGGGGTTGGCGTTGTCGGCCGTTACGCGCCACTGCAGCCAAACAAAAAGCCAGCCAATACACCACCGACAAGGCAAAAAACAAAACACTCTCTGGGGCACACAACAAAAACGGAACACGAAACACGGAACATAAACAAAATACGAAAAAAAAAAAAAATTATCGAGCCATTTATTTAATTTTCTTCCCGGTTTTTGGTTTCTTGGTAAAATAGTTTGTGTTTTTTGGGTAGTTTGCTTGTTAACCGCTCGACGCACGTCCGAACGCGAATCGTGACGGAAGTCGACTGAGCAAACGCAGAGCCACTCGACGGAAAACCAACCTTAAAGACCCTGTCTTCGTCGCGATCTCGGACTTTTCTCTGCCCTCGTCGCACAGTGGCTGTTTCTTTAAAGTCACACGGCCAAATTCAGAGTAGCCCAATTAAACATAGAAGCTGGAATCAGCAATAAGATATTCACACACAAGTTCCTACCGATAATCGTGGTATAAATACATACCATGGCCATTAAATTAAAACGATTTTTATTTCAATTTACATTTTGATTGCAGCCCGCTTGAAAAAAGATTTGTATAACACTATTCCACATATGTATCTTAAAATCAAAAAAAAATGTGTAACTGAAAATTAGCGCGCAAAATATTATATACAATATTTTTTATAATGAAGTATTTATTAAGCTCTTAATTTTTAGTTAATGCTTACCAATTTTTCTAAAGTAAGACATTATTTCGCGAAACTTACACTAAGGTTTTTTTTTTAAGGTTACCTTTAGCTAGTTCTCTGTAAACTAACAGTGAATTTACTTGAGTACCATATTAATTTGTGGATGCGAAAAATCTATTTTTATTAAAGTATTTCTTCTAAATTATTTTAATAGGTCCACATGAAATCGATCCCACTGTGCCGTATTCGGTGTCTCGGGGGCGCATGCGCAAAAAAACCGAGCAGAATGACGAAGAAAGGTAGCGGAAGAAGCAGAAACAGAAGCGGTGGTTGGTTGGTGCATGTAAGCCGAGCGGGAAAAGCAGGGGTCCGGTGATGCCAACTTAGCTCTTTTCACGATCAATTTCGCCCAAGGGCTTTGGAGTCTTGCTAAATGATATAGCCGTCCGATCCGGACCTACCTGCAACAGAAAGAAACCTTTTTGGGGAACGTTTCATACAGATAGCTATACAACCGAAAGACTAGTTTTCCAAATTTTGACATAAAGGGTATACTACAAAAGGGTTAAAATAGAATCTGACTGCACATGTGTGTTATGGTTTTATAAAATCAACTCAAAATTATTTATCTAATTACATCATCGGGACTCTAGTCATTTATTTATAAATTAATTAAGTGCTTCATATGATATTAATATAATGTCAGAATTCTTTTTGACCTTTTAGCTTGAAAGCTTTAGCTCTTTACGAACTTAGGTCCGTAATTTTTTTTTATATTTAGAAAACTAAATTTATTAACATATGTGTAATCCCCTTAAGAAGCTCGAAAAAGTACAGGTGTATATAAGTACTTTTCACCCATATTATATATGTAATTGCAATTTTTAGCTGTTTTCCAGCCATCCAAAGTTGGCAGCTCTAGTGGACAGGGGTCGGGGGTTAGAGTGCGAGTGGCAAAGGGGAGACACAGGGTTTTAATGACGGTTCGGGGACAGATCGCATGTTCGTTGGCCGGGCCCAAAAGGGAGCGACCATTACGGATTACGCACTGGGCCCGAGCTTTTTATGGCCAACAGTCGGACAACACTTCTTGACGGCTATTTGCGAGCAGACGTGCTCATGTCATAAACTTAGGAAGTGGAGATTGGGATGATCGTGATCGTAATGAAAGTGATTAGACATTATTCGCTTCTGCATACTCGTGTGACGATAATGATACGGGCACACATAAATGGGACACCGTGAATACCGTGAGATAGACTCGTTTTCTTTGTGTTAACAGAACTCCGTCACGATAATGTGACATGATCTGGGCTAATAAGCTTTACCGCGTAGCAATCCGAGAAATCGCTAATATAGTTGTGTTTTCAATAAGCACGATTAAAAACGAACTTTAATTCTCAAATAAAATTCCAGTACGAAACGATTCAAGAGAATAACGGAAATAGAACAGGATATTTGAAGTGTTTATAAGGTATGATAAAAGGGTTAAAGCTCTTACGGATTTTTGGTTAAAATTTACAAGAACTGCCAAACACCTGGTGAGCTTTTATTTTTTAAAACATCCAAAACATTTCACATTGTCAATATTATGTACGTTAAAGGTAATGACGAATTACCTTATGGCCATTTAAAAACGACTTCCACCAACTATCTAGTAAGGTTTTTTCATAGCTCCTGCAATGATTCTCAGATTCTTAATTAAATTTCTATAGCTGCTCAGAGGGGTTTTGCATGGGGTGTCAGCAGACAATCGACCATCAAGTGATCCGATTTGGATCTTTTCATGGGATCGCGTTGCAAGTACCCACAAGCACTTGCTGTACATGCAGACGACGTGAGTATATAGGAAAGAGTTCCACGTACTTACTAACCCCATATAAAACCGACTCATTACCCCGGCGAAGACGACGACGACGAACCTACGGCGATGACGATCATGACGATGATGACAGCCAAGAGCAAGAGCCCGGGGCTCCGAGGGTTTTCAGGGGTATGGGGATGGGTTATGGGATGGGATGGGGATGGGGATGGGTATGGAGATGGGGAGATCGTGTGTTTTTATTCCGGGCAAAACTTATTACTAAGTAGGAGCAGATCGCGAGCAAACTGAATGAATGGAAAATTGTGGGAACAATGGAACGTTTGCCGAGCGTGAGAAATTGCCACCGCCACCGCCAACGCGTCGGACGCTTCTTCTCCAGCGGCGGTGGTACTGGTGGTGCTGGTGGTGCTTTAAGACCAGAGATCTCCCAGTTCGGGGCTGGAAACTCCGAGGCTGTTTAGCACACAATGCCGCCATTAAAGGTCGCCGCTGTCCCCAGTCTCCCAGGCCCAGAAACCCGACGCCACACTATATATACCATGGTACTCGTACTCCCCCCATCGCATTCGGTGGAAGTTGCGCAGATCCGACGCCAAATTGCCGTCTTTAAGTTGACTAATTTTCATTTTGGGCCGCTGCATTTTCCACTTGCCATCTGACATTTTCATAAGCCCTCAAATATGCGCATAATTGGAATGCGATTTTAAGCGTATGTGCGAAAAGTGCTCTCCTCCACCCGAGCTTTTCGTGTTTTTCAAGGCGAACGATTTAACGAGTCGCGGTTCAATGTCTCCGGGTAAAAGTAAGTGTGTGCGTGACTCGGCATTATAAGTGGGGGTCAACCGTCGGAAAAATCATGGCTTCAATGCGACTGCCTGGGCAATTATAGTTGCAATGCTCAAGATAGTTTGCCATTTTAATTCTGCTACTTGGGAAATGGAAAATCAGCATAAGGCAAATGTCAATTAGGAAGGGGAGGAAATAATTTCTGGAATGTTTTCTAGATTTTAAAGCCATCTGTTAATATACGCATTAAAATTAGTAAAAATGCTATCAACAAAGCACAAGTGAATGTTTTTATGCAAAAACATCTACATTGGCTTGAAAATGGATTTGCACTCTCTGGAATTTGCCGTTTTTCAATATCCCTAAATAACATAATAATTAATTCAGTTTAATTTTTGTATATTTTATTTTATTTTATAGAACAACTAAATCCAACCCTTCTTTACCTGAATCATTATAATTGGTAATACATAATAGACACAGGTACAAGAACCATTTCCGAAACATGGTTCACAAAATTCGCTGAACTCGCTCACTTTTGGCGCACTTCAAAGCGACTAAGTGAAAACTAAAGCCCGAGCGAAACGAAATCATTAAGTGAGTTCCTTTTAAATGGAGGCCATAAAAATGTTGCCGGCAAACGAAATAAATTTAGATGTAAGAATTGTCATTAGAGGGAAATCGCTTACAACGTCCGAACCCGACTCGTCGCTAGCCCAACCCGCATCAAACTTCAGATTCAAGCGAACACTGCGAAAAAATATATAAGACTGAAAGGTGCAATGCAAGCTAAAAAACATATTTGCTTAAGCTGCACTATTCGAAGTAATGTTGGTATAACCAAGAAAAAATGTATTGTATGTATTTTCTTTTCTACGTGCTAACTAAAACATATGCCAGTAAAATATAAATCGTCTAATGTCCAAAACTGGTTAAATGCCTTTGTACAATTAACGTAATTAATTCCCATAAATATTTATTTGCTTTTTATTATTATTATTTATTTCTTTTCTTTTTGAATATACACATTTCTCTAACAAATTTGTTGTATGTAAAATGCTAAATAAGTTCCTTAAAATTCGAATTTTATTAATAATTTGTAATTACCAAACGGCTATATCCTTTCGCCTGGTTCTACATGTTTCCTAACTTCCGATAAATTTACTTTTTAAATTTTTAAGTGTATCATTGTTTCTATGACTGTTTTACTTCTTTAACGTCTTTTTCTTGGCCCTCCTCGCACCAAATCCACCTAACTGGCTTTTAATTGTTCGAGGCGGAGGGCAGACGGCGGAGTGGTGTCTGTTTCCCTGTCTTTTCCTGGGCTCACATGTCTCCTGGTGTCGGTGACAAACAACAAACAAACCTCGGACCCAAGCAGAGTTGCCATTCCTATGTGGCATGTAACTCCATTTACGACTGCCGAGAGTCGCCCTTTGTTGTAAGCCGGAAAACTCGAGGTGTTTGCCTGATGGCCATATCTCTATCATGATCGCGGCCTGAGATTTCCTGGTAGTTGCAAAACAAAACCCAACTGGCCAACAGACGCCACGAGCTCATCTTGCGTGATAAACGAGACAAATGACGGGCTCATTCGAAGGATTTCCTAATGATCTGTCACTCGCATGATTACTTTATTCACAACAAGAAAGGAAGCAAGCCGAAGTTAATATACCCTTGTAGTTATTACAAAACGACTAAATTTTAATTGGTTTGCCTATATTACTAAAAACAATAAAGCTATGTCGATTTTGCGCTGCATTATCGGCATAAATTTGGTAAAGTTATGGACTCTCGAAGTCCAATTTTGGGTCAATCTTTTGCAGGACATCGGAAAATTAGAAATCACTGACATAAAAATGGGTCAAAAATGTGATCAACGTTAAATTGAAAATTTTGAATGCAGATTTTTAGAGAATCAAATCACAAGTCTTTAGAGGTATGGCACTTTGGAATCGGCCAAAGTTTGGTAAAGTTATGAACATTCGAAGTCCAATTTTGGGTCACTCTTTTGCAAGACATCGGAAAATTAGAAATAACTGATATGAAAATGGGTCAAAAATGTGATCAACGTTAAATTGAAAATTTTGAATGCAGATTTTTAGAGAATCGAATCACAAGTCTTTAGAGGTATGCCACTTTGGAATCGGCTTAAATTTGGCAAAGTTATGGACTTTCGAAGTCCAATTTTGGGTCACTCTTTTGCAAGACATCGGAAAATTAGAAATAACTGACATGAAAATATGGACCGACAATATAAAAATAGAAAATTAATTTAATCTAAAATCAATGTCAGAATCAAAGGGCCTTTAGTGTTAAAATATCAACACACATTTAAAAATGTCCATTGATACAAGCTTTAAATAGATTTTATACTGTATTATTGAGCATACCCTTTAAAATAAAATATTAAAAATTATAAATTCTTTATTTTGTTATTAATTAGTACAAATTATTTGTGGAGGTCAAAAAATAAATATGGGTTAGGGAAATCTCTCAGCACTAGTTATTATATTAATTAACTTTTGTTTTAGGAAATTATGACCCAAAACAAATATGCGTCCACTTGAAACTAAATTAATTTTGAACTGATTTAAACGGGAATGGAAATGAAATCACTGAGGATTCAGTGCTGGGGAAGAAGTGGTAAACGGGATCAGGGATCTAGAAGGGCATCGTCTGGCTGGACACTTGGTCGTAGATGGCGTGGCTCAGGGCCTCCAGGGTGGGTGCGTCCATCTCGCGGATGAGGCACAGTGTGGCGGATAGGAGGTTGGCATTCAGCCGGGGACGCCTCTGCTCCGTCTGACCACCCCCATTGCCGGGATAGCAGGAGGCCGGCATGTCCGAATGCTCGCGGGGACTTCCGCACCTGGGCTGCTGCTCCTCCTCGCGGCGCCTGGCCGAGGAATCGATGGCCTCCTGGCGGGTCTGGGCCACCAGGGCGGCGGTGACTGCTGCCGAGGCGGCGGTGGCAGCGGTCATCCGGCAGCTTTGACCTTGCTGACCCGGATGGAAGTTGGGCGCAATGAGACGCGGCGAGGACGTGGTGCTGTGCAGGATGGGCCCCTCCAGTTCCAGGGCATCGCCACCAGCACTTCCGGCCGACGCAGGTGGCAACTGGTGCGCCTGGGGCAGCTGCCGCTCCCTCTGCCGCTGCCGCTCACGCTCCCGCTCACGTTCCCGCTCACGTTCCCGCTCACGTTCCCGCTCACGTTCCCGTTCCCGTTCCCGCTCACGCTCCCGCTCCTCCTCCCACTCTCGCTCGCTCTGCCGCTCCCGCTCGATCCGTTCGCGATAGGCCTTGGCCTTGGAGCCGGAGCTGCTGGAGTCTCCACCCGACGGCGACGGATCCTTGACCGGAGAACTGATCGCACTCTTCGGCTCCGGATAGTACTCGTGGCGCAGGGCGGCCTGCAGCTCCTGCTCGCAGACCTCCACGTTGTCCAGCTTCTTGAGCTGCGGCAGCTTGCGCAGCACGGAGGCACGGTAGTTGCTGCCGGCGGCCTCGGAGCACGGGTTGCCCTCCAGCCAGAGCGAGGTTAGCGAGCGGGCGTTGGCCAGGTGGTTGAGCTCCTCGAAGCTCGGGATCTCGTTCTTGCGCAGATAGAGCTCCTTCAGCCGGATGCAGTTCTGCAGGCTGCTCAGCGTGCTGATCCTGTTCACGCTGAGCGCCAGGACCTCCAGGCGCGGCATCTGCAGGCAGATGCTGATGTCGTTCAGGTCGCTGCCCCACACATTCAGCTTCACGGCGTTGCGGAAGTTCGAGCACTTGGACTTGGCCTCCACCAGCTGCTCCGACAGTCGGTTCACCATCTCGATCTGTGGGTGGAACGACAAGTATTTAAGTTATATAAGATGAAGTACCCACCTTCCCCTCACGTTAATGCTTCAGTAAAAAAAAAATTGTGTAATTTGCTAAGCCTTTCGGCAAAAGAGGTTTCTCGAAAATTTCTTACAAATCGAAATACAAAAAATTTCTCCAAAATAAACAAAACAAATTTAGCGGAGATGCCGACGTGCTCATTTAGAATGTTTGAATATAACTGAAGAACAGTGCTCCGCCTTCAAAATACCTTTTCCACATATCGCAAAGCCTACTACTTATTTTTTGGATCATAACTTTGTGGTATTTTCAGCTTTGGGGTCAGTTTCTGATTCACAATCAATATTTGACTCTCCAACAAAACTACGTTAAATCACTAAGTGAATTCCTCACTCATAATACAAGTCATTCAAATTTAATTTAATCTAAAATGCTCATAATTTGTAGATATCATTTTGTGGAAAAACTGTAATAAGCAGATTCCGTTCAAATTTATATTTATTTTCGAAAATCCTGTGCAAGTAGGCGTACGACAAAAAATTCACATCCCGACTTCAATCATTTCTTCCCTTTTCTTATTATTTATTCAGTGCTCAAAGCAAACACACCACCAATTTTATTTATAGAAAAATTTGATAAATTTGTACGGAAATCAATCAACAATTTTATTTTTGTAAGTAGATTTTATAAATGTTCCAATCGAGAAAGGAGAGCAGTGAGATGAATCCCTTGAATGAACCCAATATGTATACTTCCCTGATGCTGTTAACGTGGGTGAATAACACACTGGACGCGGATATTGGGTGCATTGAGGATCTGGCCACAGGAGCAGCCTATTGCCAGTTCCTTGACATAATGTTCAGCGGCATCCTGTCGCTGGAGGACGTCGCTTTCGAAACGAACCAAGAGAGTCGGTTCAGGCAGAATTTCGAGCTGCTGCAAAATAGTCTGGACGAGTTGAAAATCCCCCTTACGGTTCCAGTCGATGATCTCGTCGGGGGTGACTTCCGGGCCAACCTGGACTTTGCCGCAACATTCCACGAATTCTTCAAGGACATCACCAGAATGAGCCTCACTCGTCTGGGACCGTATTACCCACTGGCTGCCCGGAACTACCAGAACTTCACCCCGAATCCGGATGAGTTGGCTACCATTGGCCAAGGACAACACTTCCGTGCAGGGGAGATCGAGGGGATGAAGCTCCTCAACGGAACCAGCGACATTGGGCAGGGGCTACATCACAAGTATGATTCAATGGAAGAACTGCAGGGGGCACAACCCAGAAACTTGCTTTAAGCGAAAAACATCAAGATATCCTAAGCCTTCAAAATCCTTTTGTTCCTAGTTTCAGTCTGCCTTCCTTTTGGAGCTTAAATTTGGCCATTATAATCCCCCAATTACAGACCATAACACTAAATAATATAGTTTAAATGGTCGTTATTAATTGTGGGTGCTATGTCCAAAAAAATCTCAGTAGTGGATTTTCTAATTAAATTACTTTCAAACAGCGCAAGGATCAATTTCGATTCTTACTCGACTAAAATGTTTTTTTTTTTGTTTTGCTGGTAAGGGTATTATAATTTCAGCCATGCAACACAGTGAAGGAAAGATTGATCCAATAACAGAGTACTTCAAGAAAACTTTTTGTTTTACACAGACTTTTTTCAGCCTTATCTAACATAAGATACTGTTCAAAAATAAAAAAGGAAAATGGTAATGTATATAGTTTAGCAAGAACTATTATTCTGAACGCAACTGTGTACCGATAATTTCTCATCTATCCAAGTTCCTCACCGCTGGTGCATAAATCGATGTATCGAATGTATCGAGTTGCGTGCGATTTGTTGGCGTTTGTTGTGAAATTTGCTTTACCTGCTTTACGTTTGCCATTTGCCAGTGGCCATGGACGAATCCTCGCGACAGCAGATGGATGACTGCTTCCTGCGCAGCCCCAGCGACATCCGCACCACGTGAGTACGCCATGGGTCACACGATGCTGGTCATCCCACTCACTTTCCCGATCCTCGCCAAAAGCAACGTGCCCGCGGTGCCGAAATCGCAGGCGTCGGACAACAAGTCCCGGAAAACAGAGCTGCACGTCCTCCGGCTGAACGACGAGTCCCGCCAGATGACCATGGACACGTTGCGCCAAATCCACGGGCCGGACTTCCAGCTGGACGACATCAGCAAGTACAAGGATCGCGGACGCGGCGGCCACGGCGTTAAGCACTCCTACTGGCAGGATCGCGGCACCCTGATGGTGCAGAGCGTCCAAGGAGTGAGCTCCTCCCGTGGCGACGATAGCGATGGGGACCGCCTGCGCCGCTATGCCCTGGCCAAGCTGGAGAACTACGGCTTCCAGGCCGTCCACTGTCTGGAGGCCTATGAACACTGCTCCGGCGACACGGAGGCCGCCCTACTGCTGCTCTACCGCCGCTACATGAGGATCCCGGAGGAGGAACAGCTGACGCTCGAACCGCCCAGCGAGCAGGAACTGCTGGACATGCGCGCGGATGAGAAGGAAGCCCTGGAGTCGATCTACGACCAGGCGTACGAGGAGCGAGAGGCGAACCGGGTGTGGAACCTTAAGTTCCGCATCGACCACCTGCTGGCCCACAGTCCCTCGGAGGTGCGAAAGGCCAGGGAGGCAGTCCTGGCCGCTGCTGCCGCGGCTGTCCAGGCGGCGCTGGACAAGAAGAAGAAGGCCCCGCAGCGGTGTCGCAACTTCGACCGCGACGGCACCTGCAAGTTCGGCCCCAAGTGCCGGTTCGCTCACCTGCATGCGCTGCCCACGGAATCGGACACTCCCAAGAAGGGTGAGTTGTCCGGCTAAGATTCGTAAAGAAGTTTGTCTTCTTTTATCTACAATTGGTTTCCTTGCTTGCCATTCTTCCATTGCTCCCATTGCCTGAACTTATGTCCTTTCTATCCAAACTTCTAGATAGCGTTGACGAGAACGACAACGAGCTCTGGTTCCACGTGGAGGTGCGCTTCCCACCGGGCAGTCGCTATCCATATGAGGCGCCATTCGTCTACTTGAAAACGACCTGCCACGATATCCCGCACGAGCTGCGGCTCCGCTACGCCCGCCACCTGTATAGAGAAGCCAGAGAGATCTGCCGCGATGGCATTCCCTGTGTGTACAGCATCTGCGACCTGCTGCAGTCCAATGAACAGCTGGCCGGTCGACTGGATACGTCTGCCTTTCCCTCGCCCAAGCGCTCAATCTTCCACGACGAACCGGAGGGCGGTGGAGCGGACCAGAATAGTGAGAATCAGCAGGCACCGAAGCCCTCGCACTACGCCCGCGGACAAACGGCGCGTAACGAAGGGGGCCGCCAGCGGAATGTGGAGGCGCAGAATCGGGAGAACCGCCGCCTGCTGCAGCAGTTCGTGGAGCGGCGGAAGGAGGAGCGCTACCAGAAGGTCATCGATGGCCGGAAACAGCTGCCCGCTTTCGCGGAAATTGAACGTATTCTGGCGCTGATCGAGAATTCGCCGGTGGTGGTGATATCCGGTGAAACGGGCTGCGGCAAGAGCACCCAAGTGCCACAGTTCATCCTGGACAACTGGTTTTTCCGGGCCCTCCAACTGCCTGCGAAGGAGAACCTGCCCCACGTTGAGATCATTTGCACGCAACCGCGACGTCTCTCGGCCATCGGAGTGGCGGAACGAGTGGCTGCCGAGCGTCTGGATCGCATTGGTCAGCTGGTGGGCTACCAGATCCGGCTGGAGAACAAGGTGTCGCAAAGCACGCGCCTAAGCTTCTGCACTACGGGCATCCTGCTGCGCCGACTGGCCTCCGATCCCCTGTTGGAAGGCGTCACCCATGTTATCGTCGACGAAGTGCACGAGCGCTCCGAGGAATCCGACTTCCTACTGCTTATCCTGAAGAATTTGCTGCGAGAACGCAAAGATCTCAAAGTTATTCTCATGTCGGCCACTCTCAATGCCACCCTGTTTTCGGATTACTTTGGCGGAGCACCCGTGCTGGATATTCCTGGTCGCACCTTCCCCGTACAGCAGCTCTTCCTGGAGGATATCCTGGAGATGAGCGACTTCGTCATGGAGTACGACACCAAGTACTGCCGCAAGCTTAAGAAGCATGAGCAGGACGTACTGGAGCGTGAGCTGGAGTACGCCGATGTGCAGGCCTCGGGGCAGGCGCCAGGAAAGAAGGTCAAGGATGAAAAGCTAACCCTGGCCGAGACTTATCAGCGGTACGCGGGTGAGTGGCTACATTGTTCAACCCAACAAAATACCAACAGCTTACCATGTATCTGTATCAACCCCTTTAGACTTCAGCAAGCCCACGTGCAAAAGCATCTACCTGATGGAGCCCATGACGATCAATCCAGAACTAATCGAATCCGTGCTTAAATATATCGTTGAGGGCTCCCACGAGTGGCCCCGCGAAGGAACCATTCTCATCTTCCTGCCCGGCTTCGGTGAGATCCAAACCGTGCACGATTCCCTGCTGGACCATGCCCTCTTCTCGCCACGCGCCGGCAAGTTCGTTCTGGTGCCCCTGCACTCTGCCCTTTCTGGTGAGGACCAGGTGCTAGTCTTCAAGAAAGCGCCTCCCGGTAAGCGAAAGATCGTGCTAAGCACGAACATAGCCGAAACTTCGGTGACCATTGACGACTGTGTGTTCGTGGTGGACTGCGGCCTGATGAAGGAGAAGTGTTTCGACTCGAACCGTAACATGGAATCGCTGGACCTAGTCTGGGTGTCCCGTGCCAATGCCAAGCAGCGCAAGGGTCGTGCCGGTCGTGTAATGCCGGGAGTGTGCATCCACCTGTACACCAGTCACCGCTACCACCAGCACATCCTCGCCCAGCCTGTGCCGGAGATTCAACGGGTGCCGCTCGAGCAGATTGTGCTGCGTATCAAGACGCTACAGACGTTCGCCTCGCGCAACACGCTTTCGGTTCTCCTGGAAACGCTGGAGGCGCCCACGGAGGATAGTGTTCTTGGTGCCTTGACGCGTTTAAGGGATGTGGGCGCTCTTGATGCGGAAGATCAGCTGACTCCGCTGGGCCATCATCTCGCTGCCCTGCCCGTGGACGTGCGCATCGGCAAGCTGATGCTATACGGGGCGATCTTCCAGTGCCTGGACAGCGTGCTGACCATCGCCGCCTGCCTGAGCAACAAATCGCCGTTCGTAAGTCCGCTCAACAAGCGCACGGAGGCGGACAAGTGCAAGCGCATGTTCGCCCTGGGCAACAGCGATCACCTCACTGTCCTGAATGCTTATCGGGTGAGTTAACATTCCTAAGGATTCCAACTTCTCCTATAATGTTTCTTTATTTCCCGAAGAAATGGCTTGACGTGGCGCGTAGGGGGAACTTTGCTGCCAGCAGGAACTATGCCAGTGAACACTTTCTGTCTCTGAACACACTCGAGACGATAGCCGACCTCAAGTACCAGTATCTAGAGCTACTCGTGTCCATCGGCTTTGTGCCCATCAATGTGCCGCGCAGGCGCAAGAAAGAGTGCGACAATATTCTCACCCTGACAGGTACGCAAGGGGAAAGTACAAAATACGTATTTTATTGAGTTTTAAAATAATTGCAATCATTTTTTGTTTTGAATAAAATATTTTAAAATTAAGGAAGTGCTATTTGTATGAATTGTTTCATTACTTATAATGCACTATTAACAAAATTGCAATTTGTTTTTAAAAGATCATATACCAAACGACCCATTGTATTTATATGAGTACTCAAATAACAAGAAAATCAATTCTTCGCAGGCGTGGACCAGAATCACAACGGCGACAACAACCGGCTGTTGACCTCGCTCCTCTGTGCTGCCCTCTACCCAAACATCGTGAAGATCATGACGCCGGAGCGCGTTTATGTGCAAACGGCTGGCGGGGCAGTGCCGCGCGAGCCGAGTCATCACGATCTGCGCTTCAAGACGCGCGGCGATGGCTACGTGAAGATTCATCCTTCGTCAGTCAACTCGCATGTGGCCGTCTTCCAGGCGCCCTTCCTTGTCTACCAGGAGAAGGTGCGCACCAGCGCCATCTACATCCGGGACTGCTCAATGCTGCCTCTCATCGCCATGGTCTTGTTTGCCGGCAGCGACTTTAAGGTGGAGCTGCACGACGGCGACTTCCTTTTCCTGCTGGAGAGCGGCTGGATCATTTTGAAGGCCCACGACCTCGAGACCGCCGAGATGGTCCAGTGCCTGCGGGCGGAGATGATCAAGCTGCTGGAGGAGAAGATTCGCGACCCGTGCCTTAACTTGCTGCACCACAAAAACGGCTGCCGCATGATCGCCAACATCGTTTACCTGATCAGTAAAAATAGCTGAGACGCTCCTCATTTCAAAACTATCCAAATCAAATGTACATTTTGTGTAATAGCTCTTGAGCTGATATTTAAAATACCTGTAATATACGCCAAACGAGACCAATAACGAATCGCCAAAGCGATGGCTCAAAAGCACACTCCATAAGGTTTCTTCAACGGGATAAAGAGTAATAGATATTGGATAAAGACTCCTATTTTAGGATGATATTCATATTTTACTGCCTCATTAAATAATCATTTAGAAATTGCAATAATCAATAAACCATATTAGCTTTGATTTTCCATCTAGAAAAACACCCAAATACTCCTTGTAATAGATTATGCAATATTATTTATATGTTTCCCTTTCCTTCAGCTTATATTGATTTATACATTTTATTAAAAGATCGTTATTTATTTCCGTAATTGATAAAACCTTGATTTTATTTGTTATCGATCAATTTGGGCCTTCTAAGTTTGCATCATAGAATTTGATTGATTGATGATAATTATCATACATTATATCAACATTTCGAATTATATTAATCAAACTTTGTCCCCAACTGGAAAGTTATCTCTGTCAAACCTTTTTAAATTACTTGCCAGAGCATTGGAAAATATATTAGCGTCTCCTTTTAAAATAATGAATTTCTGAAATACATTCTATACTGAAAATGTTGTGGCCGTTTTCTCATCACTGTGTTCTGATCGTCTAATAAAATTAAACAAAATAAATTATAAAATGTTAAATAGTAAAAAGTATTTTTGTTCAGTCCTGATGAGGACTATCTGTACAGCGTACTAAGGACTAACAGCTGAATAGCGAAATAAGTTGTAATCCAATTTCTTGTACCGGCTTTTAAACTATCCAACGTTGTTTATAATAATATGATCAGTAAATCAACCACTAGAGACTACCGCACCCACAAATATTCACACCAATTTAAACTCGATTAGCTAGTGTATGATTATAATTGTTAGGAATTCCGAAAAGTTTTTTCTTTAGAGAAATGCTTGATGTTCTTCGTTTAGAACAAGTCCATCGAATCCGACTAGCTCGCCGACGTTCTCGTTTGAGATCGGTCGTCGTCCCCTCGTTCTCCTCCGCGTGGAAGTTCCGGCCTTGGCCAATGGTAACCCAAAGTGCTCATCATCAAGTTCCGGTTGGAAATCACCCCAGACGAGATCTTCGAGTGGAACCGATAACGAGATTGGCAAATCGTCCAGACTATTTTGTAGCATTTCCAGGCTTTGTCGGACATGAAACACTTGGCTTGTGGCGAAAACGACGATGTCGAGGGGTTGGACTCCTTTGAACATCATGTCACGGAACTGGCAGTAGACTGCTTCTGTGGCCAGCTTCTTTATTCACTGAATATCCGCGTCGAATGTCTCATTTACACAAATGCGCATCCTCAGGGAATCTTGCACGTTGGCTTCATCCAAGACGGTTAACTCACTGCTCTCTGATAATTTGTAAAATCTTACTATATTTTTAATTAAATAAAATGTTTAATGTTTCTTAAAAAAAAGAGCTTAACTATGCTTACCACAAAATTGTGGATTGAATGACCAATAAAACAGATATCCCAATTCTTTGAACTGCAAAAAGTCGGGATGAGAATTTCTTTTCGTTTGCTTACTTGCAAAAGCTTTGTTGAATCTGCAGTGAATTAAGCTGAATGAATTACCCAATAATAAGTTAGTTTCAATCCCTTGAAGAAGTTTCACCGGGATAGGCGCAAAGCCTGCCCATGTCACCGATCAATCTTGTAGATGATTGATTCTTCAGTGATCTGATCGAATTAATAACTTGTCAACGAAAAGGGCGCCTAAATCATCACCAAGTGTCAACTGCTAAATCGATCAATTCGGTTAGGGTGGCCACGATCCCGCCGGCGGCATCCAAAAAAGGCCCACGATTGGCCGAAATTCTCAGGGGCTCGGGGGCCTGGTGTCCCATCAATTACAATTCGTTTGAATTTATTTAAATACACTCGGATTTAGGACGGGCACTTTGCAATGACAGCCGAAACACCGGTCGGTTCCATCGATACATCAAAGCTACGTACTTGCAGCGTAATTAATTATGCTTATCAACATTGGCTAATGCACCTATGAATCAGTTGCCAATTTGAATAGGGGTCTGGGGCTCCGATTTAACTCCGGGGCCTTGAGCGGTTTCACTCTTTGCCTCTTTCGCTCTGGCCCACTCCGGATCTCTGTAACGAAAACTCGCACTTTTCGCAAAAGCTTATCTTTCCAATTAAAGGCTCCAGTGATCGAGTACAAATGGGATCTTTTAGCACCTCGTTGAGTCGTATTTGCGCGCTCTGATTTGGGAGGTAAACCCAGCTATTGGTGGGTTGTCTCCCGTCGTAGGGGAAAGGGGTGTTGGTCCAATGCGATCAATGACGTGGGAAATACGACCACTCGTCCAGCATTGATATGACTACTTTCCGGGGATTTTTTTAAAACGCACTTGCAAAAAAAACCAAAATTAAAACAGTTTTTTGTTTATAAGGATACAGGTTTAATGCAATTTATCGGTTCTTTTACATGGAGCTAGGACACGGGTTTAAGCTTATGTATTTTTGTAGGTCATAAGTATATAAGCGTAAACAAATTTTTGTCGATCTGATGTATAAGATTCCATTTCTGCATGTACTTGTTTATAACTTTCTAGGAGTCATGGTTAACATTGTTCCACTTCTGACTCTCCAGACCATACAACTTCGATGATCGTGAGTTGTGCTTTTTCCGAGTTACGCCGGCGCACAGTGGGAGAAATGGCTTATCCACCGGACAAAAAAAAATATATGAAGAATAATATGTAAAAAGATGTTGAGAAATATTATGTATATGTGGTGTAATAAATTAAAAACTTGCGTTTTTCCTAATTCCATAATTGTATTTCGTTCAGTGTTCAGGGTTCCAGTCGACGTCTGAGAAGATTCGCTTACCTCTATCCAGTGCAAAGCACTTGTTATCAACACTATCATTGTCCCCGGCGATCCGAAGCCCCGGGCAATCTCCATCTCCGTGCTCTCTTGAGCTTTCTCCGCTCTTCCGCAGCCGATGCCGCAGTCGCCAAATCCCAATCGATCGGCGGAGAATATAAAATGTGGAGCGTGAAATAGGTAACGGCGGAAGAGAGCAAAAAACCAGGCGATAACTCAACTCTGATCGTCAAGTGTCAGCGGTCTGAGTTGCACTTACACTGCTCAGACCTTGGATTCCAATTCGGTTCCCTCGTCCGTTTGCAGGTATGCACAGTGGGCCATGAGGTCCTGGAAAAAAATACACCCACAAAAATAATTATTTTATACAGTAGATTACAAATAAGGCGAGATCAATACCAAGTATCAATTTGTTTTTAGCATTGTAACTTTTGCATTGATCAAAATTTCCAATTTCTGATTCGAATAAAAAGAAAACAATGGATACAAGGATTTAGCTAGAAAATCATTGATTGAACTGCATTAATGATTTAAACACTCAAGTACTGTGTATTTATACATATATTTATGTTAAAAATTAAAAAAAATTTCTTTTGAATGGCATTCAATTTGATCATAACTAGATGTTTTAAACATATTTAGTCACCTAAAAATCGAATACATTTGTTTTATCAGTGCCCAACGATAGTTTTCTCCATATTTACAATGTAATTGGCAGGGTAAACTTTTTCCGATGGGGAGGATCAGGCTTCGTATGCTCCCAAGATCAAGGTGGGCATGACGATGGGTAGCGTGCTACCAGGTGGCTTAGTGGTTCAGTGGGTGGGTGTGGAATGGGTGGCTCGTTTGCCGTTCGACGATTAAAGTTTGCGCTCGGCTAGTGCCCGTCGTAAAACACTAAAATCCGTAGACAAATTATTTACGTTGGCTGCGATTGTGGTCGCTTTGGTTGTTTTTTTGACAACTCACTTTAGGTGTGTTTTCTGGGCTTGACGGTTGGTCGGTGGGCGTGGCATTGGTGGTGGCGGTGGCGCCGTGGGTTAAATTTAGTGCGCCCACGTTGGGTTGGCCCATGTACCGTATATTCTAAAAAGGTCGGTGGCCAAGCTGACGATCAAACAGAAAACATAGAACACAGTGGGCTGAGATGAGTGATGCTCGCTCTGAGCATCATAACACTGATAAGGGATACGAGTGGGTTGTGATCTATAAATCAAAAGGGTAATCGGTGTAATAAAAAGTATAGCTTAGGAAGTTTTTGAACTCTCATAAAAGAGTTCAATACTTTTTTATGTAGATAATAAACTTCTAAAGATATTCTTTATAACAATTCTTTAAGACTCATATAAATTTATTTTATTGTCGCGAAGTGGATCTTGTCTTGTCTTTTGGCCGTATAATTTGTATTGGCAATGGAGATTATAATTCCATTTAAAAAGAAGTTCTGATTGAGTTCAACTTTTTAAAGACAGTCATTAATAGTTCGAGGTGTATAAAATCGATTTTTTGACGTACACAAAATGGGCATGTCGCGGACAAATTTTATTGTTCATGGAAAACATTTATTAAATTTTATCAAGGTTTTTTGAAAGGTTGGAAAATTTACTGCATTATTCAGTGATTCATAGGTTCTTTGATTAGATCCGTAAATGATCTAAGAAAAAGTTATTCTAATTTTAAGATGTAGGTACATTGATTGCATTTATAATTATTCCTCATGATAATTTTGGCGACATTTATTACGTGTACGGATAGATGAACCTACTTATTTTATTTTAAGTATATTTCAAACTGTATTTGCTGAATCGAAGAATGAAATAATGGAAAAAAATATTCAAATGTAAATAACATTTAAGAAAAGAGTAATCGAAGTACTTTATTTATGTTTCTTGCAATATTCAATTTAAAAATATCTTATTTTTATTTAGATTTGTTAAACTGAAGAGCTGGATTAATATTAGTGTGTTTATCTACTTCCCTACTGAAGTGAAAAATAAATCTTTTAACTACGGACAGGAAGTAGCCTAAAAAAAAAAATATGTTTATCCTGTCGGCGATTTGTTCCACTGTGCTGCCCTGTATTCCGTTGGTTACTACACAGTATCTCTTTTTTCGCGACGATCGGTTGAGGGGTGGGGGGTGTTATTGGTGGGGGGCGTTTAGTGGGCTGCACTGTGCTGGCGAATTTCGTAGTAGCCGTTTGTCGATCGTTGTTTCGACTTAATTTAGTTTAGTTCAGTTAGTGAAGGGATGCGAGGTGAAGCGCAAGGGGCGGGGCTCCCCCACCCGCACTAAAGACCCACTCACATTCGCACATTTCTTGAGTGATTTCGGCCTGTCTTAGTTTTTGGAGCCCGTGAAGAGCGAAGAGCTCAAAGTGAGTGAGCACTGGATTAGAGATCACACGTACTACATAAGTATGTGTATACACACAAATATACGCCGATCGGCAGTTAAAGGAGGTGGGAAATTACTTAATGCCGCGATCGTTTACCGTGCGGTTCTCCGATTTTTGTCATTCGCTACGCGAAAAGTGTCGTAACGGTAACACTCCTTCGTTTCTCTCTCTCTCTCTGAAATAACGGGACTTCCCTGGAAAAACAGGAATAGAAGGAAGAAGCAAGCTCGACTGGAAGCTGAAAAGTGCCGAAAACGACGGATAGGCGAAAAAGAAACAGAAATAGCGGTTAGTGGGCAGCGACGTAGGCCGCGACGCTGACGCCGGCAGAGACTGGAAACAGACGTGAGCTTGGAGCGAAGCGTTCCATTTAAATCAGAACGGTTACGGGAATTGCGAATCGAGAAGCGACAGAGCGACGTCACCGCCGCCGTCACCGTTAACAAAAAGTGTCAACCGTCTACTGGCAGCGCTTCAATTCAGCGTGCGCCGCTTAACGGTAACGGTCCTGCGACGCGATCGCTCAGCCCTTTCAGTATTTCGCGATTTTTTTTCAATTCGAAAAGACTTTCCGTCCAAAAACAAACAAAAAAAACCCAACAAGCGCTAGCATTCGAGTGTTTTTTTTTCATCCATTTTTGATCGTGGGTATCCTGAGAGTGAAACAAAAAAAAGAAGGATCGGAACAGTGAAACTGAACGAAAGGATCGGCACAGTGGAACGAAACTGGATGGATTTCGGTGTTGCAAACTTTTTTTTAATGGCAATAAAAAATTGAATTCAAAATCAGTTCCCTGTAAACAACAATCGTGGATTACTGAAGTGCAGACATTATCGCCATCCCCACCGATCCGTGTTGTTGTCATTATTTTTTGGTGTTGTTTTCGTGGTCACCTTGTATTTGTACGGTGTTATCTGAGTGGGCCACAAAGAAAGTACGAGGGCGATTCGACGGCCAGACAGTGAATTGCACGATTACGTAGGGCACAGGTTAGAGTTCTTCTGGGTCCAAAATGGACGAGCGGATTTGGATTCTCATGTGAGCTCCACTTCAGACGCGATGTCTATATGACCAAATACTCTCGAAAGAAAGTTAAACTGTTAAGAAAAACATTAAAAAAATGATCTCGAAACCCTTAGTGATCCCAAATCATTAATTTTATGTTTCGAGAAATCAGTATCCATAATGTGACCTAAGGATTTTTAAAATTGCAACTTAAATGTCTCAAATTTGTAACGTGGTATTACATATTTAAAAAACTATAAGTAAATACCTTTAAAAATGTGTTAAAAATTCAGTTTTGTAAAATCATTTTGAAATTATATGAAAAATTTAAGCGAAAATTTGTAAAGCTTTAAAAAAGTTTATCCACGTATTATATTCACACAACCTTTATTCTTGCAAAATAATATCCTAAATTAAAAACAATATTACAAAAATATCCTAAAATGTCGTAGAAGAAACAAAATCCATTTCTTTTCGTACATTTTTTTGAAAAGGTAATACGAATAATATGGATGTAGGTCTAAAATATAGTACGAAGTGTTTCAATAATATCAATATTCTTAAAGCGTATGATGGCAATGTAGAGTGTATTTTTGTTATTTGTGTCTGTGTATAATCCGGTAAATCAATCTGTGCCGCACCTTCTTACGGTATCTGTTGTATGAATGCATTTAATTAACGAAATTGTTTCACTGTGCAAAAGTGTTTGCTTAACTGTTGTTGTCATATGCAAAACGATCACTTACACACGCCCCGAATGTGCCGTTAGCTAGAGCCACTAATAACGGCAACCTGTTATCGATCGGTCGATTGGCAGAGGGCTCAAGAAGTCTTGCGGGTGTACTAGGCTTATAGGCCAACTTCATCCATCATTGGGCATTTGGTTATAAGCAAATATGGCCCAACAGTTGATCCCCTCAGTTCGTCAATCAGTTAGTTGGTAACTCAGTTATTGGGTGGTGGATACCGCTCAATCAGCGATACATGTGACTGACAGAATTACAGTCGAACCTCCATAAATGAAGAAATGATACAATGATATTTTATCATGTTATCCATATTTATATTTATTGTGAAATTAGGAAATGTAAGCCAGAGTCTTAAATTGTTAATATCAAGAGACGAGTTTTTAAAACTATTGTTACAACATATTACAACATCAACAGAAAGTTTGATAAATTGTTTTAATCAATCCTTTATAATCATTTATAATGTATAACAAACTTTTAAAGTTCTTAAAAGTTTATAATCAAGTTTGTGAAAAGAATTTAACTTTCTGAAAAGTTTTAAAATGTATACCAGCTTTAATTATAATAATTGTAGTCTTTTTTATCTCGTTATGGGAGTTTGACTGTAGTTATTAATTGTCGCGTATAACTCTGGGCTCTGACGGAGTTCTTATCACAAGAAGGAAAACCAGAAGCAGCAACTAAAGCACAAGACGATGACGAGACTGACGGAGGAAACGAGACATTGATAGATCGCAATTCAATTAATCATCTTGCCGCCCCGGCTTGTAAAACAATGTCATCATTAGCACCCAATAGCCTCATCAGTAACCCGTTGGCCCGCCTGATATTTCCACCCAGATTTTTTAAATCAGACTCTTCTGGGCACAATGCCTGCGATTCTTGTCCCTTATTTTCCCCCGAGATTTTTCCAATCTCCGCCGCCTGCTTTCCGACGAATGAAAAAAAAGCACGGCTTTTGACGCTTGACTTTTGCGATTATTTACTAAACGTGTTCATTTTGCAGTTGCTGCTATTTATTATTGATTATACGACTATTTAGCGTTGGTATATGTAAATATTTTGTTATTTATTAATTTTGTTCCACATAATATACGGCTCTCACACATACATATCTACGGTGAGTGTATATGGGCCCAGGTTTCCCCCCAATTCTGCACGTAACACGGACCTCTGAGGTCAGCTCAATGGAGATGCACGTGCAGATCAACTGATCGTTCCAGTCGTGCTGATCGTACAGCGATCCTTCGACGATTTCCCCAAATGCCCCCGATCGCCGTGAACTGGAGTCGATGGGTTATCAATTAGTAAACGCATTTATTGCCATATTAAATGTTCTGTTGTCTACTCCACTTGACGTCAAACATTGACTTAATTCATTTACATGATCATCGAATGTTTATCATGGGTATTGTTATTGTCATTAGTGATTTGGCTTGGGTTCGGCTTGATAAAGAGTGGGCCCATTTTGTGGGTGTGGGGCGTGAGTGACCGCCAAATGTTAACAGCTATGTTTAAAACTGAAAAAGAGCTCTTGGGATAATTTTCTTTTCTTATTACAATTATTATGGATCCTTGTACTTCCAGGTAGAGAAGCTTCAAATTTAAAATCTTATTTTCAATAAGCCTTAATTTTATCGAAAGAAAATTTTCTAAACTACGATCCTTCTTTACTGAATTTTGCCAACATTATTGCCCGATTATCAGCAATTTCCGCAAACTTTTTGTTAGAAATTTCCACTCGGAAAGAATTCCATGGGGCAAGCCCAAAAAAAGCGTTAAAAAGATCGTTTGGCAACGCACAGCGTCATCGAAATGTTTGTTCGGAATAAATAAATACATAAAAAAGGAAACACAATAAATGAAAAGACTTCCATTGAACGGCGTCATCGCCAACCAGTCAGTGCTCGAGGAACGCGCCCAATAGACGATTTTTTTATTGTTAACAAATTATTGTAGTCGCTGTTGTGGTTGCTTTTGTTCTTGTAGTTGCTATAGGGGCTATACCCCAAGAACCGAACCAAAAATTGGAACAAAAAACAGGAATACTTCATAGATAATTTAATAGAAATTATACAGTAAGAACGATAATAATAATTAAAACTGGTGCAGACCAAAGCTATGGAGAATCGTTATCAGCGATCACTTGACTTGAACAACGGGAATAAACAATTCGAATTGTCCCAATGTAATCAAGCGTGTAATGAGAAGACTTTACCGATACGATGCGATAGGGAAGCGTCGTTGAAAATAGAACCGTGGAGCTTCCACAGCCCACTGCAGAGAATTAGTCGATTCACGCGAATTCGCTGGGGACTCCACGCGCGTAAAGTCCACACGAACTACCCCAACATGAACTCATTAGAGCTAACATGCAGCCAATTTTATCTTTATGATTTTGTAAGAACCACAAATCTCCACCGATGACTTTAGCACCGCTAAACGTTTATCTTTATGATATTGAAAGAACTTTCGCCATCAATAGTCCATTAGCAACCAATAATGACTAATGTTAGGGCTTCGTATATCGTTACGATTTTGTAAGATATTAAGCCCTCGGACATGAATCAAATTTACTGCCTGACCGATATGTCAAGTACTTTCATCATAGACCTTGAGTATTACCAATGGGGGTAGTGTGACTACAGCTCTGCACCGTTTATCTTTATGGTGTGCCAAGAACTCTAATCATTAGCTAATGACTAAATTTCTCCCCAAACGTTTGACACCTGATCTGAGTTTTGTTTTTGGAACTCGGGCTTGTCAACTTTTTGTGTTTTGCATTCGCGATCGCTAATTGGCAGCCAAGTGCTGTACATTGCGAGTCGGTTGACACCCACAGCAGCCCCCAAACCTCTGGCCCCCCGATCCCCAGCCACTCACACACACTATATTTCGTAGATAAGAGTCCCAAGACGCAAACGGACAATCGGGGAGGGGGGGTTTTTCGGTATACGGGGACTTGGACTGCTGGGAGGGCAACGTCTGCGGCGGTCGCTAATCGTTAGCGGACTACTTTGCACCGCGAGAAATCGTGGAAAATTAGCAGTAATGCCCTGGTCCGCCCGGCGATATGATTAGAAGTGTCAATAGGTGTAAGCCGGAGTGATGACGTTGCCTCCGGAGCTGGCGACTCCTCACCGTTCCAGCGATGACGATCGCCGGCTAAGGAGGCCGCTGTTCACAAGATAGCGCGTGCTTTTTGCAAAGGAATTCACCACGAGAATGGGCCAAACGCACCGAATGTTGTGGTACTCTGTTAGATGTTCCAAAAATAGAGTTAATAATTTGAATCAACAATGTAATAGATAAAGGGACTTGAGCTTTATTTTAGCTTTAGATCAATGAAAGCATGTTAAGATGCTCCTAATGTTCAAAGGTATCGTTTCTGAACCTTCTAAATAACAAAAACAACTTTAGTTAACCTAAAGAGCATTTTTATTGTCTTTTTTAAAAATTTTGAATTCAATTTCATGTTTTCTTATATTGGTGTTCACTGGTAAATGCCTAATAAGTATCATGAATATTACTATAATATAACATTAAACGCATAAGACCACCAAATTTGGGCGGAGTGCATGGAACCGCGTAGTCCGGTATCTGCTCTCTCCTATCGTACAGATATAGACAATAACTAAAGCAACTGGCCAGCACTTAAGCAATCGCAATCAAGCTTCGATTAGCGGCGATACAACCATAAATAACGACAGACAACAAGAGCGGTGTGATTCCACCGAATTCCCAAAACACTGATCTGCCTTCGATTTCGATACTGATTGCGATTCCGATTCCGATTCCTCCGTCCTTACCTGGAATACGTTTGCCGGCATATTGCAAACTTAAGCTGCTGTCCTTTCAGGTAGTCCGTCACCCCGACGAGCATGTCGCCGAATCGATGGATCCTGCTGCTCATCTTCTACATATCCTACCTGATGTTCGGGGCGGCAATCTATTACCACATTGAGCACGGCGAGGAGAAGATATCGCGCACCGAGGAGCGCAAGGAGCAAATTGCAATCAACGGTGGGTGAGCTTCCAAAGAAACACTTAACAATACTCCATAGTCATAAGTAGCCGCGTGATCCAGATCGTACCACGGCGGAGCATGTGATCCCACCACGAACCTAACTAAATGGTCACCCACGACTTCGCTAGATAGTCTAGACCCATGTCGGATCGGTTGAAACGTTTACACCCACTTGTTGAGGTTTCTCGACTTGTGGCTCGTGGGTCCGGCCTCGAGATTTCATTTGAAGTCAAGCTTCAAATTCTTGAATGGAATTTTTTGGGCTAAAGCAAAGTCATCTTACAGAAAACATTCCCTTAAGGATAATACGTCGACTCGAATATCACTAACTAAATAACTTATGATTACAAAATTAAGTTATTATTCGTAAATCAATTATGATTAATGCTCCAATTGATTATGAAATTTTCTTAAATCAAGAATGAACGATTTCTTGTTTTAAAACTGCTTCACTAAGAACATTTATTCTACCTTTCGTTACATTTAGCTTGCGTGCAAATCGTAACTATTTAGTGCATTCTAATATCGCATTTAGAAAGATTTGTACATCATAAAAAACCAAACTAACTTGATTTGATTTCTTGAATCAATTTTTCTTGAGTAAAGCACGAAACCTATTTGATTTAGGAATTTTACTCTTATTTTGAATAAAGTCGTTTTTAAAATGTTTTGGGTTTAAGAACAATCTTGTCTTGATTTAAGTACTCACATTACAAATATTTTTAAATCAAGAATTATTCAAAATCAATATGAATCGTACTTAAATTTAGAGCAGCGTTTTTATTTTGAGTGCGGATTTATATTTTTTGGCAAAACGTGCGTAAATGTAGGAGGAAAGTGTGAGGTTTACGACTCAACAAGTCTGGGGCAATCAGGGCTGTTTGCCTTATAGACAACGCGACCTCTATATTCAGACACATATCTCACAGTGTGAGAGCGATTATATCTACGCTAAATCGAGCCGCAGTCTCGGATGTATTTATTTTAATGCCTCTTCAATTGCAATAAATCCGAATTTAAATAGCACATAAAATGTGCTAATTATGCAAATAAATAACCCATAAACGCTCTAATTACTAACCATCGACCCAAGACGTGTGTGAATCGTAACGGATTGAATCAGAGGCTTACCTGAAACACGATCACTGGCCGAGCTAAAAACTTCATTTTAGATCGTGGATCACTCGCATGAGTGACTGTCCAGGGTTCGACTAGCAATCGAACGTATCAGAGGATACGTGGTAGGCCTCCAATTAATGCCCCGAAAATCCGCAATTGGACACGGCACTTGTCATGTCAATATTTGTATGCATATGTAAGCAGGCAAAGTCACCTTAATCGCTCCCGACTTGGACAACAGTAAAGAAAAAACACCGCAATTGGTTAGAAGTTCGACAATCGGCTATGGCCACAACCAAACGACGATGACTTTCAAGTGTCCACAAACATGGTGAGATTACGCCTGAGCTATTGACACCTGATAAGGTGACCGGGCTAAATCACAATGCCAAGGGATCTCCCACAAGAATGCCCAGGGAAGTGATTTGGGGCTTAGGGTCAATTACTTAGGTTTGAGAACCCCAGTTAAACCTTTGGTGTTACAGGATCTTCTGATACAGGATCTTCCTGAAGATGAACTTGATTATTTTCTTTTTCTATATTTGATTTCATAACAGGGCCCATAATATAACAGCTCAATTTTAAGAGAATTAAAGTGAATTATTTGCTGACAGCGAGTCAAAATTTAAATAACGTGGATTTTATTTTCGCAAAGACTTGCCAAATTTATAAATCGTGCCAGCATGATGTTTCAATCCCCGATCTATTTTTCTTTACTTGAGTAAACATCAAAACAGGATGTGAGAATTAGGGATTTCTAAAATATATAATAGGGTATTAATTAGTGGGTTTCAGGATGATTTATTATTCTACTCATTGCCATTATGGCGTATAAAAATAGGTATGTAGGTACTACACACATAAGGTAGACATTTTTTCCTCAAAGAAATTCTATTGAACTTTCGGAAATTCTAATCTGGTCTAAAGCTAATAGAAAAACCCTTTTCAATTGAGATGGAGCCCAGGTCAAAGGGAACAAGGTTCCGAACGATCCTCGAAACGCCATGCATGACTGACCTCGACCTCGGATGGTTTTGATGATTGGGCACTCCGATTGCACTGCCTGCTGATTTGCAGCCTCGCTGTCAGCTTTAATTAAATTAATTTATCAATTTGTTTGCCACAAACTTTTCCGGGCCGCACTCAATCGCCGAGATAATCAGAGTAAACGCCCTGGAATCACTGCTGCAGAGGCGAGTCGAGAGGACTTACAAGAATTCGAGATAATGATCGACTTCTATGAACAAATTGCCAGCAATCAAGATTTTCAGTGAACCAACAAAGGCGATTAAATTGTGACCGCTTGTGCCCGTCACTCGTCCCACTATATAGTGCTCTCCACACTGTTGCTGTTGTTATTGTGGCTGTTAATCTCTGAATTGCCCCCAATTGCGTCCCGTTGTGATCAGAGATCAGAGATGAGATGACACCGGCTGAGCTCCACTGCAAGTCCCTTTGTTGGTGGGCATTTGCCTACGGAGTCCGGACGCATTTATTGAATTATGCAATTCGTAAAAAGATTACCGGGGGCCTCAAATTGTTGGCATTTGCACAAGGCTCAGGGTTTATTGAATGATTGCAGCCGCAGGCGGACAATCTGCCGAGCAGAGTTCTCGACTCGAGTCTGATGAACTTGGCCATAAAGGTTAGACAGCCGATCATGAACATCTCAACTGGCGGAGCAGCCAAGTGTTTGCACTCGGTTTGATAAGAGAAAGCTGGAGGATCTGCAGTGGCTAGAGAGCATTCGATCCGGTTAGAGCACTTCTATCCATCATCCAATCGATAGAGACTGCGATTGATGGATTAGTCAATGAATATTATAGCCATTCAATAGAATAGTCTTACAACGGAATAGTCATTTAGAGATCGTCAATAACTAATAGATTACAAACAAACTTGATAATCCCAAGCTATTTTTAGATAGTGCAATCATTTCACCTATTTTTGATTTAGTGATATCACTAATAGATAAGCTTTTAGTTTACAATCAACAAATCAATCATTGGGCACAAAATTTAACTATATTTTTTAGTATTCGATCGGTAGATTTGATCGGTAGTTAGTTCCTATAATAGTTTCGTAAGTCCTTATCAATTTTCCTAAAATCACAATTTGTACAATCATTACATTTAATCATTTGGTAATCTCAAAGCGTTTGATCAATTGCGTGGGCTTCCTTAAGATTCATTACGAGAAGTAAAATTCGATTAAAGCTTTAAATTGCTGACCTACAACAAGATCGTCTTGGGCTCTCTTTCCGGCCACGATTACATTAATTGGCTTGATAAATATCTCGCATTGCGACTGACGGGGTCGTTCATCCAGCGCATTTCAATTAACCGGAGCAAGATCGTCTGGGTCAGGTCATGATCGTGATGCTCATCGTTTGTTGTCATCGGTGCACGGAAAACGAAAATAGGTTTAAGCAAGTAACTTTGTAATGGCTATATATTAGCTTTTCGGGTTTGTTTAAGTATGTTGCAACATTTATAAAAACTATATCAGATTGCAGATAGAATAAATAATATTTTTAACCAAAAGCGTGCCATACTGGTCAGGAAATAAGTACATAATTCAGAGTGGAACTGCAATACTCGATCACTGATTCTTTTAAATTCTGGTAATGTTAGATAAAACACTTACATGAACATTGGCATTAAAAACTACCCGCCACGAACTTATAAAAAACAATCGTCCTTCACTTCTCGTTTTTGCATCTCGTTTTATTTTTTTAAGTTCATTTCCAGATCCATTTTCAGGGCTTAAAAACTATTTCTATATCACTCCTTGAAAAATAGCGCATTATTTTTCCGTGTAAGCAAAATCACTTTAATCAGATTTACGACCCAGTCCGATCGGCTATTGCTGAATATAGCACGCTGGAGGAAAGGGGAGAGGGGGGTTAGCCAGTGACGATCACCGATCTCTGAAAACGTAACGGTTTCCCCCATCATGGAAGGAAGCGTCACTTTGCAGCTCGATACTTTGAAATCCATTCGGATTCCGTCTCTTTTATGTCCATTGTTTACCAGCGGAAAGCGGAAGCTTAGCAGCCGGTCGCACATTTGCATCCGGATCGGATTCGGTTCGACACGTGAACCACAATGGGAGCCAATTAAAATTAATTTGATTTCACGCTCGATCGGGCATGAAAGTTCACTTTTCTGATCCTCTCCCTTATTTGTTTTTGCAGAATATCTTCTGGAGGAACTGGTTGACAAGAACGCGAGCACCCAGAACGAGATTCTCGAGCGGATCTCGGATTATTGTGGAAAGCCGGTTACGAATCCGCCGGCGCACGATGATACGCCCTACACGTGGACCTTCTACCACGCCTTCTTCTTCGCCTTCACCGTCTGTTCGACGGTGGGATATGGCAACATATCGCCAACGACCTTCGCCGGACGGATGATCATGATCGCGTACTCGGTGATTGGAATCCCCGTCAACGGAATCCTTTTCGCCGGCCTGGGCGAGTACTTTGGCCGTACGGTTAGTAGCCTGAAAAGCTTTGTATTATTTCTTTGAAAACACTTATAAGCAAAGGCAATAACACTGTCATAAGGAAAAATTCAACCTTCTTGTATTAAAAGTGGTAAGAGGCTTCGTAAATGGTCAATTCAAAGTCTGTTTGAGCTTTGTTTTGAAAATTTGCGTCGTTTATTTTACGCAAAATTATCACATTCTAATTCCTATATACAGGACGGACCCACGTCATGTGTTGACTCACATTTTATCATTTAATATATTTATGTTAAATGATTCTATTCCAGTATTTTTGCAAAGTTAATATCGTCCTCTAAAATTGGAAAATAACAATTATAGAATGCAATGGATATTATAAATATTTGGAGTAAAAAGCATTGATTTTGAGAAGAATATATTTAAAATAACCTATGTAACTATTTTGAACAAGGTTTGAAGTCTTTTTCGATCAGTAATACAATTTTGCTTTTCCAGTTTGAAGCTATTTACAGGCGATACAAAAAGTACAAGATGTCGACGGATATGCACTATGTGCCACCTCAACTGGGACTAATCACCACGGTGGTGATTGCCCTGATTCCGGGCATAGCCCTGTTCCTGCTGCTGCCCTCGTGGGTGTTCACCTACTTTGAGGACTGGCCCTACTCCATCTCGCTTTACTACAGCTATGTGACGACGACCACAATAGGCTTTGGCGACTATGTGCCCACCTTTGGAGCCAACCAGGTGAGTCTTTTGCCGGAGGGTGCATCCCCTAAATGCACTTCACTGAAAACTGGTTTTCCGTTTAGCCTCGGGAGTTTGGCGGCTGGTTCGTGGTCTATCAGATCTTTGTGATTGTGTGGTTCATCTTCTCCCTGGGCTACCTGGTCATGATCATGACTTTTATTACCCGGTAAGTAGGTGGGCTGCATCAAAATCCATCGCATGTCCTCGGCTGCCCTTCGTTTTCTCTCATTTGCATGATCTAACCCATTTTGTCTTCCTTTGAATCCCTGGTTCCATCCAAAAAAAAAAACATTTACATTGGGCATTCGTCATGAACAGGGGCCTGCAGAGCAAGAAGCTGGCGCACCTGGAGCAGCAGTTGTCCTCCAACCTGAAGGCCACTCAAAATCGCATCTGGACAGGTGTCACCAAGGATGTGGGCTACCTCAGGCGAATGCTGAACGAGCTCTACATCCTCAAAGTGAAGGTAAACGACTCGCATCACCCACTGGAAACTCACAAATGGGCTAGCACTCGATATTTCAAATTTCAAATCTGTTACAGATATCACTATTTAATCTAAACTTTGTCATTTGTCTGTGAACTGCTGTATCCTGAGAACTTGACTAAAATTTAATTAATATCAGAAGCTCCATTAATTTAAATTAAAAACCTGGGAATTTAATCTAGAATTAACTCACACATATAATTATGTACTAGTTGGATAATACCCATATCACTTCAATAACACTGACTGTTTTTAAAATGATCTCTCACATTATTTTTAACCAAGAGATTTTCAGATTTAACTTATAAAGCTTGATATATATTTTATTTACATTAGTAACACTAATAAATTAAATTAAAAACCTGGGAATTAAACAAAATGTTATAGTTTTACCGTCTAACTGGGCTTATACCAAACTTGATGTATAGATAATATTAAACCTATAAAACTGTCTTCGCTGTGATTATGCACTTTTGCCAAGATGTGGACCTTCAAAGGGCCAACTAACCGATTTGGGTTATGCATTGATCTTGCTGAGAAACTTCCCTTGGGAATACCTTCAATGTTTAATATCAGTTTGTATGTGTCTGTCTAAGCGGTATACACTTATATTCGTTCCTATTAGCCAATATTCCCAAGCTTATGCCAGAATCTGACACAGTCGATGTTCTCCGTTCTAGTTTTGTCGAAAGAGAAATAGAAAGAAGCCGAAGAATAAGGCTAAGGCTGAGCAGAAAAAGAAGAGCAGCAGAAGTAAGTAATTATTAGAAAATTCTTGTAAAACCAATTTCGAAATTTGTATAGACAGTGTTAGCCCAAAATCAACTCGACAGACAGAAATACCCACAACGAAATGATCCAACACTAATTCAAACTATTCTCTTTACATGTCCAACATCAAACACCACCCTACACTTTTGACTTTGAATGGCTCTTAAAACTGGAAACATAATCTCCAATTTTAAATTATTATGACTTTGAACTTAACGATTTATTGCTGTTAACAAATCGAATTAACCCTCTCAGCCCGTGTACACCGACCTAGATATCGCCTACACACTGCCCCGTTCCAACTCGTGTCCGGATCTCAGTATGTACCGCGTGGAGCCGGCTCCCATCCCCAGCCGGAAGAGGGCCTTCTCCGTGTGCGCGGACCTGGCTGCGGCCCAAAGGGACGCCGGCATCCTGGTGCACGCCAGTTCGGACACCGAGCTGAGCAAACTGGACCGCGAGAAGACATTCGAGACGGCGGAGGCGTACCGCCAGACCACCGATCTGCTGGCCAAGGTGGTCAGTGCCCTGGCCACGGTGAAGCCACCGCCGGCGGCGGAGCAGGAGGATGCGGCCCTGTACGGCGGTTACCATGGCTTCTCCGACTCGCAGATCCTGGCCAGCGAATGGTCCTTCTCGACGGTGAACGAGTTCACCACACCGCGCCGACCTCGGGCACGTGCCTGCTCCGATTTCAACCTGGAAGCGCCCCGCTGGCAGAGCGAGAGGCCACTGCGCCCCAGCCACAACGAATGGACGTGGAGCGGCGACAACCAGCAGATCCAGGAGGCCTTCAACCAGCGCTACAAGGGCCAGCAGCGGGCCAACGGCGCCAATTCGACCATGGTCCATCTGGAGCCGGATGCCCTGGAGGAGCAGCTGAAGAAACCGTCGCCGGGTGCGGGGCGCGTCAAGAAGTTCTCTATGCCGGATGGCCTGCGCCGCCTGTTTCCGTTCCAGAAGAAAAGACCTTCGCAGGATCTGGAACGGAAGTTGTCGGTGGTTTCGGTGCCCGAAGGTGTCATCTCACAGCAGGGCAGATCTCCCTTGGATTACTACCGCAACACGGTCACCGCGGCCTCCAGTCAGTTCTATCTGGGCAACGGGCGTGGTCCGCCACCGCCCTTCGAATCGAATGGCAGCTTGGCCAGCGGCGGGTTGACCAACCTGGGCTTCCAGCTGGAGGATGGGGCAACTCCGCCGTCGGGATTGGGCGGGGGAGCCTATCAACGCAAGGTGGCGGCCGGAAAGCGACGTCGCGAGAGCATCTACACGCAGAATCCGGCGCCATCCGCCCGCCGGGGTAGCATGTACCCGCCCACCGCCCACGCCCTGGCCCAGATGCAGATGCGCCGCGGCAGTCTGGCCACCAGTGGCTCCGGATCGGCGGCCATGGCAGCGGTGGCCGCCCGTCGGGGCAGCCTCTTCCCGGCCACCGCATCGCCTTCCTCGTTGGCCTCTGCTCCGCGTCGCAGCAGCATATTCTCGGTGACCTCCGACAAGGACATGAATGTGCTGGAGCAGACGACCATTGCAGATCTGATCCGCGCCCTGGAGGTGGTGCATACCCATGCCGTCCTGGACGAACAGCAACAGGCGGCGGCGGCGGCAGGAGGAGCTTCATCGAAGGGTAGCCGGAAGCAGCGCAAGATGGGCAATGCGGGACTGGATCCGCCGCAGCTGCCGCCGATCCTATCGCTCTTTGCGGGCGATCAAACGAGGACACTGCAGGCGGCGGCCGCCAATCGGTTGTACGCCCGACGCTCCACAATTGTGGGCATTTCGCCCACCGGAGGAGCAGCAGCCGGACCCACGGCCAGATCCCTGCTGGAGCCCCCGCCTAGCTACACCGAAAGAGCCGGAAGTCAGAGCCAACTTACTGCTGGAAATTCCCTTTCCGTTGCCGGTCCATCGAATGCCGCCACTTCTGGCCAGAGTAAGTTCCGCCGTCGGTTCAGCGTTCGACCGACTGCTCTGCAGATCCCACCTGGACAGGCGCCACCGCCAGGTGCCAACTTGGCGGAGCAGTCGGCGTTGCAGCGACGCCTGTCGCTGCGTCCATCGCCATTGGCCCGGGAACTATCGCCCACTTCACCGCCCGGCGGCAGTGGAAGTGCCCCGGGAGCGGGGGCCAACGAGGAGTCCGGAGGAACGTCCGCCCAACGGCTGCTGCCCCTGCCCGCCGGCACGAGACCCAGCACCAGCAGCACCCACTCGCCGCTCTCGAGGATCGTGCAGATCTCGCAGGCGCAGCGCAAGAGCAGCATGCCCAGCACAGCGGCGGGATCGAGTGGAAGTGGTGGCTCCACTGGCGAGAAGTAGTTAGTAATCGGTAGTCCGTAATCCATAAGCTGTTTCGCCAACTCGTATATGTCCATGGCCAACGGGATTACTTCACCAACTGTTTTGTGTCCCACATATTCGATAAGGCTGCCAAAAGTCCCTAGTTGTTATGCTAATATTACCCGTAACATATTTACAAATATCCAGTTATCCTAGTGTTATGTATTTTTAAAACTATCTCTCTCTATTGTTATCCTGTATTTATATACCAATCTGTATCTGTATCTATATCTATATGATAATCTATCTACATTCCTCTATGTATATTGCTAAGAATGGGCTTATATGAACAAAACAATCCACATGTTTTCAAGCATCCAATTGGGACCAAAGAAGGATCTCGATTCGTTTGTAATTTCATTTAGCTCTTAGAGTGACTTCATTCGCCAAACGTTTCACATGCTGTTATACAATAAAGATAATCTGCAAATATATAAACTGTCTTTTTAACTGAAAAAACTATCACGTATATTACATCGATTTAAGATGTTTGGGATGAGGTAAAGAAAATGTATAACATCTCCTGTGTGGATTTATTTGTCACTTTCAAGCCATTTGTTTAGGGAACGCATTAATCCACTGTAGAGAGATAAGAAACTAGTTCGAATTGCGCGCGCAGCCTATCGCTCCGTATCGATAGTTGCGGCAATCCAACAATCGATACTTTCTCTGTTGGCAGTTTGCCGGCCAAGGTCACACTAATTGCGGATTGTTGTGCTGCGCTCTATAAAGTACTTGAAATTTCTATATTTTTGCTCATTTTTTGTTGTTCCCACAAGAGAGTTTGTCGTTTCCCAGCTTTCCAACTCAATTCCACACCGCTTTCCGAAGCGAAGAGCCCGTCTTTTGCAACGACGCAGTTGTGATTTGGCAATGTTATTGCTGACAGCAGATTTGTGACCTTTCGAAGAACAATAACAATAAACAACAAAAAATGCAGCGCCTGCACGTTGCTCTGCACCTGGGGATTCTGCTCATCCTGGGATTCTCACAGGTGTCCACTGAGGAGGTCAACATCGTCCACTACCAGCCGGAGCAAGTGCATCTGGCCTTTGGAGGTGAGTGCTTAGATTTCGGCATTATGTAAATCACCTGTACAGTTGCATTTGTGTGTTCTACACCGAAAAAACGGTAGTGGGACCAATATACATATGTACATATATATTTGGTTTGTTAATAATTTTGTATAATTTAATAATGCTGAATCATTAGTTCCACATTTGTTCAGATAATATGGGCACCAGAGTTTCAAATCGCATTGCTGACTTATGCATTTTGTTTATTTTTGAGCTTATTAAATCCTAATTGACACTTCAATTTTAAACTTAAATATTTAAGAATATGGAATATGTCTTTTTTACCTTTAATTGCCTACCTTACATATTTCAAATTTCTATCAGTGTAACCGACGATGCAGTGCGCAATTAGCGGGGCTTTTATCGGATGATATCAGTATTTCCCCTCAATCCACCCAGATTAACAGCCACCATTACTCAACCTTTATGTCGGCTCAACCCTTCTGATTATAGATATTGCATATATCATTTATAATCCAAATGTCCTTGTTATAATTTTCGTTGGGGAGGCTTTTAATTTATTTAAAGACTACATTATAATTTAAACTTGTCCGTATACCAAGATGTGTTAACTCAACAGGTTTCTGTACGGTGGTATATTACAAAATGGATTTAAAATGTAAATAATGTGAAGCAATATTGTATATTTAATATACTGATTAATTTCGTGATATCAGTTGGTCAATTATTTCAATATCTTTAAAAGAAAAAGAGCGGCAAAAATAAAAAAAAATCTAGAAGTCTAAGTACAAAATTCCATTGCTTTCAAAACAAATGCATTATCAGTATTAAAAGTTGCCAACATTTCCTGCTGTTCTCCCTTTTCCATGTATTCAAATATTTGTAACAATAGCCAATATTTGTTTCTCAGAACAGATAATTCTGTTTCTTGATAATGGCCCTGAATCACCCGTTAAGGAACTAGACATTGCTTACATTAACCCGGTGTTAATATATAAATTTTTTGAATTTATAATCGATTCAAGAAAGTATAATTTAACAATTTTGAGATCAAAAGTTTCGGGCAAGTCTTGATTTATGGCAATTAATCTGTGATTTTACAACTGATCATGAATTCAATAATGAATTGATAAACAGAAAATAAGATCAACAACGTTATCGTTGTTTTTTTTTTGTTATTTTACAAAAGTGAAGTTTTAATGAGCAAATTAAAAAAGTAAGTGACATCGTGAATATGTTTGAATTAAGCCTAAACTTGATCGCTATGTGATGAGATTGGCATAAAAAAAATAAAATTAAGTTAAATCATAATTAGGTGACTCCCCCAAATCTGGTGCAGTTGTTTTATACGATAAGGTGGTCATTGAAAACGTACATATAAGCCCTGTATGCATTCGGATGAACAAGCAAATCGAAATCCAGAACCAAGTGATAGACTTTGGCTCCCTGTGGGGGCCCATTACCGATAAGGGCGAAGATCGTCATCCGACCATGTGTGCTTTGTGTTCTAGTTTTCCTGGGGAAGCGATAAGAAACAAAAACAAAAGAGCTTCGCAGCAAAACAAAAATAGAGTATTAAACAATAACATTTGGTCTTGAATGATTTCTCGGCCTTGCTCCTCTTACGAAAGCCAATCCAATTTGTCACAACTAATGTTTATATATATTAACATATTTAAGTAATTAAAAGAATTTTTTTTTAGTTTTTGCTCGTACGAAAAAAAACTTAAGTTAAATGAGATTTAACAAAGAATTAAATAATATAAATTTAAAAAAATTGCAAATCCAACAAAACTTTCTGTGCAACAAGCCCATTAAAAATCGATTTAATTATATTTTTTATTGGAACTCTTAAACTGACTTAGCATATTGAAAGTTGATCGGAGAAATCAATCAATATTTATGCCAAATTTACTGGAACTTCTAAGCGGGAACAAAACTGTTTGTTTGTTTTGATTTTATTTAATCCGCACCAACTTTGGCCCAAAGAAATTGCTCAAGTTTGTTTTTCTTTTCCGCTCCCCCGTTCCCCGCTATCCGCTTTGATCTGGACCAGAACGCACCGATAGCGAGATAGTCGTCACTTGGTCCACGCGCAGCCTGCCGCCGGATCTGGAAGTGGGTGCGGCCAGCGTGGTGGAGTACGGTCGGCTGGTGGCCGGCCAGGCCAGGCTCACCCAATACGCCCGTGGCACGGCCACCAAGTTCGTGGACGGTGGTCGCAAGCAGGCCACGCAGTTCATCCACAGGGTATGCCAGAGAACTTAACCGAAATCAGTGGGTCGATTTTATTCTGGATTTCAATTAATATATCCGGTTAGAATATTTATGTTGATTATTAAACACCAGAGGCAGTTAGATATTTTAGATTTTTACTTACCAATTCCTTTATGTTAATCAAAAGGCTACATTCCGCAAATTACAACATTACTCTGGTAATTGAAATAGGTAATTCCTATGTTTCGTTACTTTATCATAAGTTGTATTTTCACTACACATCAAAAAGATCAGGCTCTTGTTAATCTAACGATTATCTAGCTTGTTATATTCCCAAAATTTTAGATTCTTGCTATGTAAGTTAAATAGTTTTTTTTTATTTTACCAAAGATTCGAGGCAATAAAAATCTTCGAAAGACTAAATAATTAAGTTTGCCAATTAAAGAGGTTTTAATAAAAAGATTAAAATGTGAACACCATTATAGACAATAAATAGAGATAGGGAGAGTGAAAATACATACTAAATAAGTCTGTCTGGCTGTTATAGTGTTTTTGTATATTGAATTGACTTGGAAATCTGGTGCCTAATCTGCCTAATCAACACTCAAATGGTTATCGTTCATTGAACTTTAAGTGGATTGGCATAAATAAAATAGGACCTTACATTAGTTTTGCAAATACGTTCAGCCTTTTATTGCGAAGTAAGCAATATAAGCTTATAAAATTGAACATCCAAGAATCGACCCACCCCGAAATTGGTGAATAGAGATTAGAAAGAGGAACTGAACGTTTACTCCGATTAGGTGACGCTTAGCAATCTGGAGCCGAACGCCACGTATGCCTACCATTGCGGCAGTGCCTTTGGCTGGTCGGCGATCTTCCAGTTTCGCACGGTACCGTCCGCATCCGTCGACTGGTCGCCATCGCTGGCGATCTACGGGGATATGGGCAACGAGAACGCCCAGTCCCTGGCCCGATTGCAGGAGGAGACGCAGCGCGGCATGTACGATGCCATCATCCATGTGGGCGATTTCGCCTACGACATGAACTCGAATAACGCGCGTGTGGGGGATGAGTTTATGCGGCAGATCGAAACGGTGGCCGCCTACCTGCCATACATGGTGGTGCCCGGCAATCATGAGGAAAAGTTGTGAGTAGACAGTGGCCGTCGGAGTAGAGTAGTTCCCAGGAGAAGGCTCTAATCGTTCGTGTTGCAGCAACTTCTCAAACTATCGCGCCCGCTTCAGCATGCCGGGTGGCACGGACAACCTGTTCTACAGCTTCGACCTGGGACCCGTTCACTTTGTGGCCATCAGCACGGAGGTCTACTACTTTCTCAACTATGGCCTGAAGCCGCTGGTCTTTCAGTTCGACTGGCTGCGCGAAGACCTGGCCAAGGCCAATCTGCCAGAGAATCGGGAGAAGCGGCCATGGATTATCATCTACGGCCACCGGCCCATGTATTGCAGCAACGAGAACGACAACGACTGCACCCACTCGGAGACCCTCACCCGGGTGGGCTGGCCCTTCGTCCACATGTTCGGATTGGAACCGCTGCTCTACGAGTTCGGCGTGGACGTGGCCATCTGGGCGCACGAGCACTCCTACGAGCGACTCTGGCCCATTTACGATTACGAGGTGCGCAATGGGACGCTGAAGGATTCGCCGTACGAGGATCCCCGTGCGCCTGTGCACATCGTCACGGGATCCGCCGGCTGCAAGGAGGGAAGAGAGCCGTTTAAGGGCAAGATACCCGAGTGGAGCGCGTTTCATAGCCAGGATTACGGCTATACGCGGCTCAAGGCACACAATCGCACCCACCTACACTTCGAGCAGGTGTCGGACGACCAGAACGGCGCCATTATCGATGACTTTTGGTTGGTGAAATCCAAGCACGGCAGCTACCAGAATTAAAGAAGATCCGACCCGAACAAATCCAAGCTAAAGGAGTCTCCAGGCATTTCACGCATCAATAGAAACTGGCAGTATTAGTAGCGCACATTCGCCTCGACCTGATTCGCTCACAAACTATAGCAATTAAGCGTGGCACATTCCTTATCCAAAAATCAGCCCAAAACAAACAAACTACAGTTTTTACTTAGCCAATTTTACAATCTCAGCATTTACACATTATAATGCGCCTTTAAGTGCATTTAACTTGAAGCTGCATACTAAGCAAATTCGAAGTACCCTGAATTTATGCTTAGTTTCTTATATGTTTTGTATGCAACTTCAAGATTAACAACTGGTACTCGGCTTCAAACATTCTTGTGTTTAGATTTATTGTCAGTATCACATCGACGGTTGCAAAACAACGTGGTATCCAAAATCAGAAAATATAATATCCGGTTTTACTGACACATTACTATTTTAACTATTTGTCCACCAATAGCTTAAATGCGTACGTATTTTTTCACTGACTAATCCATTTTATAATGACTATGTCTTAGTCTAAGACTTATTTTAAAATTGTTTCTTTTAAATAATTTATGTTTGGTAAAACATAAATATTGGCTTAAGATATGTATTCCTTGGAATATTTTCATTGCACAATATTATGAAAATTTCGTTTTTCTACCCCAAATTATAACATTCCCTAAAATTACGCCTTACATCCGTAAAATCCGAGTACCGGGGGTATTTATAGTCCAGGCACTCCGACTATATACTAATTGTTGTTTAAATACTAAGTATCTTCACAATAAATGGCGCGAACTATCAATTATTATTATTAATGGGTAAATACATGACGGAGTTTAGTTTAGTTAGTTTAGTTTTCGGGGAGTAGAATAGAAAGCACTGACGCTTTCAATTCCAAAGAAAAAATATATGTAAAATTTTCCTATCAGTTACAAAAATGTAATATATTACTGATGGTATTTATTTGTTGGTTTTGAGTTGTTGGTTCATTGGCTCAGTTTGCCGGTTTTGTTGGCAAAGAATGGTTGTATCCAAAGTGCTTAACCCCAAGTTAATCAGTGTGCTCCTGCAGAAACCGTGCTCGACATTGTCGTCACCTGGAACACGCGCGACAACACCAACGAATCGATCTGTGAGTTCGGCATCGATGGACTGCAGCAAAGGGCGAAGGCGGCGCAGATGCCCACGAAATTCGTGGACGGCGGAGCCAAGAAGGCCACCCAGTACATCCATCGTGTGAGTAACTCGCGCACCAAGAGCCCCTATTGAAACCATCTAGCCTCAAGTGTTTTAATCTGACATCTCTGTTACGATCCTCATTATTGTTAAACTGACTACTTTCTTTTACAAATTTGTATTGGGATGCTCTATTTCCCATAACTTTGACTAGTAGCGGATTTTAATTGAAAAAAAAACATGTTTTAATTATTAATTGTTTGTATTAGAAGTATTTTAAAAGGCATTTACTTATCAAGCATTGAAAACATAACATTTTTTTAATATGTTCAAATTACCCACATTATCCTCCAATGAGGCATTAGTCTTGAATGCTAAATTAAATAGTTAGAATATGTGAAAAAGGCTGCGATGAAGAGTGATGAAGGCTCTTTCCTTGGAACACTATCGACACATCCAACATCAACCCCGAACTTATCCGATCGCAGGTGACGCTGGCCCACCTGAAGCCCAATACCACCTACCTCTACCACTGCGGCAGTGACTTGGGTTGGTCCGCCACCTATTGGTTCCGGACGCGCTTCGACCACGGCGACTGGTCGCCCTCGTTGGCCATCTACGGGGACATGGGTGTGGTCAATGCCGCATCCCTTCCTGCGCTGCAGCGGGAAACGCAGCGCGGCCAGTACGACGCCATCATCCACGTGGGAGACTTCGCCTACGACATGGACTCGGAGAACGGAGAGGTGGGCGACGAGTTCATGCGCCAGGTGGAGACCATAGCCGCCTACGTTCCTTATATGGTGTGCGTGGGCAACCACGAGGAGAAGTAGTAAGTGGCCGACCAAAAGCCAAGGATAACGTCTAAACATTGGGGGCCATTTCGTCATTTTCTTTTTTCTGGGACAATATTCCAGGAATTCGTCAATTATTAATTTTAATTTTTTTTGCAAATCTTTCTTTTTTTGCATTCTTAAAGCATAGTTTTCCTTTTTCGTGACTTTCTTATTATTGAACAGGAGTTTTTGGAGAAGAAAACAAATTAGCAGCTTTTAGAGTTAAACCTATCATCATATTTTAATTTAAAATTAGCCAGAAACAAAATATCTGAATAACATTAGCCATTAAAAACACTTTTTTGTAAAAATGTGTATCAGACAGGTTTTCATTAATATTTTTTATTGTAAATATGATTTCTTTAACTAATGGACGAATTTCTGCGAATATGTATGGTGACCAGCTACTCTAATACTAGGATTTTCCCATTTGATCCCACAGCAACTTCTCGCATTACATCAATCGCTTCAGCATGCCGGGTGGATCAGAAAACATGTTCTATAGCTTTGACCTGGGTCCAGTGCATTTCATCGGTTTCAGTACGGAGGTCTACTATTTCACGCAGTTCGGGATCAAGCAGATAGTGATGCAGTATGAATGGCTGGAGCGGGATTTGATCGAGGCTAACAAACCAGAGAACCGGAAGCAGCGCCCGTGGATCATCACCTATGGACATCGACCCATGTACTGCAGCAATGACAACGGAGACGACTGCGCCAACCACGAAACCATTGTGCGGAAGGGACTGCCCATGCTGGACTTCTTCGGACTGGAGCCGCTCTTCTATCAGTACGGCGTGGATGTGGAGTTGTGGGCCCACGAGCACTGCTACGAGCGCATGTGGCCCATGTACAACTATACTGTGCTTAACGGATCGCTGGCCGAGCCTTATGTGAATCCCGGTGCCCCGATCCACATTATTTCGGGGGCTGCCGGCAACCACGAGGGCAGAGAGCCGTTCTTCAAGCGCATGCCTCCGTGGAGCGCCTTTCACAGCCAGGACTTTGGGTACCTCCGACTCAAGGCCCACAACCGCACGCATCTGTATTTCGAGCAGGTGTCCGATGACAAAAAGGGCGAGGTCATAGACCGCTTCTGGGTGATCAAGGACAAGCATGGACCATACGACCCCATTTCCACCTCTGATCTCAACTGAAAACTTTGTGATAATGTAGTATTCGAAATCAGTCACAATAACGTATGGCGGCTGTCTCTTTTCCAGTAAGCGGACCAAGAAACCACCGTTATGTGTACTTAACGGCCTATATATCTTTTAAAAATAAATATGACTATATATCCTTACCAAATGTAATCGTAATTTACACAAATCAAATAAACCACCTATGAGTGAGAATGATTGCTATAATGTTGCATTTTATATTTCAAAAGTATTGCGACAAACATTTCACTACTTTAGGGCAAATGGATTGGGCTAGGGAGTACAGTAGATAATCTCATGTTTGGTTTGAAAGTAACCTTGTTGGCTTGGATTTATTACACTTAAATATAGTTGTTATTTTGCTTTCATAATTCTCAATAATTTGGAAACCTTTCAGACTGTAATTTGAATCCTTAAGTTTTTGGAATACATTTTGACACATCCCACAAAAGCTAAGGATATAATAAAACCTTAGTGCATTGCAAAATATAACCTCAGATTGTGAATTTCATTACAGACAACCTCTGTGATATTATGGTGACCTGGTCGACGCGTGGCTCCCCCAACGCTTCGGTGGTGAACTTTGCCCGGAACTATCTCACCGACAAGCTGACCACGGTGAACGGCACCTGGAAGCGATTCGTGGACGGCGGAAAGAAGGCTCGCACCCAGTTTATACACAATGTAGAGCTCAAGGATCTGGAGCCGGACACGCGGTACGAGTACAGCTGCGGCAGTCCGCTGGGCTGGTCGTCGGTGTTCAGTTTCAAAACGCCACCGGCGGGCGAGAAGTGGTCACCGTCTTTGGCCATCTTTGGGGACATGGGCAACGAGAATGCCCAGTCGCTGGGCCGGCTTCAGCAAGACACGGAACGAGGGATGTACGATGCCATCATCCATGTGGGAGACTTCGCCTACGACATGGACACTTCGAACGCGGCCGTGGGCGATGCCTTTATGCGCCAAATTGAGTCAGTGGCTGCCTATGTGCCGTACATGGTCTGTCCGGGCAATCACGAGGAGAAGTAGTGAGTAGTGGATCTTCAAGATGGCTCTTCTCATTACTTACTTACGTTTTTTCCCACAGCAACTTCTCCAACTATCGCGCCCGCTTCAACATGCCCGGCGAGACGGACAGCCTGTGGTACAGCTTTAACCTGGGGCCCGTGCACTTCGTCTCCATCTCCACGGAGGTCTACTACTTCCTCAGCTATGGCTTCAAGCTGCTGACCAAGCAGTTTGAGTGGCTGGAGCGTGACCTGGCCGAGGCAAATCTGCCCGAGAACCGTGCCAAGCGCCCGTGGATCATCACCTACGGCCATCGACCGATGTACTGCAGCGACGACAAGGAGTACGATTGCAACGCCGAGTTGGAGACGTACATCCGCCAGGGTCTGCCCATGCTCAAGTGGTTCGGCCTGGAGGATCTTTTCTTCAAGCATGGCGTCGATGTGGAGATCTTCGCGCATGAGCATTTCTACACACGCCTCTGGCCAATTTACAACTACAAGGTGTACAATGGCAGTGCCGAGGCTCCATACACAAATCCCAAGGCACCTATCCAAATCATTACCGGCTCTGCCGGCTGCAAGGAGGAGCGGGAGCCCTTCTCACACGCTCTGCCGGCTTGGAACGCCTTCCACAGCAACGTAAGTCAATCTACTGTCACAAGGATAATGGATAATGGGATGGCAAGGTGCATTGGCCATTACATTAAAAACCAGGCACAGAAGTAAAGTGCGATTTTTTCCTAGATACACAGATAAAGCATGTGTTTTTAAAGAATTCCCTTCTAATTAAAGATCTAATCACAATAAGTGAACTAAAAATACTAAAAAAATAATTTAATTTGTAAAAAAGTTATTATTTGAAAGTATCCAGTTTCGAATTATTCGTTTACATCTCAATGGTACTCCTAAAACAAAGCATAAGTGAAATTAGTAATTTTCTTTACAAATACCTAAGCAATCGTCTATCTCTATGTAATAGAGATATTGTTTCGACTTTGACTAAACAACGTATTCCATCAAATTGTGTATATGTCGTTATATTTTACTTCAACTTTTATATAGAGTATAAATCTAAGATTTAGATTTTTAGACGTGCAATATTTAATTCCCTTCCTAATAGTAAGACGATAATAATGAGACTCTAACCTTTGCAGGACTACGGGTACACCCGCCTGAAGGCCCACAACGGCACCCATCTGCACTTTGAGCAGGTGTCCGATGACCAAGACGGCGCCATCGTAGACTCCTTCTGGGTGATCAAGGACAGCCATGGCTCCTACCCGCCCCCTCAGTGATATTAAATCCGTTCTACTTAAATGCGACTTGTGTTTTTTATAGCATCTTTTAATAAAAATAAAGTTAGAAAAAAATATCGAAGAAAAAAAAATAAATTCCACTAGCTTAGATCTTGAACGTTGCGTTACGCTTGGCAGCTCCGTCTAGTAGACAGTGCCCGAGATGCCGGAGCCGTAGTTGTAGCCGGATCCGATGGGCGGCACTCCGCCCAAGGCGCCCAGTCCGCCGCCCACCACGCTGTTCCCGTAGTTGCTCGTGTAGTAGCTGGACGGGTATCCGCCGGCTCCGAACCGGGTGTTGTAGTACGGATAACCAGTGCCGGCTCCAGCGCCCAGCCTGCCGTTGTAGTAGGATAGCGCATAGGGATTGGAGTTGTAGGAACCGGCGTAGCCTCCCAGTCCCGATCCATAGCCACCCAGGGCAGAGCCATAGCCGCCCAGACCGGATCCGTAGCCACCAAGAGCGGATCCATAGCCACCATATCCGGCCACTGCAGCGCCATCTGAGGAGGAGGACAGTGGAGGTTAGTAGGCGTCCCCGGCTGGAAGTGTCTTCGTCCCGCGCTCACCCTCACCTAATCCACCCAGCGAACGCGAGCCATACGGATTGTAGTAGCTGTCCACTCCGACGCCAGCGCCACTGCCGTAGGCTCCTCCGTATCCCGCTCCCAGGCCGGAGCCATAGCCTCCGTAGCCTGCGCCATATCCCCCGCCGTAGCCTCCGTATCCGCCGTATCCTGCTCCGTAGCCACCATATCCACCAACATACCGCTTCTCCTGTTTCTTATCCTGCAGCGGCGCATAGCTGCTGGCGGCGCCTACCTGATCCTCCACTGCCACCGCTGCGGGAGCCGATGCCGAAGCAACCTGCTCCAGGTCAGCCTCCGCCGCGTCCTGGGCCCAAGCACTCAGCACTAGGCTGGTCGCTATCAGGATGAACTACACGATCACACCAAAGGGGATTATTATTACTATGGGGAATGCCTTTTTCTTAGAGTATAACTATTCGTAACAGAAAATTAATATTTATTTTTAAAAAGTGGAAAGGTCGCAAAAAAACAAAATAATTTACAGAACTTTATATAAATAATTATACCCCTACAATTTATTAAAAAAAAATAGGAATTTGTTACACTTTTAAACGAATTCAATATATCATTTAAAATTAGACAGTTTATAGTGAAATAAAGTGACTATATTTTTAGTAATATTCAATTTAACTTTTTTCAAAAGAACTATTTTTGATGATCCATATTTTTTTATTTTTATGATTAATTTTTAGCTCTGGCCTTGCTAGTTCACTTATAACAAAGGAAAGACAAATTTAAACCAAGAACTTAAAGCTTTTAATGCACATCCTTACTCTATTATTCAACACTTGATTATTTAAAAAAAAAATTGTTAATAAATTTAAAAAAAAACAAGAGAGAACGCTATAGTCGGGTGCCCCGACTATCAGATACCCGTTACTCAGGTAAAGGGAGAGCGAGGGAGATGGAGATAGAAACTTTGATCACGCATAACTTTTTAACGAATGGTCCGATTTGAAAAATTTCTTCTACATTTCGATAGGTATTGATAAACACAATAAAACTGCATTTTTACTTTTCCGAAATATTTAAATTTTTAAAATCGTATATAAGCGATTGTGGGCGTTAAAGGGGGCGTGGCACCTTTTTGAAACAAACTTGCGCTGCGTAGGAACTCCTAGAATCTGCATGCAAAATGCCAATCTTCTAGCTTTTATAGTTTCCGAGATCTCAGCGTTCATACGGACAGACAGACAGACAGACGGACAGACAGACGGACAGACGGACAGACGGACAGACGGACAGACGGACAGACGGACATGGCTATATCGACTCGGCTAGTGACCCTGATCAAGAATATATATACTTTATAGGGTCGGAAACGCTTCCTTCTAGCTGTTACATACTTTTGCACGAATACAATATACCCTTTTACTCTACGAGTAACGGGTATAATTAGAACCACACTTGATTATTTAAAAGAGCTTAGAAGTTGTTTAAAATAGTTTTGTTTCAAAATGTTAAGCACTGTATCAAACTGATTTTTCCAATATTTTCTATCAACATAAATAGTCTAAGGGAAGTAATCCAAGCTCCTCCTTACAAAGCACTTCATGTTGTGGTGGCCTGTTTGTGGTGTACACTGCTTGCTGGTGGCTTACTGCTCCTCTAAGACTCTGTTGCGCACGCGCAGCTCGACACTTGTCTAATGATCCCACTGCCGGCCCAGCACTCGCTTTTATACCCATCGATCTCAATCCCAGCCAGAGAGCGACCAGCGAAGTTGGAGCCCAGTGCCTCAGACTTGTGCTGCATCGATCTCATCTCATCTTTCAGCTTTGTCTTGTCTTGTCATTAATGACGCATGCCACGAGCCACTGGTCAAATTATATGGTTAAGGGTCTTGGCTTAATCATACAGCTTTTAACTTTTCAGAGTGGTAAATATTCTAATATAATATTCGGCCTGGAAGACTTAAAACGTTTTAAAATTAATTATTCAACAGAATTAAAAAGTTTATAAACCCGAGGAAAAAAGGCATTATTGTTCAGCATTGTATTAAACTTCAAGTGCATCGATTTATGTCGGAATATCAACCTATATTGATATCAAAATTATAACCATTCAGATATTATCGTAATTATTCATATGATTTATATTCAAAGTACTTGAAATATATATCCACCATATACATTTATTTAATACATAAATAAATCCATATAAAAAGACCTTTCTGTGGATTACCGATCAGTTTTTTAACGTATTTTATACGTTAAGTAAGATTTGTATGACTTTGTGCTCAGTAAATTAGGATAACAAGTGTTTTTTTTTAGTATAACATAAATTTATTTAAAAGTTGATCAACCAACTTTAGCCATTAAGTTGATACGATGGGTATAATGAGAAACAGATAAGATGAATACATTACAGGGACTAATAAGTAATATATAAAAATAAAACATTAATACATGGAGTTTTATAAATTCTGGATCCTCCTTCTAAACACTCCCGCTATATTGATCTATATATTAGGCTATAAGGGCGTGTGGCCGATCATACATCATTATAAATATTCCCACGATCTGCGGTTCAATTATACCGCACAGCAGAGTAGTAACAATAACAATGATGACAAATGCTAATTGAATCATTAACTTGACCCTGGAACTGGTAATTGGCCAACATTAAACACAAAATAGCAAGCCCCACAACACTAAACACGAAAAACACCGATCATCCAAGTCCAGTTGAACGATTTAGTTAGATAAATATTGAGGCTAGTACGTGACTCATTTCGAGAGTCTCAACGCAGTTCAGACAGGGTTGGGTTTTCACTTTCCAGGCATTATTTTGGCCAACTGAAATTTCGGTTGAGGCAGCAGAAGCACAAACATCAAAGAGAAACCCAAACGGATCTAAATGTTTGATTTTTGGCAACAAAGGTGGCAATTGTCAATTGCTGGTGGTGTCCACTTAGAGAGTTTTGGCCAAGAGCTTTGCACTCCATCTAAGCCTAAGTATCCCCATTCCACTCTCCACAGGTGACACATTTCCAAAATCTAACGGCCCGACGTGATACTTTTAGATGGGTTGAATGACTGCTAGGATAAGCTTGCCAAAAGATTAAGAAAACTAGCAGTATTAAAAGAATAATTTAGGACTACAACACGTTTATAACTTTTCAATATTTATTATACCTTGTAATCGTGAAGTACAATACCTTAATGTTTAAACCAAAAAACTAGAAAACTAAAGTTCATATATATATATTTTAGATAGAAATGGGATCTAGTAAGTCCCATCAAATCAAATAAGTGTACAAAAATCATTAAATCAGCTACTTAATCGAAGCATAAAATGGATTTCCCCAGCAAAGAAGCCAAAATCGACCACCTAGTTACAGATGCAGACATATGTGCCAATAGTATGGCGATACTCATCCATAGATATGTATCCACAGATATGTCAAATAGTTGTCGATGCTATAGCCTTTGCTGTTGTTGTTGTTGTGGTTGTCAGTGGTCGGTTGTCGGTGTCATGACGCCCCCATATGAGTGGGACCACATTGTTCGACCCGCCGGGCATGTGAAAAGTGTTAACTGACTGGAAGCTCTGAGGCAACGACTGCGATGACTTGACTTGGCCATGGGTGTACTCCGACGATGGCCTGGGAGTTTTTTACCCCACTGAGACAATGATTCTTTAATGCCGAGGCCTAAAAGCCTATTACACGGGCAGCCCGTGAATCTCTCGGTAAGTGGTAGCCTCCAAAGCAAAATCCCCATTTCTTGGGCACCGCACATACGTTGCGTATGTAAATACCACAATCAATCGAGAAAAAGGAGTTGCAAATCGCATAGAAAAAATATTTTCAAAACATTTAGAGATTTAACTAGCTCTTATAAAGATGTAACTGATAAAAAATAAAATAAAATACAAAACTCCTGAAACTGAGCTTATTTTGTATTAACTTTTCAACTGATGTGAAGTTATATTATGTATGTTTATATATGTTTTTATATTCAACTTATGCCACCACTAGAAATTTGTGTAATCATTTTCCAAAACTTGATATTAGGGGGTTAAATTATTACATAAGATTTATAAGTATCCAATTTTAATTCCCAATTATACAAAACGTTTCAGAAAGTTCAAATTTAAATATTGATCGTATTTGAGGGAATATTGACCTTTTTCTTGCTGTGCGTTCGAAGGGAAGAATCAAACCCAAGATTAAACAGCTAACATTTTCCTGGGGCGTTGCCATAATTCGTTGTTCTAATTTGCAAAAGCGAATCACGCTCAGCAGCAACAGCAATCTTGCATCATTCATGCCAGTCGCACGCCCACCAATTATATTTACAAACAGATTTAATTATAATTGAACAACGGGCCTGTTAGCTGAAAACTAAAACGAACCAAATGAAACGAAACCGCAAGCAAGGTACACCGAGCAAATGAAGCTGAAAATGATGATTGTGATGATGAGAACTGGGAGGAGTGGAAGTGGGTGGCCACTCCGCCACAGAGCTACAAATCTCAGCCAGGGAGACAATGGAGGCGACAATCTAACCCAAGCCCAACAAAGCAAAACAAAACAAAACGAAACAAAACCATGGCCTTTTCCGTTGAACTTGCACTTTGCATAATTGCATATTACCATCAGCCGAGACCAAGAATACTTCACACGATTATCCATGTGCATTGTGCGAATCCCCAAAGCCAAAGTAAATCCCTGAAGCGGTGACCACCCCTCATGGTTCTCCGACCTTGGCATTAGAACCCGAATCTGAGAAACCATGGAGACCATGACAACCTTTAAGAATACCAAGGGACTCAAGAAGGGCGATTCAGCTAAGACCGAAATCAAATTTCCCAATGGCCAGAGCCCATGTCATCTACATATGTAGTTTATTATTTTAAGCCCAATGCACTCGAAAGCTCAGAATATGTAATAACGCAGTATATATTACATGTGTTTACGTTCGACTTGACTCTAAGATCAGTATAAACTATGACCTTCATTTGCACTTATTATTCCAAATCCCAGTTCTAACTTATTGTGATGAATGGTCAAACGTAGTATTTTGTATACATTTTTAATATATCATTGCATTTTCGTTAAATGAGGTCCTTGGTTTTCTTAATCATTTTATGAAATCCAGAATAAAAATCTAATAGCTTATGACCGGCTATGACCACACCTGATTTGCCCAAGAATGGAGCACCCGCTATCCGCTTTTTTGGGATCTTTAGAAATAATTTGACAATACACGAAAACAAGGTCCATCCTTGTGTGGCGTGTTCAACAATAAATAAAAAAAAAGAAACCATATTTTAAAGGCGGCTAGCTGATTTCCGTTTGCAGAGAAAATGTGTGATGTTTTGGGCGAAATATTAATATCCATCCATTTTAATCACAATTCAACACCCGCCTGCTTTGGAGGCAATGGTAATTCAATTTGCATGCTACTTGCGAGTAGAGTGGTAACTTAACTTAAGCCACAAAAAAACAACAAGCCATTAATTTACTATTGCCTACTTTGTTGAGTAGACGCTTCCACAGGCCTACTTAATATTGTTGGCTTTGGGGTCATTTCGAATTAGGATTAGGATCGGATCTCAAAATGAATGAGCTGCAATTGATTAGATGAGTCTCATGAATAACTAGATTCGACATCTCCAATGATGAGTTCCAGTTCTCATTCATTTCGATTGAAAGCGAAACAATGAATAATTGGAAGAGGCTGAAGAGGGGTGCTTGGATGCATGACATATCGATAAATCTCCAGTCAAGGCGTGGGCAAGGCATAAATCGTTGCCCGAGACAATGCCAAGGCACTTTGGTACAAATTTGTAACCCCCCGTTTCCCAGATCACAAACCAATTGAAAAACAGTTTCGATTTGAATGCTGTAAAAAATATACATATACAAATATATACAGGACTGGGTCGCTATATATATCATGTATTCGTGTATATATCAGTTTATTTAGTCTTCTTCAAAAGTTCTTTGGCGAGCTGCCCGCGGAGCTTCCCTCTTGAAATGGCACCTCGCCTAATCTAACTATTTTCTGTAATTTTTTGTTTATTTTACTCTTTTTTTCATTCTTTTCGTTTCATTTGATTATTTTTTTTTTGTACGTTTTCTCATCTTTCGTTTTGTTCTTTTTGTCAATTTTTTCTTTCGATTTGTACAAAGAATAGTGCTGAAAGAAAATTAGGTATAGGTTTTATATATGATTACAATTAAGATAGTATGTGCAACTCTGCTCTGGATCAGTTCTCTGCTCTGCTCTAATGCATGTGCGAGGTGAGACAGAGCGATTGCAGCGCTAGAGCGCGTAGGAGAAAGAGATGGCGCTAATATTGGGGGATAGTGGGTGATTCTGAGAGGGGGATAGTTGCGTTGCCATCGAAATAAGTTCCGTTGACATTTATAGGTTAGTTTTAAATGGTGAATAGTTTGTTTAATGGACATAGTGTGGGTGGGAGGGGATAAGGTGATATTGGCTGGGTAAAAACAACAGAAAGCATGGGGGGAACTGAGTTACAAACTATAACAAAATCAAACAATTTGTCTAGGGCTAACAAAACCAAAAACTTTAGGCTTGTATGTGTAGAAACAGAGATATCGTTCAAAATGCTTAAAATTATAATAAATATTTACGGGTAGGTTCGTGCACACATAGAGAGTAACTTTCTAGGTATACATAACTAACATCGAATAGTGTTTGCATTTCTGCTAGTCGTTCTTAACTATACACATACATAGGTAAAATGTATTGGCGATTTGAACTGAAAATTAAGCTGGGAAAATGCGAGGAATATTAGGTGTTGTGTGGCCCAGCATTGCGTCTAGTGCCAAAAAAAATGGACTTATACATTAATAGGCGTTGATCACAACAGTGCACACACTCCATTCCACCCCCGACAACTTTACAGTACTTTATATCACACATAAATGACTCCCTCTTAATCTGACTGGGAATAGAGTGTTGGCCTGGTTGCAAACCGATTTATCTAGCACTTATTTCTAATATTTGATTTTAGTTGTGGTCTTTGAGGTGTACAAATTATGAAATAAAAAAGGTTTGGTGGGTAAACAAATTATGTTAAGGGAGTGGGTCATAATGGATAGTTGTTATATAGTAATATAGTTTATGCATAATAATAAGAATAATATAAAAATAATCACAGACTCGGATTTGCTGATTGGAATCATTTTTGTTTGTTATTAGTTTTTGCTATTTGTATATTCCACTACGAATGTTCGGTTTGTGGTTTGATCGGTTTGTTTCGACTTAGTTCTTAAAAAGCTAGAATCACTTGGAATAACTTTAGATGTTTTACAGTTATGCTGCCGCACGCTTGTATGTGTGCACGTAGTATAATTGTTTTTTATTAGTCCATATATTATCATATTGTGTATCATTACGATTACTAGAGTTATACGTATACCTATGCATATACGACTTTTTATGCGCTTCCATTTAAATCTTATCATTTTCTAGCTTTACGAACCTCAACAATTACAGGTTTTAGGCATTACAGGTTTTTAGGACCCTTGTTACATAAATAGTTAAATTTATATATCTGTGTTGTCACGTGAATAAAAGTTACAATTACATTAATGCAAAGTCAAGCTCAAGTATGGACTTGCTTGGACCAAATCTGATGCTAGGGCATTGGGATTCGATTCAATTAGATTATAATAGAGCGGTATTAGTACATATCATGTCATATAGGTTTGCTATATTCCTATGCCTGGCCTTGGCCTTTTCTTTATCTATTTCTCTTACGCTTTTGTTACAATACAAATGACTCATATTAACATATAAATGAGCTTATTAATACAATTAGAGTTCCTGGATATTATTATTCTCTGAAAAAAATTGCAAAGTACAACGCTTGGTATATATGTTGTTGTCCAATTACAAATATTGTTGCAGATTTTTCGAGGATTTAAGTATGTATCTTTTAGTAGGAGTGGCAATAATTTAACAATCTCTTTATCCTAGGCATTTCACATTATTTCAGATGCGAATAATCTAAATGGAGTTATGGCTGTTTTTCTAGATCGGATAATGTTCTCAGCTTTCATAGGGATCGATGTGTACATTTAGGGGACTGTGGTACGTTTACATAAATGTGACTAAGCGAATATTGTGTGGTATGTACATTTACTTAAAAGCTAAAGTATCTTTCTTGAATCAATAATGCGGTACACCCTCGAAAATTTCTTTCGCTCATTACTCTTGAACTGGCCCGTGTGTTATGTGGGGTGTGTCATATTTTATACGCTATACTATTGTATGGTTTGATCTTTCTGCATTTCCAATTATTGGTACCATTCTATGTGTCTGCGTTTTCTCAGGCCATTATGGTATTGCTTTTTGTGTACATATAAGTAATATGCTACAATATTTCAAGTTTATTTGTTAAACTAGTTCACAAACATAGATTTGTATATGGTTAATATTAGTTATATAAAAGAACACAATAGGACAGACATTCATGTACAATTAACAGGGCACAATTTAAAAAATAATTCATAAAAAATATCTGGGTCAAGGTCATTTCAATACAAGGTAAATTTCTCAGAAGCATTTGCGTTTATATTCTTTTTGTGTTTTTTTAATTTTCTCTACTTCAACAAAATCTTTTAGAACCATTCTAAAAAAAAGACCCTCACTTAAAACTAAATTGAAGTATTTATAAATATATATAGCTATGTAAATATATTTGAATTGATTACATTGCAAGCACATAAAACTGCATTTTTGGGTCTAGTGTTGTTGTTATGATTGGGGTATTTGTTTTGTTGTCCAGGTCAAGCTTTAAGCATCCCACTTAATTCTAAATTTAAATACAAATTGCGGTTAAGAAAACGAAGCACGTTTTAGTCATTGATAAGAATTGTACACTTACAGCTAAATGGATATATATATGTATACCGTATGGAGTACGGTGTAGACACCAGTACTCATACTCACCAAAGACAATGACATATACATATATATAAGCCGCTATTTATATAGACGTTAGGTATACAAGTCTACAGATCAACCAGTTGCAACTTTATAACTTAAAGCTTAAGTTTTTTCTTACTCTTCTACGCCTTCTCAACGTCGTAAATCTTTTATCCACAATAAAGATAATCGATATAAAAATGTTTAGCTTAAACTATTTCTTTTTATCAATCATGCTTGAGTACGATGCGGGCGGGCGCCTTGGAGCGCTGCTTGTGGCTGCTCCCGCCGCCTCCAGCACTGCTTCCTCCCGAGGAGGCCTGCCGCTTCTCCAGTCGATCGAATATCCCTCCTCCAGTTCCTGAGCTGCTGCCTCCTCCACCTCCTCCTGCGCTACTTTTCCGCTGCAGTGCGTTCTCCTCCCGCTGTCTCCTTTCCCGCTGCCGGCCGCCGTGCGATGACTGCTGCTGATCTCCTCCGCTGCTGCCATTGCTGGTGGGCTTTATCACCACCCGCCGCTGGCTGGAACTAAAGCTGGGCGCTGATGTCGAGCTGCCGCCGCGCATTACCTTGTGGTTTCGCTTGACTACCAATAACTCTGGCGTGGCCGATCGCTTGCTGCTTGCCTTTTGCGGCGGAGGCGACGGTGTGGCCAACAAACGATCCTCCTCGTCCAGCAGCAGGTCATCGTCATCATAATCCAGCTCCACTTCATCGTCACTGGGCGTGCCTAGGCGGAGCATATCGCGTGGCTTTGGCGGAGTGCCCCCAGCCGCAGCTCCTGCTCCGCCACCGTTTCCCCCTACCGTTCTCGCCGGCACCGCCGCAGTCACCTGCTGCTGTTGCTGATGATGCTGCTGCTGCTTGGATGAGGGAGCCAGGTGCTCGGTTATACTGCGCTTGGCCTCCGGCGCTATCTTTGCCGCCGTCAGTTGCTTGCGCGCCGGCTGCTGATGCTGCTGGCCTTGTGTTGCCTGAGCATTGGGCTGCGATTGGGACTGCGACGGCGCTTGTCTGTTGCGAATGTTGCCCGCATCCTGGTCATCGCGACGCTTCAATGAGATCACCTTGCGTTCGCCAGGTGGCTGGGCAGGCCGATGTTTCTGCGCAGCAGCTGCCAACACGGCAGATCCTTGTCCAGCGGCCGCCTCCTGGTCGTCGCGGGCTGGCGAATTGTGATGCTCGGCGCGCTTATCCTAGAATGTTTAGGTTGTTTGTGGTTTCTGTTGGATACGCATTGCTAACTACTTACATAATAATAAGGCTGGCTTCGGTAACCGAAGGATCAAATGCCCTTGCGTTAAAAAAAATACCTTCCTGTCTTATATATAAAGTAAATGAAGAAGTCAGAGCAGAATGTCTTGAAATAAGTATATCCATCCTCCGTATTTTTGGTGTTATAATGAACTAATAAAATGAATTGACGTTTATGAAAAACTGCTCCTAGCCGCATATATTTTCTACACATTTTTATTATTTAACAAAATAAGAAAACAAGAAGAATTATGATCTCCTATAAGATACTTCATTACCTCGTAGCTTATGGTAAATTGTCAATGAATTAAGAATTTAGATCCGTCCTATAAACAAGGGTCCCATTCATGATAGAAAATTAAAATTAAAATCCTGAAGCAATCAATTTTCTACCCCTTTTTCGGTTATCAATTAAGTGACAAGTTAACGTACATACCCACTATAAGGGCATCGAAATAGTGTAATAACTTGTATATTAAAGGACTTACCTCGTGTAGTTTCTCCTCGGCCGCGCGCCGACGCTTCAGCTCCTTGTCGCGCATGATCTTCTCACGCAGTTGCTTCTGCTTCTCGATCTCCAGTCGGTAGTTTCGGGTCTCTTCGTCCTCGTCACTCGGCTGCAACCGGAATGGGTTCAAGGACAAAATAAATTAAAAAATAATATAATACGATTTATAGGTGTTAACCTACCATACTGCGGCAGCCTGTTTCTGAGGGCCGGCCGCGGGGCTCCCCGGAGAACGGATTTCGGGCGGTGCCTGCCCCGGCTGAACCACTCCTTCGTCGCTTGGGTGGCACCGCACCACTGGATGCTCCTCCGCCCGCTCCTTGGGCACTGCCTGCGCTCGCTCCGCCACGATTCTCGTCTCGGTCCCGGCTGGATGCTCGTCGGAATCCCCGGTTCGCTGGCGCTCGGTTAGCCCCATATCGTTCACGTTCTCGCTCCCGATCCCGCTCCCTTTCCCGATCCCGCTCGCGCTCTCGTTCCCGATCGCGTTCCCTTTCCATTCGCTTTACAGGGGAGTAGCTGCGGCCACGTGAGCGACTGCGGCTACGGGTTCGTCTCCGCTCGCCTGCCTGTCCAGAGGAGACGGCTCCCGAGTTGGAACCCGCCGACGGGGGCGATCTTTCCATGCGCCGCTTCTCAAAGTACTGTCGGTTCTTGTTGATAAATTCTTCTTGCTGGCGCAGCAGTTCGGCCTCGCTGTTAATGGCGGGCATAAAGTGGGTCTCCTTTATGAACTTGTTGGTGGCCGCCTCGACTCCGCCCTTAAAATTCGGATTGATGAGCACCTTGCTGACCCGCGGCACCGATGACGAACCCTGCTGCTGCGGCGGCCCATTTGGCTGCGGCGGCTGTTGCTGCTGGCCGGAATTGCCGGGCTGCTGTGAAGGATGCCCCGTTTGCTGCGGCGCCGGCTGTTGGTGCTGCTGCTGCTGTGACTGTTGGGGCGGCGGACCCCGTATCCCCATGCCGTTGGCGAAGTTTGGCGGGGCGCCGGGCATCATGTGTAATGGCAGGGTCTGGAGTGGTGGACGCTGCATGCGTGTATTGTCGCTCTGCGGCCGCCAGCCGTTGTGCGGCCGCATGAACTGCGGCGGATGCTGGGCCGGATGGCCCTGATCGTAGCCGTAGGAGGACGGGGTGTTGCGGTAAAGCGGAGGGCGCATGCCCGACTGCTGCTGGTGCGGCGACTGGTGTTGTTGATGCGGCCCAGGCACCGGTCCGGGACCCAGGAGTGCTCCGTTGCGATAGCTGCCGGGATTAGGGGCATACGCCATCGGCGGTGGCTGCAGCAGACCCACACGCACCTGCTCATGTGGATGCGGCAGCAGGTGGGGCGGCACGCCTCCATTCGGGTTGTGACTGTGGTGCATCATGTGCGAATGCGTGGGAGTGTGGAGGGGAGAGGCGGGAGCGCTGTATGGCTGTTGTGTGTTGGTCGGTGCTTGTTGTGGTGACTGGTTGGGTGGCTGAGTTGGCGGGTACTGGCCTGGAATTGGAATGAATGTCGGATTGTTCAGTGTTTGCTGTTGTTGTTGATGGGCTTGATGGTTTGGATGGGCTTGTGGTATAGACAGGGTGAGCGGGGACACGGGAACGGTTAGGGGGAGGAGGCAGGCGGCGGTGGAAGCAGCACCCACTGGCGTGCTCATCAGAGCCAGGTGCTGCGGTGGTGGAGCATTACCCGGCATGGCGTATCGTTGAGGCGGGGGCTGCATTCCGGCCATGCCCATGCGCTGCTGCTGCTGCTGAACGCCAAACATTGGCGAGGGGTTGCGTAGCAGGTGATGACGGCCATGCATAATTCGTCCACCTCCGCCCACGCGAGGCTTATCTGCAATTAAGAAAGATAAGCTTAAGTGAATGAAAAGTGGTTGTCTCGTGCAGAACCAACCTCCATGGCCATGGTGTCGCCTCTGCTGGTGCTGGTAGGGCGACATGTGTGCGTGTTCCTGTTGCTGCCTCATATTGTTGTCGGCCCGCTCGCTGGCCGTCTTGTAGTTGGTGCGCTCCTCGCGCTCTTCTTCGTCCTCGCGTGGATCGGGCAGCTCTGAGATCACGGAGGTGGAGCTGGCACTAGGCAGACTCTCCTGGGAGGAGGCAAGCAGCGAGCACAAGCCCAAGCCCTGCTCGCCCTCGCTCTGGTTTCCCAAGTTCTCAACCGCCTCCTCGCCATTGCCATTGTTTTGGGGAGCTTCTTTTTCTGTAATATCAGCGGGCAAAGCCTCCTCTTTAGGTTGCTGGACTGGCGGATCCACATTCGTAGTGCCTTGAGTGGCTGCCCCCAGCTCATCCACTGTCTTTGCCGGGGCAGCAGGGATTTCAATAGGTTTCGCTACCGTGGGCTGGATGACTGCAGTACCGGGGACAGCGGCTGTGACAGGGGCAGGAGCTGGGGCAGGTGTATAGGTCGTGGGCTCCGGGTAAACCTTTTGAGGAGCGGCCTCAGCTGGAGCTGCTGGCATTGGTGTAACTGCAACTGCTACCGCAGCCGTACCTGCCTGCAACTGCTCCTTGTGCTTGCGCTCGTGCTGTCGAATCTGCTCCTGGGCCCACTCCTCGGCCTCGGCGCGCATCTGCTGCTTCACCTCGCTGGTGACATCTTTTTCGAGCTCTGTTATGGAGATGGGACAATCAGAACACCAAGATCAAACGGCGATCGACTTATGGGGGAAGAACTAGGAGGGCTTACCTTCGTCCGAGAGTAGCAACTCATCCTCGTCGGCTCCGAGCAAAGCCTGGTCATCGATGTCGTCGCCCAGCTCATAGTTGAGCAGGTCATCGCTGCGGGAAAAACAAGGATAAAACCAATGTAAGACTTTTCTCCTTCGAGGGGCCCATTGAAAAAATCTCTCACACAGCCGCACATTCGCAACCACACACATACAGCCGGGGGCATTCACTCACACGCACACCCACACAAACACAACTCGAAAATGTTATACACATGCAGTCCTCCCCCGCGACCATTCTTTCGAGGGTATTTTGGCCCCCTCGAGCACATTACCCCCACGCCATCCCCGCAGCAACCGATCGCAGCAAGGACTTTGGGGCCACAGCCACCCACTTTTTTTCCACCCACTTACTTAATGTCCGACATTTTGCCAGGGCAGCTGTTGACACTCGGCGGCGCGCGCGTGTGTGCGTGCCTGTGTGTGTTATTTAGAGAAGTGGAAGTAGAACAGCGATTTTTACAACATTTTGCCAACTTTCGGGTCGCACGTAGATCGGTAACGCGCGCTTTTTCACTCGAATAATAGCGCACGAAAGATACAAGAAAACTTTGTGTATTTTTCACACGCAGTTTTGCTGACAATTTTTTAGAGGGATGCAATCAGTATGACCGTAGAGGGTAAAGTTGGAACAAAAATCGATGCTTATTCGAAACTATCGGTATTGTTCGTGCAACCATCGATTAATTAATAACATTACACTTAGTGTTGCCAGATCTTGAAACGGCTTTCCCTTCAAATAATCGTGAACAACCGTATTTTCCCCCTAAATTCAAACACACGTTAAAATACCAAGAACAATCGGCAGAAGTATTAAGGTATTTATTATATTATTAACAAATCTATGGAGTGTTAATAATTACATTGTTGAAAATGTTGGTTATTTTTAAGTTTAATAGTATAATTTTTTTTATAAATTTAAACTTTTGTTTGAAATAATAAAAATAAGTATGCAAATTTTGTTTAGCATTCTACGTTTTATAAATTAATTAGAAGGATAACTAGCAGAAAAAACGTAGTTCTTTAAAATCAGATAAATCTTGTACCTGTTATGACGTTCACCAAAAAAGTGTTTTCTTTTAAGAACTTATTGAAAATATATCCCAGTTGCAGAATTTTAAAATTACAATTTATTTTCCGTTAAGCATTTTCATTGATTTGTATCTGCGATATTTTAAATTGTTTTCCCAAAAAGAATAAAAAATGACATATGTCACCCCTTTATGAACTTCTGGATTATAGCATTTATTGTTGCTTATTGTAACTCATTATTAGGATACCCTCCTCTCCTGATCCTTTTCAGAATCGCTGACTGCACAGACGTATCTCTCCTTCCTCGTCCTACTCCAATCCCCGCATGTGTAATCTTGACGAGACGTTGTGCACTGTGCGCTTCGACAGCATAAGAAGAAGCCTGAAGCCCATGGTGAGCTTTTATGCCAACTCCAACTTGCCTAGATGTAGTTAAAGTCCACACAGTCGAGGATCACCTCTCGCATTCGCCTTTTAAAAGTCGCCTCATTCCCGGCGCCCAGGAATCCGGCGCCCTGGAGATCCGTGGTGGCTCCAGCCTCTATTCGCTCGCTGATTGCTTGGAGGTCGGGCACATCCTGGCCTTGCATCGTCACGATGGGTAGGACCATCATGGCGAGAAGCAGGCCCACTGCCGCTTTGGTGGCCACCTGCTCATCGAAGGCAGGGCGGGGCAAAAGTTGCTCGGACTGCTCGTTCAATCTGTAAAAAAGGTGGTTTGTTGAACTCGGGCCAATGATCTCTGACTTAGTGTCTCATACCTGTTAAGATGCTGCCCTAACTCCTCATAGTAGTCCTCTAGCATATCTTTGAAGTACCGCTGCCTAAATCCTCTCGAGGTGCAGGTGAAGAGGAAATAGGATAAATCGGTGACCGGGGAGGCATATCGCATCAGTTGCCAGTCGATCAGACGCACATCCTCCAGCTCTCCCCGTTCGGCTCGCTTGTATAGGATGTTGTTGTTCCAGCAATCGCCATGACAGATGACAGCGAAGGGTTCGCAATTGGATCCGCTGACCAAAGGAAGCAGCAGCTCAAAGTATGATCCCCTGGCGAAGTAATCCTGCAGTCGAACTCTGTAGGAATCATCCTCGGGCGAAAGTAGCGAAGAAAGTGCGCTTCCCTTTAGGTTCTCGAAGTAGACACCCAAAGCATGATCCTCACGTCGCTGCTCAAAGATGTCCACCAGCTGCTGGAGTTTTAGCATCCTTTCAGGAAACTGACGCTTTCCAGCCAGAGAAATTGCGTGTAATTTGGCATAGGATCGGATTACCTGACGCACATGTTCGACGGACAGGTCCGAAAAGCGATCGTGGAGGGAAAACCCGGCGCAAGAAAGATCCTCCAGCACGATGCACTCGTTGGGCTCGTCCTGCCGTGTGCCAAGACAGCGGGCGTGCTGTCGAAAGCTATCCTCCCCGGGGATCTTCCACTTCTTCTGGATCATCTCAGCCAGCGGCAGGAAGACCTCGTAGGCTGCCGTTTCCCGCAGGAAACACGGACGTGCGAAGAATTGCTTGCGACGCACGCGGTTCTGCGGCGGAAGCTTCACCACCAGACTGCGTTTTGATTCAGAGGCCACCTGGAGGCGCCACACCACGCCCAAATAGTTGTCACCCTTGGCACTGGCTCTATTCAAACGGAGCTCAGGATTGGCTCTGAGTTCAGGCCACAGTTGGGTGACCAGGTGCCGCAGGAACTGGGTAACCTGCTCATTGGGAAGGTCCTCTTCTGGGGTAGTAACATCTGCTTCATTCTTTTCAGGTGTATTTTCTAGTTGGTGCTCAATCCTGTCCAGATTCTCCCTATTCTGCTCCTCCCGTAACTCATTTTGGGTGTGACCCCCAATTGGGTCCGGTAGTGAGTCCTGAGAGCATTCTCCTGTCAAATCTTTATCTGCAGCTTGCGCCCTTTGTAATTCTTCCTCCGCTAGATCTTCAAGACTCTTATTTAACTGTTCTTTGTTCTCCGGATTTTCTAGAACATTTTCAATCTTTTTTAAACACCCACCATCACTCTCCAGAACATCTTGGATTGACTGATCTTCCAGATTTAGTACCTCCTCCATCATATTTTCTTCCACCTTATCTTCTTTCTCTAATGGCAGATCTCCAGGCACTTTCTCTGGTTCTGGGGGATTTTTATCTAACTCTCCTATTTCTTTGGGTTGTTCCTCCAGTTCTTCTTCCCCACCTGGATATTTTCTAATGGGTTCCGCATCAATACTTCCCTGTTGACAGTTCTCTTCCTTTAAATCTTTCAATACCTGATCTTCCTCTGAATTTTGATCTTTCAAATTCTCTAGTCCATCATACATTTCTTCCGCTTGCTTCTCCTCCTCCTTACATATCTTTGAGATATCCTCCACTTCTCGTTCAAGTGGCTTCTGATCATCCTCTGGTTTATTTCCCAGATGTTCCTCCAGCTCCTTCTCTTGATCTGTTTCCTCTTCTATAAGTTCCTCTCTCTGATGCTCAGCCTGTTCCTGTTCCTCCTCGAGTTGTTTCTCCTGATTCTCCTCCTCCTCCGGCTCCTCCTCCTGCCTCTCCTCCGGCTCCTCCTCCTGCCTCTCCTCCGGCTCCTCCTTCTGCCTCTCCTCCTGATTCTCTTCCTGTTTCTCCTCTTGCTTTACTTCCTGTTCCTCCTCCTGCTTTTCCTCCTGCTCCACCTCCTGCTGCTTCGCTCTAGGCTGTTCCATTGCACACTACGGAACCGCCCCGATTGTGACCCGTTTATATAACCCTACTGAACCAAACCGCAACGACCGCAAGTCAAATGATGCAGTTACTCAAGTTTCATCCTTCCATCTCGCTCTGATTGCAACAATAGCTATAACAATAGCTGTCCACCACATGGACGCCACGGGTCTTCAAACGCAAAGCAGCTTAAGCCAAGAAAAGGTAGAAGTAAAAAATACCTTTGAATATCTGGAAATATTGCTTCCAGCATATCCTAACATTATAATAATAGAATAGCCCATGGGACCTAAAACAAGGTTTAAGTGTGTAAAGTGTAACATTTATTTGTAATATTTTCATTGTCTCCTATTAATACACATTCATAGTACTTTTCTGCAGCTTAAATATTCTAAAAGATTCATAAAATAAATAAAGGGGGTTTCAACTAAGTTTAAACTGTACACTTTACAGCATTAACACAATAATAGCAAACCTCCTTTTACATTTAAATAATTTTTAATCCATGATTCTAAATATTTTTTAAATTAAAAACCAAAAACATAAAAACCAAAACATTCCAGTAAGGCATCTTCTTAAATCCCTCCAACAAGAATGATATTGAAATCTTTCTTTTATTTTTATTTGAAAATTCGACGATATGGCAGCACCAACAGCCATTTCTCAACACTAGATCGCCAGTGCGTACAACACTAAAAGTACAGTTTGAAATTAACCGGTGCAGTGCAAGTCACTTGGCGTCCATCTTTCTAATTCGAATTTAATATTTTGTTTTTTAAACTGAACTTGTCCCATGAGAGCTATAAAGCCGTAAAAATGATTTTCACCGAGCACAAGGCGAAGATTCTGGCGATGACGGGCAAACACGTGGACGAGCTGCACGAGATGTGGTCTCGCATGTTCGAACCGCAAACCTGCGAGGAGTACCTGATCAGGTTGCAGGATCACGCGCTCAACTTCTACACGGATCTCCTCAGCGAGTCGTACGAGAAGGAGCAAGGGATTATTGGTGAAATAGCAGGTCTGCAGGCGGAGGCCACTGACCTGACGCGCCTGCTTCACGAGAACTTAAACTTGGGTGAACGGCCGCAGGAAATGTCGCTGGTCATCTGGCAGCTAAAGCTGGACAACAGGATTAATCATCTGCGCGAGGAGCTGGCCAGGCGACAGGCGGAGATACGTGAACTCATCCAGCACCAGGAGCGTCTCTGCGAGGAGCTGGGCGAAGTACCGCAGCCACTGCTAGTCGATCCCCTGCCTATGCCCGAGGAAATGGACTCCTTTCGAGATCACCTGGAACAGCTCCGCCATCAGCGAGAGGAGCGACTGAACGAGATACACCAGCTGCGCCAGAGCATCAAGCACAACATGAAGCTACTCGAACTTCATGTCCAAACAAACACCGAAGAGCGGCTGCTGAATCTGGACCGGAAGAACCAGTTCCTGACGCCGGAGGACTTCGAGCGGCTGCGCCTCATGCACACGGAGTACGCCGACCAGGTGAAGGAGATGCACGAGCGGATCGACCAAATGCGCTGCAAGATAGATCTTCTCTGGCAGCGACTAAAGCTCACAGACGAATTTGCCATGCGTCGGGTGCAGGAATCCACGTCGTATAACCAGCGCACCTTCGACATCCTGCGAGAAGAGTTGGAGCGCTGCCAGGCCATGCGGCGCAAGAACCTCAAGACCTTCATCGAGCAGCTGCGCATCGAGATCGAAGAGTGGTGGGATCTCACATTGAAGAGTCCACAGGAGCGGAAGCGCTTCGCCGGCTACTACTGTGATAACCAGAACGAAGATGTTCTGGAGCTACATGAAAAGGAGTTGGACCAACTGAGGAACTACTACAACAGCAATAAAAAGATCTTTGATCTGTATGCCAATCGTGCGGATCTGTGGTCGCGCATGGAGGCACTGGAGGCCAAGGCGAACGACCCGAATCGATTTAACAATCGCGGAGGACAGCTGCTCAAGGAGGAGAAGGAGCGCAAGGCCATGATGACCCGTCTGCCCAAGATCGATCAGCAAATCACAGAGCTGGTTAAGGTCTACATGGCCCAGGCCAACACTCCGTTCCTGGTGAACGGCGAGGACATACTGGAGGTAATGTCGATGGACTGGGAGCGCCACAGTCAGTCCAAGAGGCAGCCATCCGCCCACAAAAAGGACGCGAACACGACGGCCAGCAAAATGAAGCCGCCTTTAGCGCCTCTTACGCCAAATACGCTGAAAGCCAACAGGGGCGTGCACGGATCGTCGTCCTCATTGAAGAAGACCCCGTCAAAGGTGAACTCGAGTGTTGGTACCAAGAGCACGGGGAATCTGCAAAAGAGGCGGCATCCAAACAACGACAAGAGCAGCGGACAGCTGCCAGCTGCGGCCAAGCGAAATCTAATCACGTCGCTGGAGTGCCAGCCAGTCCTGGAAGTAAATGGTCAGAAGCTGCTAAAGTCACCACAGAAGAAGGTACGAGTGCTGGAGTACTCGGTGCGCCGGGGCAAGCCATCCGGGAGGCCCAGCATCGGCAGCAGGAATCACCAGAGGAATCGTCCGATCCCCCAGGTCAATGTGCAGCCTCCGTCCGGCGAGGAGAACGAAAACGAGGACAGCGGCGACCTGGAGGCGTACTCGGCCTATTAGCAGGCAACTTTGGGAGCATACTCTAATCACATCTACATAATTGCAATCGAAATCGGCAACTAATCTGTGTTTTATCTCTACCTGTATTTCTAAAGCTTACATTTTGTAATGAAATGATAATTCGATATACTTATAATCAATGGCTAAATCATTTTCAAACTTTGTGTGCTTTACAAAACTAAGCTATTTTACCTACCTGACTATTTATTTGTCCTCTAAATTGTATCATAATAAATATGTATATATGTATTTTTAAATGGTTTTATTTCGGTTATTATTTTGGACAGTTTTGTTTTTGATAAACATCATATACATTGACTTACATATATGCGTATTTATTATACAAACAACAAACTAATTCTCAGTTGCCATATTACTTTATAAATTTACCGCTCGATTTTATGAAAGTTATAAGATAAAGTCGTCGTTAATATCGTAAATATTAATATTATCGTATATTAATATATCAATATTCATTTTTCCTATAAATTGGCAGCGCTTTTATAGAGTAAGAGGAAAAATTAATTTTGCTGGTTTTTCTTAAAAACTTTTTTTCAGTGTCGAATAGTGTGGATACATTATAAGGTACGATTCAGCCCTGGTTTTGGTATTTTAGTCTGGCACCACATGGTAACACTGGTTCGAAACAGGGTGGCAACATTTTCGGCCGCCATTTCAGTTTAAATTTACCGAAATTTCTGGCGTCATTGTCATTCATTCAGTACTTAGTTTCGTGCAGCGATGCACTCTAAATAAACCCACATCCACATTCCCCGTCCAGTTGCGTACACCTTTGAAAGAAAATTCAATTTTAAAACGGCACGTTTGGAAATTCGTCAGACAGACAATGCTTACAAATAGAGACGGCTCCAAGTGAACACTATTGACAAAAAACAAGCATTTTCCGAGAATTTCAAAAAAACCGAAATCATGAATACTCCGAGTGCTACCGCGGTGAAGGCCCAGATCGTGGAGATGACGGGCGAGCACGTGGACCAGCTGCACGCGATGTGGTCGCACTTGTTCGAGCCCAAGACCTGCGACGAGTTCCTCCACCGGCTGAAAGACCACACTCACAGCTTCTTTACGGATCTGTTGAATGAATCCCGCGAGAAGCAGCAGGCGATCCGCGGCGACATAGACGCCTTACGGGCGGAGGCCTCCGACCTGACGCGTCTGCTCCACGAGCCTGTGGACATCGGCAACCGGCCCGACGACATGCCGCTGGTCATCTGGCAGTTGAAACTGGACAAGAGCATCGACCATCTGCGCGAGGAGCTGGGCAGGCGTCGGGCAGAAATATGCGAGCTACTCCTGCAGCAGGAGCAGCTCTGCGAGGAGCTGGGCGAGCTTCCACAGCCCCTGCTGGCCGATCCACTGCCCCTGCCTGAGGAAATGGACGCCTTCCGCGATCGCCTCGAGCAGCTACGCGATCAGCGAGTGCTGCGCCTTAAGGAGATGGACCAGCTTCGCCAGAGCATCAAGCACGACATGAAGCTGCTGGGTTGCCTTCCCCAGACAGACTCCGAGGAGCGTCTGCTCAACCAGGTTGACCATTGCCTCACGCCAGAGGCCTTTGAGCGGCTGCGCCATATGCAGAAGTCCTTCGACGAACAGGTGAAGGAACTGCGCAAGTGCATCGACGAGATGCGCGACAAGATCCGCGTTCTCTGGGAGCGACTCCAGGAGACGGACGAGTACGCCATGCGTCGCGTGCGTGATTCAACGTCCTATAACCAGCGCACCTACGATATCCTGCGGGAGGAGCTGCAGCGCTGCCAGGCCCTGCGCCGACAGAACCTTAAGACCTTCATCGAGCAGCTGCGCATCGAGATCAAGGAGTGGTGGGATCTCACACTGAAGAGTCCGCAGGAGCGCAAGCGGTTCTCCAACTACTACAACGACTGGTACAATGAGGATCTAATGGAATTGCACGAACTGGAACTGGACGACCTAAAGACCTTCTATAACAACAACAAAGACATATTCGACCTGTATAAGAGTCGGGCTGAGCTCTGGGCGCGCATGGAGGCCCTGGAGGCCAAAGCCAGCGAGCCCAATCGCTTCAACAACCGCGGTGGCCAGTTGCTCAAAGAGGAGAAAGAGCGCAAGGCCATATCGTCCAAATTGCCCAAGATTGAGCAGCAGATCACGGAACTGGTGCATGCATACGAGGCCCAGGAGAACACGGCCTTCCTAGTGCACGGCGAAAACATTCTCGAGCTGATGGCCGCCGACTGGGAGCGCCTTCGCCAGGCCAAGCAGCAACAGTCGGCCCGCAAGAAGGCTCCGGCGTCAGCCAACAAGAATATGCCGCCACCCGCTCCGGGATCAACGGCTCCTCGCACGCCGCGCACTCTGCGCAACATGTCGACCTTCTCCAGCTCCACTATGTCGCTGCGCAAGACGCCCTCGCAGCAGCACCTGCGCCCGCTGAACGTTACCAAAAGCACGGGCAACCTGCACAAACGCCTGAATCCATCCAACCTGCAGACGGGCCCCAAGACGCCGAACGCCAAGCGCAGCTTAATGAACACGCTGAACTCCATGAAGACGCCGACCCACCGCTTGCTCGCCGGCGCCCAACATAACCAGGTGAAGCCCACCAAGTCGCCGCTAAAGCGAGTGCGGGTGCTGGACAACACACTGCGACGCAGCGGCGGAATGGGCAGGCGCAGCATTGGTACGCGCTCAAGCAAAAAGCCCCGCACCAAGTCCACGGACCAGGACCCACCAAATGACACAGACTACACAACGGACGAGAATACCGAGCAAGGAGTGAGCTATGACGAATTCCAACCGACCAATCGCTCATCGATGCTGCCGCGCAAGCGCCACCAGATGGCCGTGCCACGGAATCGCCACGGCCTCCAGCGGCCAGCGATGGAGGAGGAGCTCCCGGAGGTCAATGCCAATCTGCCGACTCCACGGGAGAGCCTAATGGTGGTGCAGCCGCGGCGACATTTCTAGTTTCACTGGAGATTAACTTAAAATTAACACGTACCTACTACCCTTCACAGCTGCGTTTCTTAATGTTTTTCTTTATATCTTGTGTTTTACGTTTTCAAAATAAAAATTATGTGTGTTTGCTTGACCACGAGAATATGTTGTTTTTCCTTGGTATATTTGATGCACATTAATGGCATGAATTTATTATATTCTTGCAAAGCGCATTATTATGTTTGTAATTCATTGGATGTGACGCATTAGACCTTATAACGTATTTACGAACAACGTATGGTTTTTGTATAATCAAATTCAATCAATTCCTTTTTATAAATTCTAAAGTTTGAATGGTATTAATAATTGCTGCTTTCGTACATGTTATTCTTATTAACCAATTGTTTGATCATAATGAAAAACAACAAAAGAACTACTTTCACTATGCTTTCAGGATTTATTTACTCATCAACTAATCATGTTAAAGGGGATGGGAGCGATTTTTACTTTAATATACATGCGCACTGATGTAAGCTTTATAAAAACGTTCCAACCGCCTACATTGCGCATTAAGATGTAAGCAGTTCTTATTCGACTATTAAATACATATTAACACATTAAAACGGCCGGCATGGGTGATGCCCGCGCTTGTGATGTACCCTTCGATTGGCCAGACTGGAGTCGGTGGCGGTGACTCCTCCTCTCCATTCCGCCGGCTATGTACACAGGGAAGCTTAAGACTACACTGGAATAGTTGTGTGTTCGGGATGAGGTGCAGTGTCCTCAGGAGCAGGAGCACGCAGTGCAGCATAGAATTCGACCAAGGCGATGGCTATTTGCCCGTGTCGCTGCCGCTCTGGCTGTGCTGACTGCTTCCTCCATGGTTGTACATGAGATGCGCTGAAACCAAAAGAGACGGAGATAGGTTAGACAAGGAGGACGACATTCTGAACGTGTTACTATCAAGGTGGGCCAATGATTATGGTAAATATTCACTATTGTATTCACTAAATTAAAGTGTTAGAATTTGGTATCATAAAAATTACATAGTTTTTACTAAAGGCCTAAAAATATGATAATTAAAGACCAGTTTTTTTATAAATTCTATATACTATTCTTAGCAAAAAATAGTTAACTAATTAGTTTAAATATGCTATTGTATAACTATATTAATATTTTTTTTATAATGTATCTATAGAAAACGATATTATTAAATCTTTAAGTTGATTTAGCGATGTCCGTTTGCCCGTATATTTGTATACCATTTGCGAGCTTAGTTTATAAGTACGCAGATAAAGTTTGAAAACGTTGGTAATCGGATGTCTATACTATATCTGCCATGATGACCGCATAAAATTAGATGTTTTGAAGAATTTGTTTACTTAATGTTTTAGTTTTTTTCCCATTTCTGACCAATACCTTGAGATTGATCAAAATGGGATGACAATATCCTATAGCTGTTATATTTCTGCCATACTGGCCAAATGGTTATATGCAGTTTATTTGCGCAGTGTAAAACATAAAGCATTCCAAATCTTTTTTTTTATATATACTGATCAAATTAAAAAATCTTGGATCGAAAGACTATCATATAGCTTCTATGCTATAATAGGGTGAAATTTTCTAAATTTGATTGTTTTTTAGATGTTTTTTTTATATCAGTTGGGATAAATCTCTTGAAACAGTTAGCTTCCGTTCTCGTTTTTTTCTTTAATATATAGAACAAGTCGTAACAATGAAACTGTAACACGGTGTGTGGAATACCACCAGTTTTGTTGTTGAAATTGTTACATTTTTATTTGATTTAAGAGCAGAACTTACCCATAACAGCCGGGGGAAAGTTGAAGGCGCCAAAAGGAGCCGCCGCATTCACCGCCGTTGGTGCAAAACTGGCTCCATCCAGAGTGCTGGCTGGAGCGGCGGACGCCGACTCCGGAGCCAGTCCGGAGGATGTGGCATTGTACGTCCCTGGTGAATGGATGACGGTGGTCGATGATGAGCTTTCAGCCCCAACAGCAGCCGCCGCCGCCATCAGGGGATCCACTCCAGGCTGGTATCGCGCCGGCGGCATGACCACGGTGGTCAGATGCGACTGGCCGCCATCGTCCAGCAGGCCCGTCCGCTGAAGACGCCCCGTCTTCGTCTCGATGTGCTTGTTGTGGGCGCTCAAACAGTGGTTCCGCATGTTGTACAGCTGCAGGAAGTAGGCGTCGCAGTGAGGACACTTGTACCGCTCGCCCGTATGCCGCCGGATGTGCGCCTTGAGGTCGTTGCTCTGGGTGAAGCTCTTGGGGCACTGGTCGCACTTGTACGGCCGTTCGCCGGTGTGCGTGCGCATGTGAATGGTCAGGTTGTAAGCCCGGTGGAAGCTCTTGCCGCAGGTATTGCACAGGTTCGGCTTGGTTCCCGTGTGGTACCTGTAATTAAAGGACACCAATTGGGGAACATTATAAAATAAGTCTTAGAATATCATATAAAATACAGAACTTTTTATGAGTCAATAATACATTGTAAACAAATAGTTTTCTACTATATAATTGGAGTACGTTTAAAGCTATGTTTTATAATCTAAATTGACCTAGCTACAAAGTATAGAAATCTTCAAACTTAACTATTTGCAAACCAGAGTTTAATAATTATTAATTGCATTAAGCTTAAGAATTACTGGCTTACACTACTTATTGTGGGAATTTAAGGAAAATACTGTCTGAGCTGAACAAGTCGTGATTCTACGAAGTTTTTTTGAAAAATGGAATTTAATAGGGAAAACAGCATAAAGGAAAAGATCATAAATCAGTGCCGATTACTCTTCAAATTACAACTACATACAACTCAAGTATTTAATTGATTTGAAATACCGCAAAGCACTATACAACATTAAATATGGTGGCTCCGATTACCCATAATATAAAATCGTTTTGTGCCCGCATAATTTTTATGAGGCTCTATTAGCTTCTGCACTGCACTTCCAGGCATATAGCTTTCAATCCCCACGTTAAAACCCAAACTTGAACTATGATTAGGACATCTCTTACCGCTCGTGGACCTTGAGATCGGTGGCGCGGGGGAAGGCCTTAACACAGTAGCGGCACTTGTAGGGCTTCTCGCCGTTGTGGCGTCGCATGTGCACGCGCAGGTAGTCGTTGCGGGCAAAGCTGTCGCCGCAGATGCAGCAGAGGAAGTTTCGCTGTCCGGTGTGGGTCTTTTCGTGCTCCCTAAGCTGCGCTCGCTCGCGGAATGTCTCCTCGCAGGTCTTGCAGGCGTACAGGAAGTCGGTGTGCAGCAGGGTGTGCTTGCGCAGGTAGGTCTTGCTGGAGAAGCGCTTGGAGCAGTACTCGCAGGTATGCTCCGCCAGCTGCAGCTTAAGCTCGCTGCCCGGTTCTAGACCCTCGCCATTATGCTTGCTGACCTTGTGACGCTCCAAGGAGTCCAGCCGCGAAAAGGCGGCCTCGCAAAGTCCGCACTTGTGCTCCTTGTTGCTGTGCAGGCTCTGCACATGCGCCTTGAGGTGGTCGCTGCGCGCGAAAGCCTTGGGGCAGTGTGGGCAGTTGTGGGGCTTCTTCTCCAGGTGCGACAGCTTGTGGCGCAGCAGGTGGCAATGACGCGAGAAGGTGCGCTGGCACACTTCACAACGGTTTTCAGGATTAGGCTCGCTCTGCTTGTTTCGTCGCCGACGCCTGCCTGACTTGGACCTCTTCGGCTGTTTCTCGCCGTCCAGCGGCTCCTCCTTAAGCCGGAATTCCCCATCGTCGTCTTCACCTCCGTCCTCGTCGTCCTCCTCATCCTCATCCAGGTCACTGTCTTCGTCGATGAACTCCTCAAAATGATCGTCATCATCGCTGAGGGGCAGTTCTCCGCTGACATGTAGCTTCATGAAATCTTCCACTCCCATTGGTGCCTCGTCCTCGCTGCCCACAAGGTGGCTCTCCTCCTTAATGCTGATGGCAATGGGCTCATCTGAAAGATGTGCAAAGGATTAGATTTAGGTTGTTGCATGGGACCGTCTCCCCGACCCTGCATAGAACACTTACTTTTCACAGTCCCATCAATGGAGCTCTCGGCTTGAGGTTCCGCCTTCTCCCTCCGCCGACGCTTTTTGTCGAGCTTCAGCTGCATGGCCAGATCAACTTCCTCCGCCTCAAGACAGGGCTCTGGCTTGATGTGCAGCCACAGCGTTTGATTGGCCCCGTTGGCGTCTTCGTCCTCTTCCTCGTTGCTGGAGATGGGATTCGTATTGCACTCCTCGTTGAGCAGCACCTCGGCGGAGACCAGCTCATCCCCGCCGTCGCTCTGCATGGTGTTTTCATCCGCCGCAGGCCAGGTGCGCAGGAGGTCCTCCTCTAGGCCCCGGTGTTGGTTTCGCATGTGGCGCAGCAAATGATCCCGGCGGCTAAAGGTGCGCTGGCAATGGGCACACTGAAGTCGAGCGGTTTGCTCGTGGCTCCGCGCCAAATGGCTGCGCAGCTGTCGGAGATGCGGAAAATGCTGGGGGCAAAACTTGCACTTGAATTCCTCGACCTGATTGGCCTCCGTGCTTGTGCCAGTGGCAGCGCCCTCCTTGGTCGTCCTGTGAACCTGGTTGCGGTGAAGGCGCAGCTCCAGGCTGTTAAGGAACTGGTCGTGGCACATCTCGCAGGGCAGCAGCGCCACCTGATCCGTCTGACTGCCCGCCTCGGCACCGCGGGCCTTCAGCTGGGGCGACCGGCCCAGCAGGGCTACCAACGAGCAGTATGAACGCTCTGCGTGCCGCTTAAAGCGATAGGCGTGGCGTGCCGCCTCCACGCAAGAGCCACACATGTGCGGGGGCATCCCGTCGTGCCGCTGGCACTGGTGCAGCGTGCACTCGTCTAGGATGCGGGCCAGATTGGCGCCCTCCTCGACGGGCGCCTCCTCGAAGATGAAGTGCAGCTCCCCGCCCAGCGATGCATCCTTCAGGCAAACGCGACAGACGCGCTCCGCGTCCATGGTGTGCAGGGTCAAAAATTTGCTCCCCGCCGGCTGACTTTCCGACTCCTGACCCGAACCCAGATCCAACTGCGGGTGCGGGTGCGGTTGTTCCGTTGCCATGGCTGTTTCGCGTCCTAAGGTCCTTGCTAACGCAGGTGGGCATCAACAATTAGCGCAACTGCTGCTGCTGCATTTCCTTAATTTTCTTTTTACCAATACGAGATGAGGCGTTTGTTGTGACCTTAGATGCGGTCATACTGGTTTTGCCATTCGATGGGTTACCGAGTACGGGCACACGAAATATCGACCAAATCATCGATAAGCTGTGTGCTGTTGATATTTTCTAGCCAATTCTAGCTTTAACCCAAGAAGGTTATAATAATTGTTTGCCAACTATGGTCTTTCTCTAATTTAAAATAAAGGTTTTTTATTAATGAAACAAAAATTGCATAACCGTTATCCATGGATCATAATTTTAAGCAATCTATCAGAAATATTAGATTTATATTATAGAATAAAATAACTTTTTTGATAAATCAAATGATAACGAATCCATTAAAAAATATACAACTGATTTTGATTTAAACTGGACTTATGTTAATTATTGTTGTATGCTGCCTTTTTGAATGCATTTTTTTTCAGACATTTAAAATCCCTCCGGTCTTTGCCCATGCTCAAACAAAAAAATCATAACGATTGTATCAAAAATATGATTATTTACAAGATTCATCATTATTCTAAGAAATGTCATTATAAGGCACCAATTTCTTTTCCAGCTCCTCCGTCCACAATCAATGTCAATTGTCCTTGTTTCGGATTCACCCAGGCAGCAGGAAATTCTTTGTCCAAATCGACAAACACGCGCTGAAATGAAAGTAAATCATGAACATATTGCGACGGAAAGAAGATAACCATTAACAATTATTTTGATATCAGAAATGTACATTTCTATATAAATACATGTATATTTATATTGTATATACATATGTATTTTGTATATATAAATAATATGAAGAAAAATTCAATTTTAAATTTGTTTACAGAAGATGGCCGAATAGCCTAAAATATCTGCCTCATCCAAGTCACAAAAACCCACCGAAGCTTTATTAGAAACCTTTTTCCTATAAATTTCTTTAACTATGAGTAAAGATTTTAAAACCAAAAAACCGACTCAAAATTATCAGATTTCTAGGACATTCATATAATTTCAACATTCTTACCTTCACGACACTGGCTTTTCCAGCGCCTGTAACCACAAATGTTACATCCCGGGCGTTATTGATCAGCGGCAGGGTGAAGGTTATCCGTTCGGGCGGCGGCTTAGGCGAGTTCCGGATGGGGATGACCAGGCGCTTCGTTTCCTGGAGCGTGGCTGGTTGCTCGGGGAACAGGGAGCAGGTGTGCCCATCAGGTCCCATTCCGAGGAGTAGGAGGTCGAACTGCGGCAGGCAGCCGCAGCCCACTTGATCCTTGACCTTTGCCTCGTACTCCGCGGCGCAGTCGTCAAGCGACTTGGTGGGATCGGCACGGACGAACTGCGTTTCGCGGATGCCCGGCAAATGGGTCTGCCACTCGGCCTTGTAGGCACCGTAGGTGGATTCACCATCGTCCAGGGGCACATACCGCTCGTCGCAGAAGAAAAAAACCCATTTGTCGGTGTTAAAACTTCCAAGCTTAAGGGCTTTCGTCAGCAGCTGGATGAGGGATCCTCCTTCATGTAGAATTGGGAGATATGACTTTGGGAATAGAATTTCACAGATCGCACCTGTGATCGCAAGGTCACCTCAAGTTGGGCTTATCAGCACAAGCACACCATCCACTTGACTTGTCTGACCCCGATCCTCACCTGAAAGTCCCACGCTGAACTTTCCCTGTCTGTCCAACGCCTCCTGGGAGCAGCGCTTCAAAAGATCGGCCAACACCTGCACTAGTTGGTCCTCCGAAACGGCCGGGATTACCTTTAGCGGACTCTTTCGCTCCGACATGTTGCTGATATTGAAACCCGACTCGACTTCGATTTTTAGAAATCACCTTCCGTGCTGCCAACTATCGATTACCAATTTGGTGAAATGGTAAAAAAAAACATTCACAACATTCAAATTCGTAGTCCTACAAGCCAAGTCTTACAATAACGCATTCAAAAAGTTGCCTTTGAATCGAACAGCTATCGACTCGTATACACAAATTTCTACATATTGTCTAGAATTAAACAATTAATCGATATTGTTTTATTTTAATAAACAGCAAGACTGATAAAAATTAACTGAACTAATTTTGTATTCAACATTTCAACTGAATTTCGAAAAATAGCTAATGAAAATGTCTCCACCAAGAATTTTAGTTGTGTTCCTTATTCATTTGAGTTTATAAAATGTAGTCAATGATAATTTAAATGTTCTCGATCTACGTTTTAACTGGCTAAAAATTGTATATTGCAAATTTCAAATACAAGACCATTGCAGGGTATCGCTAAAAATAAAACGATAGGCAAACATAGCTAGACAGCCATCACTAATCACGACCTAGACGATAGTTGACCCGCCATCATCGATAAACAGTTCTAAGAACCGAAGGAAAAACAACACTATTAATCCTTCATACACAGCATTTTACCTGTTTTTTGCATATCTGTTTCGTTTCTGTCACAAATATACCTTTTTTCTGGGAACAACGGGCCTTAAGAAGTCAGTAAATGTCAGTCGGGCCGTGCAAAACATCGGCAGTATCTATCGCATCAAGATCGCTCGTCACTAGCCACTAAAAAGATAATTTCGTAAAATTGCGTTGTATATGGACTGCTAAAATTCGTAAGTCGTAATAACCGTAGAGTATTTAGTGCAAGGACTCTAGTAAAAGGACTGCAAGCTGCGTGAAGTGTTTGCGGCACTTGTTGGATCTGCCTTAACTGCGCAAATATAGTTTTGCCATCGAGTCAGAGATATTGCAACAACAAAACAGTGAAAAACGTGTGTGCGCTTGCTGAAGAAAGCATTTTTTTAAATTTCGGAGTAAAAACCCAGGATGCCTAAGCGTGGTGGCGGCGGCGGCGGTGGAGGCGGTGGCGGCGGCGGTCGACAGCAGTACAACAACAACATAGGCAATGGCGGCGGCGGTGGCGGCGGACGTTACTCCGCACTCGAAGATTATGATGGTCAGTTCACCTATATAGGAAAAAAAACCATCTGTAGCACCTATTAACTATCTAATATTGTCCCAACAGAAGTGGAGGACCGCCAGCGGCGCAAGGATCGCAACAAGCGTCGCGTCAGCTTTAAGCCTTCCCAGTTTCCACACAACAAGAAGGACATCAAGTTGCGTCCCGAGGATTTGCGGCGCTGGGACGAGGATGACGATATGAGCGATATGACCACAACCGTCAAGGTGATTCATTCATCCTTATTCTCTCACCAAAAATTCCTAACCAAATGTCTTCTTGTGATCTTCAGCAGGACCGACCCAGCTCCCGACGACGAGGATCACCCATTCCGCGCGGAAAGTTTGGCAAACTGATGCCCAACAGCTTTGGCTGGTATCAAGTGACGGTGAGTACACCCACATAAACTGGTCCATATAGATACCATACCATATTTATGATAGCACCCAAAGAACTATTTTTGGCCTTGCAAGAAAGTCATGTGTCGTGTGTTAGTTATTTAAACACTTGAGTCTTCCCGCACCCGTCAAAAGCCTCTAGAGCTGAATAATTCTTGCAACAACAATTTTAGTTTAGCCTAGAGCTACAATCACCAGACAAGTCCACATAATAACCAGATTTATGATAGCAGCCATAAAACTATTTTTGGTCTCCAAGAAAGTCATATGATTTGTTAGTCGTCTGTTAGTTATTTTTTCGCTTTATTAAGGGTAGTTCATCAGCTCAAAAACTGCATAAGTTGCAACTTTGTCGTAAACACAAAATGTTGTCACTTCTTATTTATTTGACCACTGCTCCAGTCCTCCTCTGACTTCCCGCCTGGCCTCGCTGTCTTTATTAATTAATTTCACTCGTAAAAATCGTAAAACAAACAAGCAGAAGAGGGGGAAGCTAGCTCTACACAGCTAACGACAATCGCAACAACAATTACAATTGCAAGCCAACGGGCAAATAAATATTTATGGATGGCTAAACTCTGTCGACCACAGTGCCAGCCACAAGTGGGTGTCCCGATGAGCTGAAAGTGCACTGGGGCCGAGCCCTCAGTGGGTCAGCCAGTGGGATGAACTCTCTGGAATGGATTCCAAGGCCTTGTGGTCGGCGGTTCTGTTATCCTTCGCCTTGTTACCCCGTTTTCCAGGCACACGTGGTGCAACACAACAGGCCGCTATCTCTCGACGGGGTCGTAAATGCCGTAAATGCCCAATGATGGCTCACCAACACAGCCTGTGTTTCCATTTGGGCCTTTATTTCATCGACGACCGGCAGACGGTGAAGACGTGTTCGGAGGCCCAAAAGCACATTCGCTGAATCTCAAGAGGCCCGATTAGGGCAACTTATCAGCCGGAGCGATTAGATGTGCGATAGGGGATTGCCAGCAAAACCAGCTTAGCAGCAGCTCCGTAAAACCACAATCCGCTATGACAACCTTGGGCGCCTGGGACTACACCATACTGGCGGTGGTGCTGGTCATCTCCGTGGCCATTGGCGTCTACTACCGCTTCGTAGGCGGCAAGCAGAGCACCACCACCGAATACCTGCTGGCGGATCGCTCCATGGGCGTAGCCCCAGTGGCCTTCAGCCTAATGGCCAGCTTCATGTCGGCCATCACCATACTGGGCGTCTCCATGGAGAACTACCAGTACGGCACCATGTTCGTGCTGATCAATCTGTCCTACGTGGTGTCCACGCCGGTGGCCGCCTACCTTATCATCCCGGTCTTCTACCGCCTGAAGACGGCCAGCGTGTACGAGTACCTGGAGCTGCGCTTCGGCTATGCCACCCGACTGGCCGCCTCGCTGAGTTTCTCGCTGCAGATGGTCCTCTACATGGGCATTGTGGTCTACGCCCCGGCCTTGGCCCTGGAAGCTGTGACCGGACTGAACCAGGTATTCTCCATCGTGATCGTGGGAGTAGTCTGTACCTTCTACGCGACGCTCGGCGGAATGAAAGCCGTTCTCATCACGGACATCTACCAATCGCTCCTCATGTTCGCCTCGGTCTTTTGCGTGATCATCTGCGCCTGGGTGAAGGCGGGCAGCCTGGAGACGATATGGCGTGTGGCGCAGGAGAACGGTCGCATCAATTTCACCAACTTTAGTGTGGATCCCACGGAGCGGCACACTTGGTTCACCCAGATCCTGGGCGGAAGTGCCACCTACCTGGCCATCTATGGGGTCAACCAAACGCAGGTCCAGCGCCTGATGGCAGTGAGGAGTTTGAGTGCGGCTCGTGCGGCCCTGTGGTGGTGCCTGCCCATTCTGTGCCTGCTGAGCGTAAGCACCTGCTTCTCCGGGCTGTGCATTTACTGGTACTACCGCGACTGCGATCCGCTGTTGGAGGGTCGGGTCAACTCGCGCGACCAGGTTATGCCCCTCTTCGTCGTGGACACGATGGGCGAGTACACCGGCCTCGCAGGGCTCTTCGTCTCGGGGATCTTCTGTGCCAGTCTATCAACGATTAGCTCGATAATCAGCTCACTGGCGGCTGTCACCCTGGAGGACTACCTCAAGCCTTTGGTTAGCTGCTGCGCCAAACGCACGCTCACGGATCGCCAGACTTTGTGGTACTCCAAGTTGCTGTCGCTATTCTTCGGAGCCCTCTGCATTGGCATGGCCTTCATGGCGGGCTCGATTGGAGGACTCCTGCAGGCGGCACTCTCAATCTTCGGCATCATTGGCGGCCCTCTCCTGGGACTCTTCACGCTGGGCATGTACGTGACCAAGGCCAACGAGAAGGGAGCCATCGGAGGACTGCTCATCTCGCTGGTGTTTTGCTTTTGGATCGGTTTCGGCCAACCAAAGCCCCCACTGGTTAGCTTGGACATGTCCACGGCGGGCTGTCCCATTAATAGAAGCTATACTCGCGACATTTTCCTCCAAGCTGCAACAGCGAAGGTTGAGGATGAGCACTTCTTTTACCTGTACAGGATCAGCTACATGTGGTACGCTGCCCTGGGCTTCGTGATTGCCTTTTTCGGCGGCTGGCTCTTGTCCTGGCTGTTCGCCGTCCTCAATTGGGACAACAACCGGCGCATCTACCAGGATGCGGACTGTAAACTGATCAAGCACGATCTCTTCGTGCCGCCGCTGGCCAAACGCCTGCAACGGCGACAGATGCCGCTCCTGGTGGTCACCGGCACCAGCTCGGAGATAGGCGGCATCTCGGTGGAGACTGCATCAGCCCCGCCGCGGCTGGACGAGATCGAGTGGGAGAAACACAAGGCTGTGGCGTAGCTTAACAGACACTTTTAAGAGCTTAAAAACGCTGTTCGCAGCGTTTTATTTGGCGCCGTTTTGATTTTTGTTCTTCATACTTACTTTGCAAGTTTCATTCAGCTGACTTAGCTTTATATTGGGTCGCCCCATCAAGTAGCGGCCTTAAAAAGAAATCATTTCAAATAAGAACAAGTTGGGTGTTTTTCAATATGGTTAAGTTTAATAGCAGTTTTATACGAGCCTAATTAATCCACATTATCATTATAGATGTTTAGAAACTAGTTGTCATTAAAAAAAAGTCACTTTGTTATTTATTATGCGAAAGTGCATCAAATTGAAGCAATCATATCAGAATATCATAGATGCCGTAATATCGTGGACAAGGGTACTCCGAGCTCTTTCCTCTTGTCACATTTTATTAACTGAACTTTGGCTTTAATAAAGGAGCTTACTCATTAGGCAATTAAACTGAATGAGCATCGATGGCTTGGTCGGGCTGCTCGTCTGGTCCGTTTGCCTCGTAGATGTGGCGCTTCTGGTTCTCATGCCAGAGGGCAAGGAGCCTGACCAGTTCCTCGTAGCTGAGGGTTTTCAAGTCCCGGTTATCGGGCGCCTTCACTCCGGCGGAATTTAACTGCTCCACGAGTGTGATAACGTATTCCTTATCCTCCTCTGCGCTGTGCTCGCCTTTGGGTGCGATTCTTCCGACGAATTCCGACTCGGCCTCGCTCTTCGCCATGCGGGGCAGCTGGTAACCCACGGGCTGCAGGTCCCCCAGCTCGTTTTCGGGGGTCATGGGCAGAGACCAGGCCAGACAAAGGCCAAGGATCACCAGGAACAGGACGTTACCCGGAATGAGATTCATGTTTGCGACCGACTGCGAGTAGCTTTGCTTTGGCACTGCCGCCTCGTCTGTCGATCGTGGCCTGGACTCGGGTTGCGCTCCAATTTCTATCTGTTTTCCGCCCCCCTCGCCCACTCGGACCCCTATCGCTCATTCGAAAGCCCCGTGTGGACAGTGCTGCCAGTTAGGCCATTCTTTTCCCCGTAGCATCTGGCTTTTTTTAACACTTCAATTTTGAAGAACTGAAACACAAAATTATACTCGTGCTGTAAGTGAGGCAGAACACTCCATCGCAAAAGATGGATCGTAAAATATAAAGTAAAAGTTCTTGGTGCAAAATGATCACATCTTAAAAGTAAAGATTTTTTAAATTTGAATCAACGGCCTAAAATCTAAGTTTTCATAGAATTCAATATTTACCAAAGTGTTCGATTTTAATGTTCAAATAATGAAGGGTCAAATACAGTATATGTCTTCGGATTTAAAAAATAAGACAGATTAAAAAAAAAAAAACTAAATTTTGTATCTTTAAATTATATATCGAATATATATAATCCCAAAATAAATTGAAATGTTAAGTAAACATCTTACAATAAATTAAAAAATACATATATCAGGAGGTTTTTTGTAAACCCGAATTTTAAAATTAAAGTAAAAACTGCTTGTACTTAAATATAACTTAAAGTGTCGTACAAGTTTATTCGTCTAAACAATAAGTGTTTAATATTTTTTCGCAACACTGTCATTGGGGCTGCTTTTGATTGAAAAGTCAGTCTAGGGTCGGTTAAATTATTTTATCTGCATTTGCTGCACATACATCGACCCCTTGTTCAGTCTTGTACATATGTTATTTAATGGCCTGTGCTTTCGTTTGAATTCGCTTTTGTATTTTGTGTTACGTTTTTGTCCGCCTCCAATTCAATTTATCTGCGCAGTTTGTACGCCCGCTGTCTTCTATTTTCTGCATTTTGGTTGGCCTAATCTTATCTATTGTTATTCGTTCTCTCTCTGGCGAAAAACCCAATTGAACGAACCGTTGTAATCGTGAATAACTTTCAATAATTGAAGTAGATATGGGTTAACCAGTCGCTTTGCTTAAAAGTGACGCCCCGCGTTTAAAATCCAGACACATTGAATGCCATCGAAAGGTGGTGAATTTTTAGTATGCGCGATTCGGAATCCAATGACTTTTTAAAATATAAGATAATTGTTTAAATATAAATATGTTATAATTATTAAGAAAATTTAAATCTTAAAGGAGGAAACGTAAGATGTTTTTGGTTAATTACAAATACAAAATTCAAACTTTTCTTATGGTCAAAATAATATTAAAATTGTTAGACATCAGTTTAAGGCGTTGCACAATGGTTTTAAAGTTTCCGTAAAAATTTTTCAAACGACAAGTAATGTCAGGTAGAAAACATTTTTCCAAAAAAATTCCATCCGATATGCCTTAAAAGCACCAAATCGACATTAAGGGATTATCCGGGTCTTGGAGCACGAAAAAAAGCCTATTAATTACATTAATGTTTATGGTTTGAACAACATTGTGTAAAAATTTGAACCAAATATTTTTAAAATTGAGCCGTTGAGGCAGGCTTGAACTTGACCTTATAAAAAATTGTGTCCTTGCGGTAGGCAAAATATCTCCGCCAATTTTTGTCTGAAATCAAAAAACCAAAATTATTCTGATAGTGTATGTGTCTCGCTTGTCCTCTACGAGCCATTTTTTTTAAAAATTAAAAATTGAATTTTTTGTAGCGCTTTTCATAAAAAGTGTCATATTTTACGTAAATTTTGGCCATATTTTGGCTTATAAAATGAGTTGTAATTAAAAATTTAAAAAATCCCTCCGTTAAGGACAAGAGAATTATGTCTAAAAGAAGTGTGCAAAAGCAGAAGTTGATCGGTGCAATAGTTTTTGAGAAATCGTGACTACCGACTTAAAAAAAGTGGTTTTGAGAAAAACGCGTTTAAAGTGCCGCATCTGCCCGACGCCAGAGCCCGAATGGCCCGTTGTGACGTTCGACGCGCTGGGCTTTAAATTTCTCCCATTCCTACAGTTTTGCTTCGATCGACTTGAAATTTTTCAGACAACATTCCTGAAACTTTGTACTATTACATAAAAAAGTTTGAAAAAAATGAATTTTTTGAAGTGTCAAGACCCGGATAACCCCTTAAGTTTATTCACTTCAACATATCCGATTTTGTACATTTCCAAAGGAAATGAAATCAGAAGCAAAACTGTATAGTTTTCATCATAACTCGATATTTATTTAATGAATCACATCAACATCCACTTAGCTCACGAAAAGAAAAAATAAACAATTTAATAGAAAACAAGAAAGGAAAGCTAACTTCGGGCGGAGCCGAAGTTGATATACCCTTGCAGAATTCTCTATAATAATATTCTCCAAAATTATTCCTACGATGCATTCTTAATACTCATAAAAAATCCAAACTTCCTAACTTTAAAAACACCAAAGTTATGGCATTTCGAATCGTTCAGTTATATGGCAGCTATAGGATATAGTCGGCCGATCCTTATGAAATTTGGTAGGTCGGATTGATTGGCCAAATATAAAACCCATAGAAAATCCCAACTTTCTAACTTTACAAACACCAAAGTTATGGCATTTCCGATCAATCAGTTATATGGCAGCTATAGGATATAGTCGGCCGATCCTTATGAAATTTGGTGGGTCGGATTGATTGGCCAAAAATAAAACCTATAGAAAATCCCAACTTTCTAACTTTACAAACACCAAAGTTATGGCATTTCCGATCAATCAGTTATATGGCAGCTATAGGATATAGTCGGCCGATCCTTATGAAATTTGGTACGTCGGATTGATTGGCCAAATATAAAACCCATAGAAAATCCCAACTTCCTAACTTTACAAACACCAAAGTTATGGCATTTCCGATCAATCAGTTATATGGCAGCTATAAGATATAGTCGGCCGATCCTTATGAAATTTGGTACGTCGGATTGATTGGCCAAATATAAAACCCATAGAAAGTCCCAACTTCCTAACCTAACAAACAGCAGAGTTATGGCATTTCCGATCAATCAGTTATATGGCAGCTATAGGATATAGTCGGCCGATCCCGGCCGTTCCGACTTATATACTGCGTGCAAAGGAAAGAAGGGTGTGTGCAAAGTTTCAATTCGATATCTTTAAAACTGAGAGACTAGTTCGCGTAGAAACAGACAGACGGACAGACAGACGGACAGACGGACAGACGGACAGACGGACAGACGGACAGACGGACATGGCTATATCAACTCAGGAGGTGATCCTGATCAAGAATATATATACTTTATAGGGTCGGAGATGTCTCCTTCACTGCGTTGCACACTTTTGACCAAAATTATAATACCCTCTGCAAGGGTATAAAAATAATAGAGAAACACAGCGTTTGTTGAGTTCATTTTGCATTTTTCTAGTGATATTATTTTTTTTTTGTAGAACTCTAGGTGGAGTATCTTTTAGTAACTTTCAGATTCATTAGTTTTTTAGCTTTTATACCCTTGCAGAGGGTATTATAATTTTGGTCAAAAGTGTGCAACGCAGTGAAGGAGACATCTCCGACCCTATAAAGTATATATATTCTTGATCAGGATCACCTCCTGAGTTGATATAGCCATGTCCGTCTGTCCGTCTGTCTGTTTCTACGCAAACTAGTCTCTCAGTTTTAAAGCTATCGGATTGAAACTTTGCACACACCCTTCTTTCCTTTGCCCGCAGTATATAAGTCGGAACGGCCGGGATCGGCCGACTATATCCTATAGCTGCCATATAACTGATTGATCGGAAATGCCATAACTTTCGTGTTTGTAAAGTTAGGAAGTTGGGATTTTCTATGGGTTTTATATTTGGCCAATCAATCCGACCTACCAAATTTCATAAGGATCGGCCGACTATATCCTATAGCTGCCATATAACTGATTGATCGGAAATGCCATAACTTTGGTGTTTGTAAAGTTAGGAAGTTGGGATTTTCTATGGATTTTATTTTTGGCCAATCAATCCGACCTACCAAATTTCATAAGGATCGGCCGACTATATCCAATAGCTGCCATATAACTGAACGATTGGAAATGCCATAACTTTGTTGTTGTTAAAGTTAGGAAGTTCGGATTTTTTATGAGTATTAAGAATGCATCATATGAATAATTTTGGAGAATATAATTTACAGAGTATTCTGCAAGGGTATATCAACTTCGGCTCCGCCCGAAGTTAGCTTTCCTTTCTTGTTGTGTTTAAATTAATATACATCAGTAGAAACGAAAAAGCTAATCATTTGAATCCAATCCTAATGACAATGAATGCATTGGATTTGCTTGAGAACCCCAGTTTGTTTTGCCGGCACTGTGAAGCGGATTCAATATTTAGCGATTCAACAATTTATTACGAAATTGGAATTCAGGCGCATAACAATTAATAATTACTCGTTAACAGCTTAACTTGATTCATATTCATATTCGTATTCACATTGTCCGTATGTACATTCCAGTATTCACACACTCACTCACACACCGAGCAAACACACATGGCATTGAAATCGATTCAACAGAAGTGTAAAAAAAAAGGTTTATATTAAATAATGGAACGTGTTGCGGGCGAGGTGGCGGCTACTCCTCCTGCTCGTCGTTGGTGGTGGTCACCGTCTTCTCCTGTCGCGTGGTGCTGGTGGTGGTGCGGGTTAACGTGAAGACACCGGTGCTGCCCACCTCGTCCAGCGGCTGGGCAATGATGGTCGATGTGGTGCTCTAGAATCGAGGGGCAATGGGCATTACTCTTGGCCCATTAGAACAGGTCAACATGTGTGCAGGTCTTACGCCATTTTTGGTCTCCTCGGGACTCCAGGAGCGCTTATCGTCCAAGTCCTTTGAGCAACAGCCTCCCATGCTAAATGTTTGTATCTGGATTTGTTCCTTGCTGGGTGGGGGGTGGGGTTGGGGATATACGTTTGCTTCCCCCTTTCGGGATGTCTCCTGTCTATGTATCTCCGTCCAGGGACTTGTTATTTGTTGTTGCTTCAACGTCGCACGTCTGTCAGCGAATGAGTTTCTCGCTGCAGATGGTCCTCTACATGGGCATTGTGGTCTACGCCCCGGCCTTGGCCCTGGAAGCTGTGACCGGACTGAACCAGGTATTCTCCATCGTGATCGTGGGAGTAGTCTGTACCTTCTACGCGACGCTCGGCGGAATGAAAGCCGTTCTCATCACGGACATCTACCAATCGCTCCTCATGTTCGCCTCGGTCTTTTGCGTGATCATCTGCGCCTGGGTGAAGGCGGGCAGCCTGGAGACGATATGGCGTGTGGCGCAGGAGAACGGTCGCATCAATTTCACCAACTTTAGTGTGGATCCCACGGAGCGGCACACTTGGTTCACCCAGATCCTGGGCGGAAGTGCCACCTACCTGGCCATCTATGGGGTCAACCAAACGCAGGTCCAGCGCCTGATGGCAGTGAGGAGTTTGAGTGCGGCTCGTGCGGCCCTGTGGTGGTGCCTGCCCATTCTGTGCCTGCTGAGCGTAAGCACCTGCTTCTCCGGGCTGTGCATTTACTGGTACTACCGCGACTGCGATCCGCTGTTGGAGGGTCGGGTCAACTCGCGCGACCAGGTTATGCCCCTCTTCGTCGTGGACACGATGGGCGAGTACACCGGCCTCGCAGGGCTCTTCGTCTCGGGGATCTTCTGTGCCAGTCTATCAACGATTAGCTCGATAATCAGCTCATTGGCGGCTGTCACCCTGGAGGACTACCTCAAGCCTTTGGTTAGCTGCTGCGCCAAACGCACGCTCACGGATCGCCAGACTTTGTGGTACTCCAAGTTGCTGTCGCTATTCTTCGGAGCCCTCTGCATTGGCATGGCCTTCATGGCGGGCTCGATTGGAGGACTCCTGCAGGCGGCACTCTCAATCTTCGGCATCATTGGCGGCCCTCTCCTGGGACTCTTCACGCTGGGCATGTACGTGACCAAGGCCAACGAGAAGGGAGCCATCGGAGGACTGCTCATCTCGCTGGTGTTTTGCTTTTGGATCGGTTTCGGCCAACCAAAGCCCCCACTGGTTAGCTTGGACATGTCCACGGCGGGCTGTCCCATTAATAGAAGCTATACTCGCGACATTTTCCTCCAAGCTGCAACAGCGAAGGTTGAGGATGAGCACTTCTTTTACCAGTACAGGATCAGCTACATGTGGTACGCTGCCATGGGCTTCGTGATTGCCTTTTTCGGCGGCTGGCTCTTATCCTGGCTGTTCGCCGTCCTCAATTGGGACAACAATCGGCGCATCTACCAGGATGCGGACTGTAAACTGATCAAGCACGATCTCTTCGTGCCGCCGCTGGCCAAACGCCTGCAACGGCGACAGATGCCGCTCCTGGTGGTCACCGGCACCAGCTCGGAGATAGGCGGCATCTCGGTGGAGACTGCATCAGCCCCGCCGCGGCTGGACGAGATCGAGTGGGAGAAACACAAGGCTGTGGCGTAGCTTAACAGACACTTTTAAGAGCTTAAAAACGCTGTTCGCAGCGTTTTATTTGGCGCCGTTTTGATTTTTGTTCTTCATACTTACTTTGCAAGTTTCATTCAGCTGACTTAGCTTTATATTGGGTCGCCCCATCAAGTAGCGGCCTTAAAAAGAAATCATTTCAAATAAGAACAAGTTGGGTGTTTTTCAATATGGTTAAGTTTAATAGCAGTTTTATACGAGCCTAATTAATCCACATTATCATTATAGATGTTTAGAAACTAGTTGTCATTAAAAAAAAAGTCACTTTGTTATTTATTATGCGAAAGTGCATCAAATTGAAGCAATCATATCAGAATATCATAGATGCCGTAATATCGTGGACAAGGGTACTCCGAGCTCTTTCCTCTTGTCACATTTTATTAACTGAACTTTGGCTTTAATAAAGGAGCTTACTCATTAGGCAATTAAACTGAATGAGCATCGATGGCTTGGTCGGGCTGCTCGTCTGGTCCGTTTGCCTCGTAGATGTGGCGCTCCTGGCTCAAATGCCAGAGGGCAAGGAGCCTGACCAGTTCCCTGTAGCTGAGGGATTTCGAGTCCCGGTTATCGGACGCCTTCACTCCGGCGGAATTTAACTGCTCGAGTGTGATAACGTATTCCTTATCCTCCTCTGCGCTGTGCTCGCCTTTGGGTGCGATTCTTCCGAAGAATTCCGACTCGGCCTCGCTCTTCGCCATGCGGGGCAGCTGGTAACCCACGGGCTGCAGGTCCCCCAGCTCGTTTTCGGGGGTCATGGGCAGAGACCAGGCCAGACAAAGGCCAAGGATCACCAGGAACAGGACGTTACCCGGAATGAGATTCATGTTTGCGACCGACTGCGAGTAGCTTTGCTTTGGCACTGCCGCCTCGTCTGTCGATCGTGGCCTGGACTCGGGTTGCGCTCCAATTTCTATCTGTTTTCCGCCCCCCTCGCCCACTCGGACCCCTATCGCTCATTCGAAAGCCCCGTGTGGACAGTGCTGCCAGTTAGGCCATTCTTTTCCCCGTAGCATCTGGCTTTTTTTAACACTTCAATTTTGAAGAACTGAAACACAAAATTATACTCGTGCTCTAAGTGGGGCAGAACACTCCATCGCAAAAGATGGATCGTAAAATATAAAGTAAAAGTTCTTGATGCAAAATGATCACATCTTAAAAGTAAAGATTTTTTAAATTTGAATCAATGGCCTAAAATCTAAGTTTTCATAGAATTCAATATTTACCAAAGTGTTCGATTTCAATGTTCAAATAATGAAGGGTGAAATACAGTATATGTCTTCGGATTTAAAACATATATGAGATTTCGTTGTATTTTAGCAAGAAAATTTAAACACAAACCCATTTAAAAAATAAAACAGATTTTAGAAAAAAAAAACTAAATTTTGTATCTTTAAATTATATATCGAATATACAGTGGCTCACAGCTTATTTCAACCAGTGCTCAAGTAAAACTTTAAATCGCTGTATTTGCCAAATTAAGAGAGATATTGGAACACTTTAAACGCAGATTCATAGCTCTGTATTTTAACTTTTATTTCATGAATTCCTAAATTTTTAAATATTTTTGTAATATTTATTTTGATTTTAAGACTCAAATAACAGGTAAAATGAATGCCACAGCTTATTTCAACCAGCCCTTAAAAGTATATATTTTTTAAAGATTAAGAACTAAAAATGATAAAATAATATTTTGTATGACCAGCCTTCGTGTAAACAATCATTTTAAGTCTTTTTGCGATTGATTCGACCAATTTTTAAGTCACTTGGGGACTCATTTTGGCCCCTTCTTCGAGTAATGCGTTTTTTAGGTCCGTTTGACGCTTTCGAATTTTTCTGTCCAATATAGCCCATCAATTATCAATAATATTATTATCTGGAGACCAGGCTGATGGTTTCATGATATGCGGGCAATTTTAAATGAGCCATATCGGCAGAGTTCCCGATGTGTGCTTGGGATGATTGTCCTGATAAAATCGGAATTTATCACGAATTCCCAGATTTTCTCCACTTTGCACCAAAATGGACTTCAATATGCTTAAATTAAGAGTTTTTTTCATTGTTGTGTCCACCAAATCCAAAATCACGGCTCAAGCTGCCGACATACAGGCCCAAACCATGACGATCCCACCACCATGCTTGCGGTTCAAATGCACATAGTATCAAAAGTGAAGCTTTAAGTCGCTTTGGAGCATTTGAATAAGGATTCCAGCTTCTGGAACACTGTAATACTTTCCGACGAGTCAAAATTTAATATTTTTGGATCTGATGGGGCTTCTTATGCTTGGCGAAAACCAAAGATAGAGCTGCATACAAAATATTTAAAGGCAATGGTTAAGCCTGGTGGTGGGTTTGGGCCTGTATGTCGGCAGCTTGAGCCGTGATTTTGGATTTGGTGGACACAACAATGAAAAAAACTCTTAATTTAAGCATATTGAAGTCCATTTTGGTGCAAAGTGGAGAAAATCTGGGAATTCGTGATAAATTCCGATTTTATCAGGACAATCCCCAAGCACACATCGGGAACTCTGCCGATATGGCTCATTTAAAATTGCCCGCATATCATGAAACCATCAGCCTGGTCTCCAGATAATAATATTATTGATAATTGATGGGCTATATTGGACAGAAAAATTCGAAAGCGTCAAACGGACCTAAAAAACGCATTACTCGAAGAAGGGGCCAAAATGAGTCCCCAAGTGACTTAAAAATTGGTCGAATCAATCGCAAAAAGACTTAAAATGATTGTTTACACGAAGGCTGGTCATACAAAATATTATTTTATCATTTTTAGTTCTTAATCTTTAAAAAATATATACTTTTAAGGGCTGGTTGAAATAAGCTGTGGCATTCATTTTACCTGTTATTTGAGTCTTAAAATCAAAATAAATATTACAAAAATATTTAAAAATTTAGGAATTCATGAAATAAAAGTTAAAATACAGAGCTATGAATCTGCGTTTAAAGTGTTCCAATATCTCTCTTAATTTGGCAAATTTTAAAGTTTTACTTGAGCACTGGTTGAAATAAGCTGTGAGCCACTGTATATAATCCCAAACTAAATTGAAATGTTAAGTAAACATCTTACAATAAATTAAAAAATACATATATCAGGAGGTTTTTTGTAAACCCGAATTTTAAAATTAAAGTAAAAACTGCTTGTACTTAAATATAACTTAAAGTGTCGTACAAGTTTATTCGTCTAAACAATAAGTGTTTAATATTTTTTTCGCAACACTGTCATTGGGGCTGCTTTTGATTGAAAAGTCAGTCTAGGGTCGGTTAAATTATTTTATCTGCATTTGCTGCACATACATCGACCCCTTGTTCAGTCTTGTACATATGTTATTTAATGGCCTGTGCTTTCGTTTGAATTCGCTTTTGTATTTTGTGTTACGTTTTTGTCCGCCTCCAATTCAATTTATCTGCGCAGTTTGTACGCCCGCTGTCTTCTATTTTCTGCATTTTGGTTGGCCTAATCTTATCTATTGTTATTCGTTCTCTCTCTGGCGAAAAATCCAATTGAACGAACCGTTGTAATCGTGAATAACTTTCAATAATTGAAGTAGATATGGGTTAACCAGTCGCTTTGCTTAAAAGTAACGCCCCGCGTTTAAAATCCAGACACATTGAATGCCATCGAAAGGTGGTGAATTTTTAGTATGCGCGATTCGGAATCCAATGACTTTTTAAAATATAAGATAATTGTTTAAATATAAATATGTTATAATTATTAAGAAAATTTAAATCTTAAAGGAGGAAACGTAAGATGTTTTTGGTTAATTACAAATACAAAATTCAAACTTTTCTTATGGTCAAAATAATATTAAAATTGTTAGACATCAGTTTAAGGCGTTGCACAATGGTTTTAAAGTTTCCGTAAAAATTTCTCAAACGACAAGTAATGTCAGGTAGAAAACATTTTTCCAAAAAAATTCCATCCGATATGCCTTAAAAGCACCAAATCGACATTAAGGGATTATCCGGGTCTTGGAGCACGAAAAAAGCCTATTTTCGTAAATTTTTTTTAAAGATCTTATGACAATTTCACAAATTTAATTTATTGTACATTAATGTTTATGGTTTGACCAACATTGTGTAAAAATTTGAACCAAATATTTTTAAAATTGAGCCGTTGAGGCAGGCTTGAACTTGACCTCATAAAAAATTGTGTCCTTGCGGTAGGCAAAATATCTCCGCCAATTTTTGTCTGAAATTAAAAAACTAAAATTATTCTGATAGTGTATGTGCCTCGCTTGTCCTCTACGAGCCATTTTTTTAAAAAATTAAAAATTGAATTTTTTGTAGCGCTTTTCATAAAAAAAATTTTAAAAATCCCTCCGTTAAGGACAAGAGAATTATGTCTAAAAGAGGTGTGCAAAAGCAGAAGTTGATCGGTGCAATAGTTTTTGAGAAATCGTGACTACCGACTTCAAAAAAGTGGTTTTGAGAAAAACGCGTTTAAAGTGCCGCATCTGCCCGACGCCAGAGCCCGAATGGCCCGTTGTGACGTTCGACGCGCTGGGCTTTAAATTTCTCCCATTCCTACAGTTTTGCTTCGATCGACTTGAAATTTTCAGACAACATTCCTGAAACTTTGTACTATTATATAAAAAGTTTGAAAAAAATGAATTTTTGAAGTGTCAAGACCCGGATAACCCCTTAAAACCTTAAAATTGTTCTACAAATTTGGAACGCCGTAATGTACATACTTAAAATATAATACCCTAAGCTCAACATCAACTAATGAGTTCATTTAGTCGTGATCGTCGTTTTGTAACATATATTTTTAAGAGTAACCAATTTTTGTTTAGCTTTGCAGATATAATTATTCAAATGTCAAATTGTATACATTTGTATTTATCTACTTACTTTTGAGGAAAACATCCAATGCTAATTTTTTTTCCTCTAAACTCATAAGCTCTGGATAGATTTATTGGCTGAGTTCTATATTCATATCAAACACGCTTTTTTAATTACCCGTGGCAACATTTACATTGCCTGCCTTCAGGCGTTCGATAAAAGCTTTTCATATAATTTACATTTGAAATTGTTGGACTGTTCGCCGAATCAATGTCAACAAAGTTATTATTATTATATGGGGCTATTATGTATTATTATTACGATATGACAAATACACGTAACGACGTTCTTGAGTGACAACAAAACAACTAGAGATTGTCGAGTTGCATGTAACGACCTGGACAAGTATTGATAATTGCAAATTGAATATCGCGATTGGCAGTGTTATTTGCATTTTCTCGATGGATTCACAGCTGGCATGCGACCACTTTGGATCGAGTAGACTATGCTATATTAAAACTATGAAAACGTGTGAATGGAATGGCTAAAACATTCCAAGACATGCATGGATGGAATGACTGATCGTTGTTATTTTTTTTATTAGTGGCTTGCTGACGGCAAACACGTGCCCGTTCGTTAGTCATTGTGGTCGAGAACAAAAACAGAACCTCTGATAACCGTGGTCTGGGCCAAGGAGAACTGACTCACGGAATATGACAGACTGTGGGGGGTAAAACCAAACCCCCGACACTCACATTCAGCTCCCAACTTTCCAGCTTTCCACTCGGCTTCGTTTACTGCCCTTTTGCCTGTGGGTTGTGGGTTGTGGGTTGTGTGCATCGCCTGATGTCATCGGCCAGTAATGCGTTGGATCGTTTCTGTTATCTCGTCAATTGAACTGGCAGATTCCCCGGTTTCGCCCCGCTCGCGGTCCCGGTTTTCCAATCTGTTATCCCACATTTGTACAGTAGATTTCGGTTAAGCGAATATGGTTGATTGCAGCTAAATATTTTTAGTTTACGAAATATATAGAACTCTTATTAAGTCCCATTTTATATATTTTTTAATCACTAAACGGTATATTAACTATCTTATGTTCATAATTGATATGTTTATAATTTTGTTGAATTAACATATCGGTTTGAAACGGAACCCAGACACCATTTGATATTGTAAACTATTGAATCCATATTTCCGAAAATTTTAATTTGACATTTCAATTAAAGTATGGTAGGTTCTAAGGAAATGAAAAATCTGATGGTCAGCGGGGGGAGCTTACGTACTATTATTATAGTATAGTATAGTATAGATGGTATAGTATTATACCATCTTACCACAACAAATTAACTTTATATTTTGATCAACAACAGTAGAATCAAAAAAGTTAATGGAGAAGGTTTTGCAAGTGTATGGTATTTTACTGAATATTTTTAATATGCACATTTTAAGTTTATCCACTTCAACATATCCGATTTTGTACATTTCCAAAGGAAATTAAATCAGAAGCAGAACTGTATAGTTTTCATCATAACTCGATATTTATTTAATGAATCACATCAACATCCACTTAGCTCACGAAAAGAAAAAATAAACAATTTAATAGAAAAAAATAATAGAGAAACACATCGTTTGTCGAGTTCATTTTGCATTTTTCTAGTGATATTATTTTTTTTTTGTAGAACTCTAGGTGGAGTATCTTTTAGTAACTTTCAGATTCATTAGTTTTTTAGCTTTTTGTGTTTAAATTAATATACATCAGTAGAAACGAAAAAGCTAATCATTTGAATCCAATCCTAATGACAATGAATGCATTGGATTTGCTTGAGAACCCCAGTTTGTTTTGCCGGCACTGTGAAGCGGATTCAATATTTAGCGATTCAACAATTTATTACGAAATTGGAATTCAGGCGCATAACAATTAATAATTACTCGTTAACAGCTTAACTTGATTCATATTCATATTCGTATTCACATTGTCCGTATGTACATTCCAGTATTCACACACTCACTCACACACCGAGCAAACACACATGGCATTGAAATCGATTCAACAGAAGTGTAAAAAAAAGGTTTATATTAAATAATGGAACGTGTTGCGGGCGAGGTGGCGGCTACTCCTCCTGCTCGTCGTTGGTGGTGGTCACCGTCTTCTCCTGTCGCGTGGTGCTGGTGGTGGTGCGGGTTAACGTGAAGACACCGGTGCTGCCCACCTCGTCCAGCGGCTGGGCAATGATGGTCGATGTGGTGCTCTAGAATCGAGGGGCAATGGGCATTACTCTTGGCCCATTAGAACGGGTCAACATGTGTGCAGGTCTTACGCCATTTTTGGTCTCCTCGGGACTCCAGGAGCGCTTATCGTCCAAGTCCTTTGAGCAACAGCCTCCCATGCTAAATGTTTGTATCTGGATTTGTTCCTTGCTGGGTGGGGGGGGTGGGGTTGGGGATATACGTTTGCTTCCCCCTTTCGGGATGTCTCCTGTCTATGTATCTCCGTCCAGGGACTTGTTATTTGTTGTTGCTTCAACGTCGCACGTCTGTCAGCGAATGAGTTTCTCGCTGCAGATGGTCCTCTACATGGGCATTGTGGTCTACGCCCCGGCCTTGGCCCTGGAAGCTGTGACCGGACTGAACCAGGTATTCTCCATCGTGATCGTGGGAGTAGTCTGTACCTTCTACGCGACGCTTGGCGGAATGAAAGCCGTTCTCATCACGGACATCTACCAATCGCTCCTCATGTTCGCCTCGGTCTTTTGCGTGATCATCTGCGCCTGGGTGAAGGCGGGCAGCCTGGAGACGATATGGCGTGTGGCGCAGGAGAACGGTCGCATCAATTTCACCAACTTTAGTGTGGATCCCACGGAGCGGCACACTTGGTTCACCCAGATCCTGGGCGGAAGTGCCACCTACCTGGCCATCTATGGGGTCAACCAAACGCAGGTCCAGCGCCTGATGGCAGTGAGGAGTTTGAGTGCGGCTCGTGCGGCCCTGTGGTGGTGCCTGCCCATTCTGTGCCTGCTGAGCGTAAGCACCTGCTTCTCCGGGCTGTGCATTTACTGGTACTACCGCGACTGCGATCCGCTGTTGGAGGGTCGGGTCAACTCGCGCGACCAGGTTATGCCCCTCTTCGTCGTGGACACGATGGGCGAGTACACCGGCCTCGCAGGGCTCTTCGTCTCGGGGATCTTCTGTGCCAGTCTATCAACGATTAGCTCGATAATCAGCTCACTGGCGGCTGTCACCCTGGAGGACTACCTCAAGCCTTTGGTTAGCTGCTGCGCCAAACGCACGCTCACGGATCGCCAGACTTTGTGGTACTCCAAGTTGCTGTCGCTATTCTTCGGAGCCCTCTGCATTGGCATGGCCTTCATGGCGGGCTCGATTGGAGGACTCCTGCAGGCGGCACTCTCAATCTTCGGCATCATTGGCGGCCCTCTCCTGGGACTCTTCACGCTGGGCATGTACGTGACCAAGGCCAACGAGAAGGGAGCCATCGGAGGACTGCTCATCTCGCTGGTGTTTTGCTTTTGGATCGGTTTCGGCCAACCAAAGCCCCCACTGGTTAGCTTGGACATGTCCACGGCGGGCTGTCCCATTAATAGAAGCTATACTCGCGACATTTTCCTCCAAGCTGCAACAGCGAAGGTTGAGGATGAGCACTTCTTTTACCTGTACAGGATCAGCTACATGTGGTACGCTGCCCTGGGCTTCGTGATTGCCTTTTTCGGCGGCTGGCTCTTGTCCTGGCTGTTCGCCGTCCTCAATTGGGACAACAACCGGCGCATCTACCAGGATGCGGACTGTAAACTGATCAAGCACGATCTCTTCGTGCCGCCGCTGGCCAAACGCCTGCAACGGCGACAGATGCCGCTCCTGGTGGTCACCGGCACCAGCTCGGAGATAGGCGGCATCTCGGTGGAGACTGCATCAGCCCCGCCGCGGCTGGACGAGATCGAGTGGGAGAAACACAAGGCTGTGGCGTAGCTTAACAGACACTTTTAAGAGCTTAAAAACGCTGTTCGCAGCGTTTTATTTGGCGCCGTTTTGATTTTTGTTCTTCATACTTACTTTGCAAGTTTCATTCAGCTGACTTAGCTTTATATTGGGTCGCCCCATCAAGTAGCGGCCTTAAAAAGAAATCATTTCAAATAAGAACAAGTTGGGTGTTTTTCAATATGGTTAAGTTTAATAGCAGTTTTATACGAGCCTAATTAATCCACATTATCATTATAGATGTTTAGAAACTAGTTGTCATTAAAAAAAAGTCACTTTGTTATTTATTATGCGAAAGTGCATCAAATTGAAGCAATCATATCAGAATATCATAGATGCCGTAATATCGTGGACAAGGGTACTCCGAGCTCTTTCCTCTTGTCACATTTTATTAACTGAACTTTGGCTTTAATAAAGGAGCTTACTCATTAGGCAATTAAACTGAATGAGCATCGATGGCTTGGTCGGGCTGCTCGTCTGGTCCGTTTGCCTCGTAGATGTGGCGCTCCTGGCTCAAATGCCAGAGGGCAAGGAGCCTGACCAGTTCCTCGTAGCTGAGGGTTTTCATGTCCCGGTTATCGGACGCCTTCACTCCGGCGAAATTTAACTGCTCCACGAGTGTGATAACGTATTCCTTATCCTCCTCTGCGCTGTGCTCGCCTTTGGGTGCGATTCTTCCGACGAATTCCGACTCGGCCTCGCTCTTCGCCATGCGGGGCAGCTGGTAACCCACGGGCTGCAGGTCCCCCAGCTCGTTTTCGGGGGTCATGGGCAGAGACCAGGCCAGACAAAGGCCAAGGATCACCAGGAACAGGACGTTACCCGGAATGAGATTCATGTTTGCGACCGACTGCGAGTAGCTTTGCTTTGGCACTGCCGCCTCGTCTGTCGATCGTGGCCTGGACTCGGGTTGCGCTCCAATTTCTATCTGTTTTCCGCCCCCCTCGCCCACTCGGACCCCTATCGCTCATTCGAAAGCCCCGTGTGGACAGTGCTGCCAGTTAGGCCATTCTTTTCCCCGTAGCATCTGGCTTTTTTTAACACTTCAATTTTGAAGAACTGAAACACAAAATTATACTCGTGCTGTAAGTGAGGCAGAACACTCCATCGCAAAAGATGGATCGTAAAATATAAAGTAAAAGTTCTTGGTGCAAAATGATCACATCTTAAAAGTAAAGATTTTTATACCCTTGCAGAGGGTATTATAATTTCAGTCAAAAGTTTGCAACGCAGTGAAGGAGACATTTCCGACCCTATAAAGTATATATATTCTTGATCAGCATCACCAGGAGAGTCGATCTAGCCATGTCCGTCTGTCCGTCTGTCCGTCCGTCTGTCCGTCCGTCTGTCCGTCTGTCCGTCTGTCCGTCTGTCCGTCTGTCCGTCCGTTTCTACGCAAACTAGTCCCTCAGTTTTAAAGCTATCTGGTTGAAACTTTCCCAAAAGTTGTCTTTCTATTGCAGGTAGTATATAAGTCGGAACGAGCCGGATCGGGCCACTATATCATATAGCTGCCATATAACTGAACGATCGGAAAAGCCATAACTTTGGTGTTTTTAAAGTTAGGAAGTTGGGATTTTCTATGGGTTTTATTTTTGGCCAATCAATCCGATCTACCAAATTTCATAAGGATCGGAGGACTATATCCTATAGCTGCCATATAACTGATTGATCGGAAATGCCATAACTTTGATGTTTGTAAAGTTAGGAAGTTGGAATTTTCTATGGGTTTTATTGTTGGCCAATCAAACCCACCTACCAAATTTCATAAGGATCGGCCGACTATATCCTATAGCTGCTATATAACTGAACGATTGGAAATGACATAACTTTGGTGTTTTTAAAGTTAGGAAGTTGGGACTTTTTATGAGTATTAAGAATGCATCATATGAATAATTTTGGAGAATATAATTTATAGAATATTCTGCAAGGGTATATCAACTTCGGCTCCGCCCGAAGTTAGCTTTCCTTTCTTGTTTAAATTTGAATCAACGGCCTAAAATCTAAGTTTTCATAGAATTCAATATTTACCAAAGTGTTCGATTTTAATGTTCAAATAATGAAGGGTCAAATACAGTATATGTCTTCGGATTTAAAAAATAAGAAAGATTAAAAAAAAAAAAAAACTAAATTTTGTATCTTTAAATTATATATCGAATATATATAATCCCAAACTAAATTGAAATGTTAAGTAAACATCTTACAATAAATTAAAAAATACATATATCAGGAGGTTTTTTGTAAACCCGAATTTTAAAATTAAAGTAAAAACTGCTTGTACTTAAATATAACTTAAAGTGTCGTACAAGTTTATTCGTCTAAACAATAAGTGTTTAATATTTTTTTCGCAACACTGTCATTGGGGCTGCTTTTGATTGAAAAGTCAGTCTAGGGTCGGTTAAATTATTTTATCTACATTTGCTGCACATACATCGATCCCTTGTTCAGTCTTGTACATATGTTATTTAATGGCCTGTGCTTTCGTTTGAATTCGCTTTTGTATTTTGTGTTACGTTTTTGTCCGCCTCCAATTCAATTTATCTGCGCAGTTTGTACGCCCGCTGTCTTCTATTTTCTGCATTTTGGTTGGCCTAATCTTATCTATTGTTATTCGTTCTCTCTCTGGCGAAAAACCCAATTGAACGAACCGTTGTAATCGTGAATAACTTTCAATAATTGAAGTAGATATGGATTAACCAGTCGCTTTGCTTAAAAGTGACGCCCCGCGTTTAAAATCCAGACACATTGAATGCCATCGAAAGGTGGTGAATTTTTAGTATGCGCGATTCGGAATCCAATGACTTTTTAAAATATAAGATAATTGTTTAAATATAAATATGTTATAATTATTAAGAAAATTTAAATCTTAAAGGAGGAAACGTAAGATGTTTTTGGTTAATTACAAATACAAAATTCAAACTTTTCTTATGGTCAAAATAATATTAAAATTGTTAGACATCAGTTTAAGGCGTTGCACAATGGTTTTAAAGTTTCCGTAAAAATTTCTCAAACGACAAGTAATGTCAGGTAGAAAACATTTTTCCAAAAAAATTCCATCCGATATGCCTTAAAAGCACCAAATCGACATTAAGGGATTATCCGGGTCTTGGAGCACGAAAAAAAGCCTATTTTCGTAAATTTTTTTTAAAGATCTTATGACAATTTCACAAATTTAATTTATTGTACATTAATGTTTATGGTTTGACCAACATTGTGTAAAAATTTGAACCAAATATTTTTAAAATTGAGCCGTTGAGGCAGGCTTGAACTTGACCTCATAAAAAATTGTGTCCTTGCGGTAGGCAAAATATCTCCGCCAATTTTTGTCTGAAATTAAAAAACTAAAATTATTCTGATAGTGTATGTGCCTCGCTTGTCCTCTACGAGCCATTTTTTTAAAAAATTAAAAATTGAATTTTTGTAGCGCTTTTCATAAAAAAAATTTTAAAAATCCCTCCGTTAAGGACAAGAGAATTATGTCTAAAAGAGGTGTGCAAAAGCAGAAGTTGATCGGTGCAATAGTTTTTGAGAAATCGTGACTACCGACTTCAAAAAAGTGGTTTTGAGAAAAACGCGTTTAAAGTGCCGCATCTGCCCGACGCCAGAGCCCGAATGGCCCGTTGTGACGTTCGACGCGCTGGGCTTTAAATTTCTCCCATTCCTACAGTTTTGCTTCGATCGACTTGAAATTTTCAGACAACATTCCTGAAACTTTGTACTATTATATAAAAAAGTTTGAAAAAAATGAATTTTTTGAAGTGTCAAGACCCGGATAACCCCTTAAAACCTTAAAATTGTTCTACAAATTTGGAACGCCGTAATGTACATACTTAAAATATAATACCCTAAGCTCAACATCAACTAATGAGTTCATTTAGTCGTGATCGTCGTTTTGTAACATATATTTTTAAGAGTAACCAATTTTTGTTTAGCTTTGCAGATATAATTATTCAAATGTCAAATTGTATACATTTGTATTTATCTACTTACTTTTGAGGAAAACATCCAATGCTAATTTTTTTTCCTCTAAACTCATAAGCTCTGGATAGATTTATTGGCTGAGTTCTATATTCATATCAAACACGCTTTTTTAATTACCCGTGGCAACATTTACATTGCCTGCCTTCAGGCGTTCGATAAAAGCTTTTCATATAATTTACATTTGAAAATCAGTCCAACGTTCGCCGAATCAATGTCAACAAAGTTATTATTATTATATGGGGCTATTATGTATTATTATTACGATATGACAAATACACGTAACGACGTTCTTGAGTGACAACAAAACAACTAGAGATTGTCGAGTTGCATGTAACGACCTGGACAAGTATTGATAATTGCAAATTGAATATCGCGATTGGCAGTGTTATTTGCATTTTCTCGATGGATTCACAGCTGGCATGCGACCACTTTGGATCGAGTAGACTATGCTATATTAAAACTATGAAAACGTGTGAATGGAATGGCTAAAACATTCCAAGACATGCATGGATGGAATGACTGATCGTTGTTATTTTTTTTATTAGTGGCTTGCTGACGGCAAACACGTGCCCGTTCGTTAGTCATTGTGGTCGAGAACAAAAACAGAACCTCTGATAACCGTGGTCTGGGCCAAGGAGAACTGACTCACGGAATATGACAGACTGTGGGGGGTAAAACCAAACCCCCGACACTCACATTCAGCTCCCAACTTTCCAGCTTTCCACTCGGCTTCGTTTACTGCCCTTTTGCCTGTGGGTTGTGGGTTGTGGGTTGTGTGCATCGCCTGATGTCATCGGCCAGTAATGCGTTGGATCGTTTCTGTTATCTCGTCAATTGAACTGGCAGATTCCCCGGTTTCGCCCCGCTCGTGGTCCCGGTTTTCCAATCTGTTATCCCACATTTGTACAGTAGATTTCGGTTAAGCGAATATGGTTGATTGCAGCTAAATATTTTTAGTTTACGAAATATATAGAACTCTTATTAGGTCCCATTTTATATATTTTTTTTAATCACTAAATATAATCACTTAAAATATGGTAGGTTCTAAGGAAATGAAAAATCTGATGGTCAGCGGGGGGAGCTTACGTACTATTATTATAGTATAGATGGTATAGTATTATACCATCTTACCACAAAAAATTATCTTTATATTTTGATCAACAACAGTAGAATCAAAAAAGTTAATGGAGAAGGTTTTGGAAGTGTATGGTATTTTATTGAATATTTTTAATATGCACATTTTAAGTTTATCCACTTCAACATATCCGATTTTGCACATTTCCAAAGGAAATGAAATCAGAAGCAAAACTGTATAGTTTTCATCATAACTCGATATTTATTCAATGAATCACATCAACATCCACTTAGCTCACGAAAAGAAAAAATAAACAATTTAATAGAAAAAAATAATAGAGAAACACAGCGTTTGTCGAGTTCATTTTGCATTTTTCTAGTGATATTATTATTTTTTTTTGTAGAACTCTAGGTGGAGTATCTTTTAGTAACTTTCAGATTCATAGTTTTAGCTTTTTGTGTTTAAATTAATATACATCAGTAGAAACGAAAAAGCTAATCATTTGAATCCAATCCACTTCATAATGACAATGAATGCATTGGATTTGCTTGAGAACCCCAGTTTGTTTTGCCGGCACTGTGAAGCGGATTCAATATTTAGCGATTCAACAATTTATTACGAAATTGGAATTCAGGCGCATAACAATTAATAATTACTCGTTAACAGCTTAACTTGATTCATATTCATATTCGTATTCACATTGTCCGTATGTACATTCCAGTATTCACACACTCACTCACACACCGAGCAAACACACATGGCATTGAAATCGATTCAACAGAAGTGTAAAAAAAGGTTTATATTAAATAATGGAACGTGTTGCGGGCGAGGTGGCGGCTACTCCTCCTGCTCGTCGTTGGTGGTGGTCACCGTCTTCTCCTGTCGCGTGGTGCTGGTGGTGGTGCGGGTTAACGTGAAGACACCGGTGCTGCCCACCTCGTCCAGCGGCTGGGCAATGATGGTCGATGTGGTGCTCTAGAATCGAGGGGCAATGGGCATTACTCTTGGCCCATTAGAACGGGTCAACATGTGTGCAGGTCTTACGCCATTTTTGGTCTCCTCGGGACTCCAGGAGCGCTTATCGTCCAAGTCCTTTGAGCAACAGCCTCCCATGCTAAATGTTTGTATCTGGATTTGTTCCTTGCTGGGTGGGGGTGGGGTTGGGGATATACGTTGGGGATAAACCTATGTATCTCCGTCCAGGGACTTGTTATTTGTTGTTGCTTCAACGTCGCACGTCTGTCAGCGAATGCCGCGCCGTTTGCCGGTGCTCACTTGTTAGCCAACGCCAACGCGAACGCCAACCCAGCCCAACCCAACCCAATCCAAGCTGCGCCGCCAGCTGCGACTGCGACGCCGGAGTTGTCATAGCTCCATATCAATTCTAGAAATATGTCTCAGCGAGCTCGTATTTTGTATTGTGTTGAATACAATAAATAAAGTGTACCTACATATATCCCCGCACACACACACACACACACACACAAGCGTTATAAATACATATATTCTGTGAGCTGTATAAACAAACCACTCACATTCCACCTACCACCCCCACATACTCCCCATTTCGGGAGGAATTGTCGGTGCCGAGAGTGTCCGATCCCCCAAACACAGTCATCATCTTTATTTTCGAAAGCGAACCTGGCCTTGTCGGCTTAACGGTTCCATTTGCCTATCGATCAGGTGCGTCCGTTCGATTCTGGACTGGCATTGTTGTCTGAGGTCGATTCGAGGGCCAAACCTTCCAAATAATACCTCCCGGGAGGCCCAATATAGAGGAGGTACCAATATAAGTACCGCAATCAATCATAACCGATCCGCCTTAAATATACAAGTTTATCCATTTTTAGGATTTGTAAAGCCTGGTTATTAATTAACTTACTTTTCCTTTAAGCACAATTAAAGTAAAAGCCTTTGGAATATATTATTAACTTCATAATCTATAAATCCTTTCATTTATCATATTATCTTAGAAAAATGAATGGTAAAAGTTACCATAATTTACTGAGGGCACAGAAACCTCTTCAAACTAGTTTCTAATCGCCAACTTTTAAACCGAAATGGAAAGCTACAAAAAAACCAATGTCAGTATAACTAGAGATTTTAACATATTTAAATGAATTTATATGAATAAAGCTATAGATAATTGAGATAATAATTGAGCCCTTAATAGACCATTAGTTCAGTATACTAATTAAGGGCTTTAAACAGAAGGCAGGCCAGTCTGGAAAAGTACACAGCTTGTGGTTAACCCTAGTAAATATTTATTCATGGAATGTATGGCGAAGAAATTGCAAAGTAAAGTTAAACAAAAAGAAGACAGAGCTGGTAAATTGAACAAACACTACAATTTGTCATTTTAGAATACGACAGCAAGGGGTTTATGCTGATTTGCCATAGTTAACCGGAAAAAAAACAGACTAGGGTTAACAACTCCAACCCAAAGCGAGGGCTGCCCAGGGTGGGTGGGTGTTGGACAAGGGAGACAAAAATATATAATATAATAATAACAGCTAATGCCCGTAATAAATAAATTTATCGCATTAATGCGCAATGAATGAGTGGGCTAGATGTGCGGCTGTTCGCAGACTTATCTTGTTGTGATACCGCTGATATAAATAGGGTCGAGTGGCGAATGACGAACGGAGGGGGGTGGGAGCATGGCGATCATTCACACGATCATTATTCGCATGCGTCGGTGAATATGGCCCCCATCTTTGTGCCCGACTGTACCCGAAGTGATCCCATAAATTGAATTACCACTGATTCAGCTGATTCTTTGTATACAAACGCCTATATATGGTGTGGTGCATATGTATGTACATACGTCTGCTGCAGTCCGATTAGATTTCAGCGGCCAGAAACAATAGTCAAGTGACCGATATTGGTATCGGCCCCAGATCTTTGACCTTCGCATTGGCAGCAGAGGAAGTGCCAGTGGAGTCGGAGTTGGTTGCTCTCGGATTCACCCCTGCTTTTTGCATGCCATACACTCAGCACATCCGGATAAGTGATCGTAATTAAATCTCTGACAGTTTGAGTGATAAGGCTGCTTCGCCCGAAAATGTAATTAGGTGACGAGTACGAGTCCGAAGACTCGGAAATGAATGGCATGCGTTCCACTAATTCTCATATCGTAATTAGGTGCTATGTGACGGGTGAACAGAGCCAATTAACGATGGTCATAATTATTAAATGACGGTGGTAATTAAAGTCATGTTTGGCCAACTAGATTAATAATGATTTGAGTCGGAAGGGAAGAGACGCAATCCTTACTTACTAAATTAGTCTTATAATTCCATAAATGCCATACATTTTACATTCCTACGAGTAGACTAGAAAAGCATTATGTTAACACAAAAAGACAGCACTGTGCCTTTTACTATAATATGTCTTTATTCGGTGGCTTACAAAAGTTCAGAAGATTTCTAGTGAGTTACTTGGGGAAAGCTGAACACCACTTCATGTTTGTACAGACTTGTACGTGCTTTCCTGTGGTTAGATTTTCGGAGCTATATCTGCTTCTAACACTCCCTTTCGATGGATCACACAAAACCAACACGAAATGTGGAGCAGTGCTGGCAAATAGAACAGCGCCCATTCTGGGGCTGGTCATGAGTTGGCAGATGAGATAATTTGAGTCGCTGCTATCTGTGCTCCATATAACAATGCTATATAATTGCCAGACGTCTAATGAATCCCCTTCCTCTTCTTTTCCATTTTCTTTTTGCAGTTACAAAATGCACAGATATACGAAAAGGAAACACTTTTGCGGGCCCTATTGGCAGCGATGTCGCCCCACGTCTTCATCCCGCAATATTGGCGGGCAGAACGCAACTGCGTGGTCTTCTTCACCGACGACTACGAGGTGGCCGAGCGCATCCAACATCTGGGCAGGCACGCCCAGCTCCCCGATGGTTATAGGCTAATGCCACGCGTGCGCAGCGGAATACCACTGGTGGCCATCGACGATGCCTTCAAGGAGAAGATGAAGGTCACCATGGCCAAGCGGTTCAACTTGCAGACCAAGGCATTGGATCTCTCCCGATTCCATGCCGACCCCGAACTCAAACAGATCTTCTGCCCACTCTTCCGGCAAAACGTGATGAGCGCCGCCATCGACATTATCTGCGAAAATATTCCCGATCTGGAGGCCATCAACCTGAATGACAACTGCATGACCAGCATGGAGGCGTTCAAAGGCGTTGAGAAGCGTATACCGAACCTCAAGATCCTCTATTTGGGGGATAACAAGGTTAGTATTTCCTAAAATCATTGACATTTTTTGTTCTTTTAGATAACCAAACCCAATATGGACCTACTTAAAATTTAGTTCGACGGACAAAAAAAAAAAAAAAAAGCTAAGAATAAATTATACAAATTAAAGTGGTGTACAAAGAAGCACGCAATTTATGTTGTAGTAGCTAAACAGCGTTTTCAAATCGAGATTCTGACCCAATAACTGTAATAGTTTTCTTTGTCAGCATAAAAAGAAGTCCAAACGTAAATTTTTTTAACGACGCGACTAAAGCGTTCTTTCCTTCTCAAAATTAAACTATTGCCTAAGAGTTAGATAACGTACTGAACCCAATTCATTTTCTAGATACCATCATTGGCCCACCTTGTGGTGTTTCGCAACCTGTCCATCTTGGAACTGGTTTTAAAGAACAATCCGTGCCGTTCTCGCTATAAGGATTCGCAACAATTTATCAGGTATACTATGGTGTGATCGGCTCTCTTCTAACCATTCTAGAGGATGCTGCCACATAATCGACGTGGGAGTTGCCGCGTCGGGAGTCACAGAGGAATTAGGATTAGCAAATTTCCATTGTTCTGTTGTCTCCATTCTTATTTCAAGCTGATGCGCTGCAGAATTGTAGCCCAAAACCAGGTGGAAATCCTTCGCTTGCTACAATTAAGCTTGAAAGGCCTTCAGTCAAGTTACGAAAAGCGGTTGAGAAGGCAAAAGCATTTAGAGGAAAACAGTTTCGAAATTAGCTGCCCTAAAGCAAGGGCAGCGCTCAAGCATTGGAACAGATTTTGGGCAGGGCAGTAAAAAATGTATACACAAAATATGAAAAAAAAACTTTAAAAAAAAATATATAAAAAATGTTACGTTGGAACCCAATCAATTCACCATGCAAAGCTAAACTAACGACGCTACTGAACCTACACAACCCGCACCGTTCGCATTTCCATTTGAGCAGGCGGACATGCTGCAGTCCCAAACACAGCAGCAACTTAAACAACGTTAGCAAAACACCGATGGTAAAATCACAAAAATCGAATAATTGATAAAAATCCACCAACCCACCCACCGCGCACCCCGCTACAACACACACGGGCACACGCATGTAACCACTCCACGCCAGCGCACGCACGCGTTTGCGCATGCGCACTTGCGGTTGCGCCAAGTTCTCATTAGCTGCGTGCCCTGTGCGCGCTGTTGTGTTGCGTTGTTGTGTCGCCGCTTGTTGATTTTGCGGCGGTTGCCAGGAAGAGGAGGAGGAGTAGGAGTGGTGCTAATGACCCCCCATTAAGGTGCGCAGCGTCCAGCAGGACAAAAAACAAAAACCTTAAACAAACGGACTAGGACAAAAAATACAAACAGCCGGACGACTTTACTGCTGGCGCCAGCGGCCGCTACGTTGGGTTGCCAGTCGTTTACATTCTTTTGTACGGCTTCGTTGGGTGCATGATCCGCCTGTGGATGTGACGTGTGTGAACGTGACGTGACATGAACGGACACGCATTGGACTGAAGTGACGCAGCATTTAGCTTTTGCACTCGGCCATCGAAGCCACCTTTTTGATTGGGGCCACACCGTGTGAAAAAAAAGCCAACTAAAAAAAGAAAAAAAGAAAGAAAAAAAAAGAAAGTACAAACAAAGATAAACACAAAAGATGCCTAGGCACAATGCACTGCCCAATTTTACTTTTCCGCTGCACTCAAAAAGTAGCATCATTCAAATAATGGCACAACAATGGCCAAGCACCTAGTGCCTCTGCCTCTTCAGCTGATCAAAGCTCAGCGAACTTTTGTGAGCCTGTCGAGTAGCGTTAAAATTGTATGTAGATCACTATGCATAGCATTAGAGATCATTACGCAGGGAAGTCACCCCTGGTATCAGCTTGAGTGCAACTCCTGCAGCGCATACACCCCACAAAAAACCCATTTAATTATTATTTCTCACTATTTAACTCGCATATCTATCATCGCCTCTCCGCTAATGCCAACAAAAATACGGCCGAATATCCACTTCGAACTATTTACAGCGAAGTACGTCGCAAGTTCCCTAAACTACTGAAGTTGGTAAGTGCAAAGCCCCACAGAATCTTTTCAACTTTCCCCTTAGTTGGCAGCGTGATGGGAATTCCCTAATTGATTCTGTTAATACATATTTTTCACTCAACATCCTAGTTTTAAACTTTGAAGTGACCTAAATATAACCACGTTCTGGATTTGAAACTACTTTTTGAAAACTTTGTAAAAGTCAAAATCTCCTATAGAATTTTAAAGAAAACTGATCAATAAAACGATTTAAAGTGAAGTGAACCTTCAATTGGGACAACTATATGGATATCAAGAAGGTTTAAAATAAAGGAAATGGTACTTTACATTTTTCGATTCCCATCACTGCTAGTTTCTCGCTTCAAAGATCCCACAAACCAGGCACTGAAACCGATTGGAATACCGGTTTCGGCTCCTATAAAAATCTGTTAGCGGTTCCGATTCCAATTTCGGTTCAATCGAAAATTAAAATTTCGGTTTCGTTCCGATTCCGGTTCCGTAAAAAGGAAACGGTTCCGGTTCCGTAAAAAGGAAACGGTTCCGATTCCGTAAAAAGGAAACGGTTCCGATTCCGTAAAAAGGAAACGGTTCCGGTTCCGTAAAAAGGAAACGGTTTCGGTACCGGTACCGGTTCTCTTCAGTCCCTGCCACAAACCATAACCCAATTAACCCCATTTAGGATGGAGAGGCCCTGGCGCCGCAGGTTACTTTTGATCTTAACGAGTCTGGAAGAATTCTCGATACGAAGGCCTCCTTCCTGTGCGACAACGCCGGCGCCGAGGTGGTGCGCCAGTTCCTGGACCAGTACTTCCGCATATTTGACTCGGACAACCGGCAGTCCCTGCTGGATGCCTACCACGAAAACTCAATGCTCTCTATAACGATGCCGTCAGCCAATCAGGCGGGAAGGTACGCATAATTCATTAAAGAAAACCAGACATCAAGATCCTTACTCGTCTTTTCTTGTACTACAGCCGCTTGAATAGCTTCTGGAAGTTCAATCGCAACCTGCGAAGATTGGTGAACAGCGACGACCACCGCACCCGGCACTTGAAATACGGACGTCTGGCCTGCGTTTCCACGTTGGACGAATGGCCACGGACACTGCACGAGCGTCGCACCTTCACCGTCGATCTGACTATTTTCAATGTGAGCAAAAATTATAAGTAGAATCCGCAGGATATCCCCATTCCACATTTTCTGCTTATCGATTTCTTATCCGTTTGTATAAAAGACCGAATCTAACATTAATAGACAAAGAAAAACATAAAATTCGGGCTCACTAATCATTTGATTTTACTGTGGACTTAAGTTCATCTTGTGTGTATAAACATTTAATTAATCATACTTTCTCCCCAAACCCAGACTTCAATGATGGTGTTTACCGTGACTGGATTATTCAAGGAGCTGAGCGGCGAAGCCAGCACTCCCGCCTCCATGCAGTCGTATGAACTGCGCCACTTTGCCCGCACCTACGTGGTGGTGCCGCAGAACACCGGCTATTGCATCCGCAACGAGACCATCTTCATCACGAACGCCTCGCAGGAGCAGGTGCGCGAGTTCAAGCGATCGCAGCACCAGCCGGCTCCCGGGGCCATGGCCTCGACTTCGGCAAGTGTCACGGCGACCAGCACGCAGCTGGCGACGGGTCTGCAGGGCCGTCTCAATCCGGGCGGCATTGGTGCGGTGGCTGGGGCGGTGGCCATTCTACCGGCTGCTCCGCTGGCATCCACCTCACCGGTGAACAGCGGCAGTGCCGCAGTCCCAGTAGCGGTTGCGCCTAGCGGCACAGCGGGCATGCAAGATGAAAACACCAAAATGCAGATGATACAAGCCATGAGTGCGCAGAGCCAAATGAATGTGCTATGGAGCCGAAAGTAAGTCCAATTTCACAACACATAATTAAACAACTTGGTTAACACCTGTCTTTCACTGAAATAGATGTCTGGAGGAAACGAATTGGGATTACAACCATGCCGCCTTTGTGTTCGAGCAACTTTTCAAGGAAAACAAAATACCACCCGAGGCTTTTGTCAAGTAAATCTAAAAAAGTTGGACTAGTAGGAGTTGCTGATGCTCCCGATAAACAGAGCAAAGTGCCACGTACACAAAATCAAATGTTTTGTTTATTTGTTTTCGTTTTGTAATTATTTTATAAATCATTTGGAATCACCCCTAAACTGTAATAAACTGGGAAGTTGTGACCACAAACGGGCAGTAGCGATTGTTAGCCCAGCTCTGCGGACATTGTGCCACAACGATTATAGCCCTTTGATAGGTATATTTATCTCGCTTTAAGTTCCGTCCGCAGACCCGCTGGCCAACACTAGAACTTGAGTGCCAGGACGAGTCTGCGAACGGTTGCCCCTTAGAATTAAGAATTGTTTCTAGAACCCTAACCGAACCCACACACCGAAAAAATAATTTGTACATCAATGTTATCAAAACAAAAGCAAAACAAATTATAGTTTAAGCCACCAAGGCTTTCCTGGCAAATGCGATGTATGGAGTGCATCTCTCGCCCTCGTTTTTAATCCTGTCTGTCCCGCTTCTCAAGTAGCCTTAAATTTTGATATAAAAAGACCATCGAATGAATACAAACATAATTGAAAACAAGCGTTTATTAGTAGGAAACTTGGACAAGCAATAACAATGACCATTGTGTAAATTTTGTAATGAATCAGAAACCAACATTACTTTTTTTTCCTTAATAGCAAAAACAACATCTTCAATTCATGCTTAGCCGTAAGTCCAATTAAAATTAAGTGTGCGGTATATAGAAATTATATATATAAATATTTAAGTGTAGAATCGTAAATAAATTTATTAGAATCGAATGACAACACTGCGTTTTATTTTATTTTTATTTAAACGTTATGAAAGTTTTATTCACTATTTTGATGTACATTGACTCTCTAGAATCGACTGAAATTCGTTATAAATTGCAGAAGGGCAATTTAAAAATATGATATTAAAACCTTGTCACGATTAGCTACATTTACGTAGCTCAGTTTTGGTTATTGCCTTAGATTCAAAAAATGTTGGAATATATCGCTATTTCCATATCCAGATTTTTTGTCCATTATCTTTAAAAAAGCATCGAAATATGTAATTCAGTCAAGATCGTTTTAAAAAAAAGATTATATAAACTTAACGAATGGGTAACCAAAATTATACCACATTTTTAAGGGTACAAGGAATGTATTTTTTAAGAAATTCGAAGAGTTGCTTGTAATTTGAAATGTTGATCCGCAGCACAGTAGTTTTAAGACAACAACATAATTGTGATCTGTATAAAATAAAACTTAATGCTAACTAAACCAAACTCATTTTTTGATATTTCCTTTTCCAAGGGCAACCCCATTTATAAAATATAATTTAAATTGTTATTTTTGAATGAAAGATAGTAGAATAATAAATTTTAAGGGCTATTTCTCTAAATTTTTAAAACAAAAAGTCATTAAAACTTTTCTAAAATTAAAAAACTATGGTTCAAGTCAATGCTATTCATTTCTATTTTTAATTTTAATAAAATTTTTTAATGTTTTTTTTCATAATATAAATAAATATAATAAAATTTTGAAATTGACATAAATCTGTTAACAATTTTTTTTACTTGGACCTAGTATTTATCATGAGATAAGCATGTTATTATTAAATGCTTTTCAAATTATTTATATTTTCACTTATAAAAATATTAAGAATAAAATAAACTCATCGGTTATTAAAAAATATACTAAAACTGTTGTGCCCATAGTCGATCAATGATGCTGCGGTTTTTTCTTTCTCGAGGCCTTTTCTGTGGTTCGTTGGAGCTTATCCATTTTCTTCTGGGCTTCCCGGTCCCGGGCCTTTGTCCACAGGGCAATCTTCTGCTGGGTGCGTTCGGTATGGACAGCCACCTCCCTTTCAGCCTTGATACTGAACTCTTTTATTTGTGTCTCGTTGTGGAGGAAAAGGGGTCGACAGTTCTTTCGCATCCAGCTTTTGCAGACCCTTTTTTTATTCTTTTTAAGGAAACGAAAGATTGGTGGCGCTTCCTCTGGCTCAGGTTTAAAAGCCTCGACCTCATCAGAATTTCTCTTTCGCCGCTTTAGCCCGCATAGGAGAATGAAAAGAACAAAGATTGCAGCCAAGGCCAGAACGAGACCCATAATTCTGCCCAGATCGAACTCATTCGCCTCCACTTCGGCTTCTTCGTTCACTTCCTTGGCCAGTTCCCGCTTCAGCCGATGGCAATCCACGGCGGTCATGCCCTCGACGTCCGCCTTAAAGACAGCAGGAGAATCGTCCAGCCACCACATGGGCAACATATCCGTATTGTTGAGGAGGTCCCGGCATTTCGTATAGACTTGGACCATCCATTCCTGGCAGTCTGGGCTATTGATATCGACTTTGCAAATAGGATTCATGATCCACACTGATTAAAAAATGAATCACAACTTATATTTTACATGTAATGAGATGAGCGAATACAAATATCCCACTATGATCGTAAAAAAAAGGGCGCCTATTTGTTTTTTCAAAAAGTTCCAAGACCCCAAATAATTTCTAAACCTTTTCCATCTGATTTTTTTATCTAAATCTTTTCCTTCTGTTTATTTTACATGGCGTTAACTGAAATTTGTATAACATTAAAATTATCCATTTTAAATTAGTAGACATTGAATTTATGTACACGGCCAATATTCCGTTAAGATGGCCTACCATTGAAAATATTTGTCCCTTCAGTGTTTTTTGGTTCTTGTCTGAGGGTAATTTAATTAATAGCAGCCTTTTATTTTTTCTATGTTTGGTCACCTCGAGGTCGCGTTCCATCCCTCTGGTTTGCATATACCAAGGAGTTCCAGTTGTAGAATTTGGATCTTTTTAAGGTTTCTTATTCGCAGCGTTAAATGGCATACGAATTACCTTCTTTTGAGCTGTAATATAGAATTGCATACTGTTAGGCTGTTGCATTTGTTTAATTAAACCAAAAAATACATTGCATGCAACTGGGCGCTCTTCAAATTAAAAATCTGTTAATACACTGTTATCCGATATAACATATGTTGATCACTTTTTAGGCTAACTGGCCTAATAAAATACTTTTAATTAACATGTTATATACAAAATTCAATTTGCTTACAAAATTTTTCATTTTATTATTAAAATATATATTTTATTCCTGACATCGATTGCAAGCATACAATAAATTTAACAAACTGCAGCTTTTTTTGGTTATATCATATTATAAGTAGTTTTGGGTGATAGAAAAAATAAACTTTTAAAATTCACTTGATCGGTTTCTGGAAACTAAAACAAATATCATGTTCACCCAAGACTTACTTAATTCAGAGTAATAAATTTCATTTTAGAAACATAAAAAACTAAATAGAAAAAGACATGCTTACACGAACAAACTTTGTATGTACTTTAGTCATGAGTGCCAGCTTGTTGCTCTAGGAAATTTAAATAAATGAATTAAAATTCAATGGAACCAAGTTAGGGCCAAATAAAACTAAAGGAACCGACTTCAAAGATTCTTTTATGTAGCCCAATTCATTATAACCCGTTCGGGGCGCCTTGGAAGAACTCTTTTCCCGCATTGTCATGAGGCAGCGCCCAAATGTTGACTTGAGTCCTAGGACTAGGACCTAGGTCCTTTGTGCCGGTCCCTTGCGGAGCGTGTGACGGGGCAAGGACAACAAAGGAGTCGAATAACAAAAAGCTTTTCTAGTTTCACAGCTTTCCGCAGCCGGATTTGGGCTTTGTTTGCGGTGTCGGATCCTCAGTTTGGCCACAGCTGTCCGGCAATCGGGTGGGATTCAACAATTGGTCAGCAACTGGACGCAACTGGTAGTGGGCAGTGGGCAGCGTGAGAAGCGGCGGGCGCCCAGCATCCCAAGTGAATCCCGGGGCCAGCTGGCCCACTCGTGTGGTCCACACAATGGACTCGGGATCAAGCTACAACCGGACGCCTTTGTTATTCAAAATTAGCCAGCAGAAAGGCGGCGACTGGACCAAGGTACTGGCCAGAATCCAGCATCTGTCGAGGATCTCGCAAGGCGCCCAAAATGGTCAATCAAGTTGAGCTTGTTCTTATTTTAACGGTCAACTCCTTGATGTCCAGCTGCCTCATAGCTAAGTAAATCATTGTGCATGGATTTTCTCACATCATATTTCTAGGGGAGATTGAAATTAAAAATGGGTTTTGAAAACAAGAAACATAGATAAATGATTGAGCCAGATAGTGCAACTTTAAAAACAAATGTAGATTTGTAGCACCATTCTGGTCTTTACCGAATGCTGAGGTTCCCTATAGGCTATCAATTTATTTGATTGTTTTAAATGAATAAGACATTACAGAAAACATAACTAATAAAGCCACACGATTCCCAACTATGTATATAAATGCAGTTTCAAAAACAAGAGAGAACGCTATAGTCGAGTGCCTCGACTATTAGATACCCGTTACTCAGCTAAACAACTTAAAATAAAATATGCCTTCTTGTATGTTTTTCGCCGCTCGAATTAGCACCTTGGCCAGCTGTTCCAAAGTCATCCGTTAGATGGCGCTATTGTATTGCGTTTAAGCGTTTAATGCGTTTTTGGGCGTTAGAGTGGGCGTGGCAAACTTTTATTAGGCCAATCGATAGGTATTGACGAAACAAATACATATCAATTAAAATTTTCATAATATCATCAAAACTGTGGCCACAGTTTGTGGCTTGTGGGCGTCAGAGGGGGCGTGGCACCATTTTGAAACAAACTTGCGCTGCGCAGGAACTCCTATAATCTACATGCAAAATGCCAATCTTCTAGCTTTTATAGTTTCCGAGATCTCAGCGTTCATACGGACGGACATGGCTAGATCGACTCGGCTAGTGATCCTGAACAAGAATATATATACTTTATAGGGTCGGAAACGCTTCCTTCTACCTGTTACATACTTTTGCACGAATACAATATACCCTTTTACTCTACGAGTAACGGGTATAATAAATATAACTGGTGCGATGTGTGTTTCATGTTTTCCCTTTATTTTATATTACCAACTATTAAATATTAACACGTTATTTCATATTAAAATTTGTACTATTACAAGGTCCAATAATCGTGCTAAATTTACAGCGGTTTTGGAATATTGCCATACATTAATTATACATAATTTGGTTTACTCCCAAATATTCTTGTTATCTTCATAATGATCACTCACTGGTTTTTATTTTAAAATAAAGTGCAGTTTATTTATTCCCGATTAGGGCCATGTATTAAGCAGTCTTTTAGACAAACTTTGATGCTCGCACTTCACCTTAGGGAATCAGTTATTAAATTTGTAAAGTGCCTTGCCATAGGAAAATAGTTTTGGATTAAAGCAGTATTAAAACTTAAGCCAATCGAAGCGTAGGAGCAGTCGGGGTAGCGAGGCGAGGACAGGACCTAGTGTATATATATATGTGAACACATATTCGTTGCCTGACAAGAGTCAATGATCGCACGGCCGCTGAAACTGTTGAAAAATGAGAGGAACGTGAAATCGCAATCAAGCGCGAGGGATCAGAATGGCAAGAGGGGGATGGGGAGGGGGAGGGGGTCGCCTAATCCGGCTGACGCAGGATCAGGACACGCAGGCGCGACAGGACAGGGTGTGTGGGCACGAGGATTCGCTCGTTCAGTCGGAACATTTTCGGCAATTACCGAAAAATAAAGAAGCAAATTAATGCAGCGTGCGTCTTTGTGTGTGCTCAAGGATCAAGGGGTAAGGACACTCTCGGGACACTCGGCGACGACTTGGGGGACAGGCCGACAGAGCCGAAAAACACACACAGAAAGCGGCCGAAAAAAAGAGTTTGCACCTGTCCCGAATCGTGGGACGAGGGGGCACAGGAGTCGCAGGACGACAGCCGGGCCGTCGAAATTAAGGATAAGCAGTGCAGCGGGATCGAGGATCGCAAGGATCGCGGGCATCGCGAGGATCGACGGCTCGTGCCACTCAAAATTCCGGCTTAATTTCGCCGCCGTCGTTGTTTGTTCGTCGGCTTTTGTTGTGTGGCCAAAAAGGTGGTGCAGCCAAGCCAGCAACCCTGTTTGCAATATGTGGGTGCCAGTCCCGCCACGCGATCCGCGATCCGCTATTCGCTATCCTGGATCCCCTGATCTTCCCCTGATCCTATCCCATCCTATCCCATCCTATCCGATCCGATCCGATCCTAACGTTCGCCGTTAAAGCTTCGCGTGCGGCACTCATTGTTATGCATTTTAAATATGAATTTTTATGGCCGCGGGACACGCGAGGACTCCTTATCCTGCCGAAGGACCAACTCCCCGGATCACCTCCCCCTTGGGCAGCAGTGTTACTTCGTTGGTGTTCGCCTGTGAGCGTTTTGTGCATTTTGTTCGCCGGCTAAATGCCCGTTAATTCGCGGCGTTAATGAGGCCAAGCGTCGCCAACAAGGATGCCCGCGATTGTCCCATGTCCTGGTGTCCTGGTGCCCTGGTGATGTCCTTCCTGTCCTTCCTGTCCTTCGTGTCCCATTGCCTGGGTGGCCTGCAGATGCAGATGGCCAGGCCACTCGGCCTCTCTGAGGTATTCAATTTTCGACTGCTTATTATCGTTATTACCCGGCCTTATATATTTTATAAACGATAATAACCAGGTTAATGGCCAGGCAGGATCTGCAATCTGCTGGTCACACCTTCCATCTCCCGGATAAGCTGTTCCATTACTACCAAAGATATATGTGTATATTGCGAGGCAGATTGATTGTGTCAGATAGTTGATAATAGATAACAACATTTCATTTGCAGCTTTAAGGACTGAATTTATTACGATCTGACGATCAACTTAATAAAAATACCATTAAAAGCTGTTGCCCTATTTTAAAAATGCCAGAGCTCTATGCCAAAATTCTTTTTTAATTCTCCGAGCTAAGTTAGTGAGTTTGCAATAAAGTTTACGTAAAAGTCTCGGTTAGATTTTAATGAATTTCTTCTTATCTTTTGGGGATAACATCGCGATTTTAATGTACATCAGATGTACATTTCATTAGTCACCGCCGTAAAGGTAAAATTCAAGGAAAAACATTGATTGCATATATATTTTTATCACAGTTTTGGCGAATTCAATGTCGCCACGGCTTAAATTGATTCTACTAACACTAAATACTACTAACACTAGATACTACATTTTGGCAGTGAATTTGTTTCCGGCAATATATCTTGAGCATATTATCAATAATTTTGTTAAAATAAAATGGATTCAATCCTCTACTGCGTGAATATCTTTCCAAATAAAAATAAAAGATTTTTTAAAGAAAATTCCTGTTTATAAGACAACTTTTTTTCGACAAGTAGAATAAGAAAATAAAAGATATTTAATTTTTGTCCAGTATTGACATATGTAAATCAAACTTTTAAAACCTTTTCT